CGCTGCCAGCGCTTGGGACTGTGAGCGCCTGCGACAAGCAGCTGCGGCTGCGGCTCCTCGACAGCGGCGGCACTGTTCCCAAATCGGTGCAGGCGCTTGGAGATCTCTCGTCTGGCACCGATGTGGTCATCGGGCCCGGCCGCAGCTCTGTCTCCTTCCACACGGCTGCCATCACCGGTGCTTATAAGTTGCCACAGATCTCTTACTGGTCGACCTCGACCGACTTGTCAAACACCGAGAAGTATCCTCGCTTCATGAGGACAATCCCATCGGACCATGCGCCAGCGTCAGACATCTGCTCCTTCTGGAAGCATGAGCTCGGGCTCTCGACCGTGGCCGTGATTTACCAGCAGGACCCGTACGGCCGCGCTTACGAGGAAGTGGCAAAAACGGAATGCCAGAGCCTGGGGTTGGAAATCGTCAGCAGCGGGTTCTCCGATGATGATTCGATCCGCGAAGCCTCGATACGGTCTGCTGTCAGGAGTCTGAGCAATAGCAGCGCCAAAGCGGTGCTGGCCGTCACTTTCCCGCCGAGCCTTGATCTGATAGTAAACGCTGCGCTGCAAACCGGCCTGCTCAGTGCTGGCACGTCCTGGGTGTTTCCAGATAGTGTCACCGCAGCGGAGCTAGACATGGTTGTCAGCGATGAGGGACGGGCCGCACTGAACGGCAGCTTTATCATCAAGGCGGTCGGTGCGACCGACAATAATCCGCAGTGGACGAGATTTTCCAACGAGCGCTGGGCGGAGCTTCAGCCCGCGCAGTTCAATCCGCACCTGCCTGCCGACTGGCAGATCCGCGACGACTTCTTTCGAGACCCACACGTAAGCAGCTGGGTCCCGTCCGGCGGCACCTTTGCTTACGATGCCATCATGGCGGCGGGGCTGCTGTCGTGCCAGGTGGCCCCGACGGGCGCATTGCCGGTGAAGTTCGGCACGCAGTTCTGGGAGTCCAAGCACACCTTGTCGTTCGAAGGCCTTTCCGGGCGCGTCGAGTTCGACGAGAAGGGCGACAGGAGCAGCGCGAATGTGCATCTTTTCAACTTGCTCGATCAACATGGGTACTCGGAGAAGGACATAGCTCGATTCAGCAACGGCACGTGGATCTGGGAAGGAGGGTCGCGCGAGGGCAGCGGCGTGATCTACAACTTCGGGAAGGACGAACCGCCGTTTGAAGCTCCGCCGCCCCATGCGCCGCCCCCGCCGCCGCCGCGTAGTCTCCTCTTTGATGACGGGCACGACGATCTCATCCAGGGGATCGTCGTCGGGGCGAGCGTCTTCGGGGCGTGCGCTTTTCTGATGCTGTGCTTCTGCTGCCTACCCACCAGCCAATGGCTACCGCCGCTCTCGCGCATCGCCGCGTCCCACGGCACGAGCCCGTGGGCGCTGCTCCGCAGGCGGATCGCAAGGAGCGCGCCCGTGCGCTTCTGCGTCGGCCGCGCACGAGCCCTGCGGCGCGCGTGCAGCAGGGCTAGGACGGCGCCACTCCTGCGCCCTCTCGCCACACCTCACGTCGTGTGGGAGCGGCTCTGCCGCAGGGCGAACAAGGAGCCGACCGAGGGCCCGCCCGACGTGGAGCGGCGCCCGTTTGTGGAGCAGCGCCTGTGGAGCTCGGTGCTGGAGCAGAAGGTGTGGGGCTCGGCAGCGCGCGAGGCTGCCCAGCTCCGCGAGTGGCTCCACGTGAGTCGGAACACGACGCCCTTCATCGAGGCGTGTGTCGAGAAGCTGGTCTCGAGGTGCGGGACCGCGGCTTGCACTCAGCACAGCGGCTGCTGCAATGACGGCCGCCGGACTGACCATCTTGCTCACGCAGACCTCGAGGCGGGGCCAAGGCTGACAAGGATGTCATCGCTGGGCACCGTGCCCTTCGTCGAGCAGTCCCAGGTGTCGCTAAACCTGGGAGATTTGCTTCGCTTCTGCCTCAACGAGCAGGGCGCGGGGGGGCGCATGCTCTGGGAGGAGTGGACGATTGCCCTCCGCGACCTCCGGCCAAAGGAGAAGCATCGCGACGCGTCAGTCCACCGCGACTCTGCCTCGAGGCAAGCGCGGGAAATCCCGCTCGATTCTCGCTCGAGGGGGCCGGCCGAGGCGGTCGAGTCTGAGCCCATCTCGGTGCACGAGTTTGCCGCCCTGCTGCTCTCGCCGTGCAACAGCGCCATCGAGCGGAGGAGCGCCCCCACGGACGCGACTGAGCCGCTCACCAGCTACTGGATCGACTCGTCGCACAACAGCTTCCTCGAGGGCGACCAGCTTACCTCCGGCGTGTCTTCCGACATGTACCGCCGCCTCCTCCTCTCGGGGACTCGCTGCCTCGAGATCGACTGCTGGGACCCCACAACCTTTGGGCGGTGGTGGGGCCAGGGCCCGCGCGTCACTCACCGCACGCCGGGCGGGGTCTCGCTGCTCTGTGGAAGCGTCGCCTTCGGCGAGGTGGTCGCCGCAATCGCCGAGCACGCCTTCACCGCCAGCCCTCTGCCCGTTATCCTGAGCATCGAGATGCACTGCTCGGCGAAGCAGCAGAAGATGCTCGCCAAGGAGCTCATCAACACCCTCGGCGACCTTCTCTCGCGCAGCGACCGCGTCGCGAGCACGCCCCTCCGCGATCTGCACCGGAAGGTCCTCGTCAAGATGCGGCTCGACAAGGGAGGGGTGACCACGGACCCGCTCCTCCGCTCGCTCGTCACGCTGCCCACGAGCTCCATCGGCCGACCGCCGCCCGAGGAGGACGACAGCGGCAGGCGGCTCGACCGAAAGGCGAGCTGGACGGAGCTCAGCGGCCGCTACCTCCACCAGTTCGGGGACGAGCTCCGATTGTCGGGCCGGGGCGCCTGGGGCTGGCTCCGCGGCGTGCCTCTCGAGCGCCACGCAAAGGCCGACGCCGACAGCGGGGCCACGCAGATGTCCGAGTCGCCCTTCTCCACGCAGGCGTCCACGCATGTGTCCGAGTCCACGAGGCCCTCCACGCAGATGTCGCCCTTCGGGTCTCCGGGCTTGTCCGGCTGGCAGCGCGGCTCGTGGCTCGCGGAGGAGCCAGCGATCGAGCTTTCGGCCGCCAGGGTGCCGCGCAGCGGTGTCGTGAGCTTGTCCGAGGAGCGGCTAGAGCGGTTGTTGAGCGAGCAGGGAGGCTGGCTGCCCCTCACGGCCTCGCAGCTCGTCAGAACCTACCCCTCTCCGACTCGGTGGTGGTCGAGCAATAACGATCCCCTCGTGCGCGCCCGCCCTCGCTCTCACCACCTCTCCCGAACCCATCCTTTCCGCTTCATGAGTGAAGTTCCCTCCCTCACCCACAGGCGGCGTGGCGCGCGGGTGTGCAGATGGTGGCGCTCAACATGCAAACGAACGACGCTCTCCACGGTCTGCCGGTGCAACTCCACGACGCTCTCTTTCACGGCAGCGGCGGCTATGTCCTCAAGCCCACGGCACTCCGTGAGCCCGATCGGGCGCTCCCACCCCCGACCCCAACCAACAGAGGCCCCATGACGCGATCGGGTCGCGGTGGCTTTGGTGGCGATCGGGTGTCCCGCGAGGGCGAGGGCAGCCTTTGCCGCTCATCTTCGGAGAGGGAGGCCCTGCAGAGGGAGCTCGGCCACTCTCTGGCAGGGCGAAGGAAGCTTTGGCCGCCGCCGCGGGAGGAGGTGCATCGGACGGAGCTGAGGGCGCGCGCTCGTGCCGCCCCACCGGCCCTCCCTCTCGTCAGCTCACCGAGCGACCCACCGCCTTTAGGTGCTCTCCCTGCACCAGCTTCCGACGCGGGACGAGTGCCGGCCCCTCCTCGCCGAGCCGCACCACGCCTTCGTCTCGCATCTCAGCGACAGCCCCCGCCCGCCCAGCGGGGCCCGCGCCAGCGTGTCGAGCCCGCGCGTCGCCGTCGAGCTGCACGCAATTGGAGGCTTCTGCGCGGTCGCACGCGAGCCGCAGCCACCGCCCGAGGCGCAGGGCGTGACCCGGCTCACCACTGCGGTCGCAGTGGGCAACGGCCTCAACCCGAGCTTCGACGAGACCTTCCACTGCCTCGCGGCCGAGCCTCACCAGACCATCCTCCGCGTTGTGGTGGAGGACGAGGGGCGGCTGGTGGCGTACGAGACCGCGATGCTCGGCTCCCTCCGCTGCGGCTACCGCTGCCTGCACCTGCGCTCGCCCAGCGGCACACGGATCGACGCGTGCTGCCTCCTGCTCCACATCTCCGTCTCCACCGAGCCAAACACCTACGGCACTGTTGATGAGCTACGCGTCATGATGCAGTCGCAGCGCTCGCTCATCAGCCAGCAGAGCCGCGACATCCACCAGCTGTCTGCAGAGCTCTCGCGGCTCGGAAGCCAGCCCTCGACGCCGATCGCTTCCGCCCCCGCGGCGGGACCCCGCGCCGCTCGCTGGCCGTTGGAGCTAGCGCTGGATGCGGGCGTCAACGGGGCTCGCGCAGGCCGGCCGTCGCCGATCGCGCTGCCTCCCGGCGCCGCGCTCACAGTCGGTCGCGACGCGTCGAGCGGCGTGGCCTTGTTCCCGCTGACTCAACGGCACATCTCGCGCCAGCACGCCGTGCTCCACGTCGCCGCCGACGGTCGCAGCGTCCGGCTCGAAGACGTCTCGCGCAAGAACGGGTGCCGCGTGCAGCAGGGAGCAGGTGGCGAGTCGGTCCTCCTGCAGTCTACGGCCGAGGAGGTGGCGACCGCCCAGGTGCGCGAGGGAAGCGTGCTCACCTTTGGGCAGCCCGGCGACGCGGACGAGTTTCGCTACGTCATTCGCGCCGCTGGCACCGAGGACTCGCCAGCTTGGCGCTCCGAGCGCGAGACGAGGCGTGCGACCGAGCTCTCGCCCGTCAAGACGAGACCGTTCGCCCGCTCCACGTCTAGCTCCTGGCACCGCGGCCCGCAGCTGCCCTCATCGTCGGGCGACGTATCGTCGGGCGACGTCGTATCGTCGGGCGACCTCTCCCGCTCCCGGCTCGCGCGGCGCAAGCTCGACGTCCGCCATGACGGCCGGGAGGACGCTGCTGTGAGCCGGTGGCTCTCCCCCCCCCACTCGAGGCCGTCCCCGTACGCTCGCTCGTCGAGCAACTGGGAGTCCCCGCTGTCGTCAGCGTCGCGCACGCCGCACCTGTCCAAGAAGGGCCAGGAGCAGCTGGTTGAGCTGGCATTGTGGCACGGCGCGGAGGTCAACCAGCGAGGAGGAAGAGAACGCGGCTGCATGGGGATGAAGCCCGCGCTCGGGTGGACGGAGCGCCTGCCCGCCCCTAGCATGGACAGCGATGACTCCAGCTGCGACAGCGAGAACGACGAGAAGCCCGTGCACAGATCCCTCGGCAGGTTGGTGCCGCAGCAGAACGAGGGCGATGCCGGCTCGGATCCCGAGCCCGCCTCGCCAGCCCCTTCGCTGCCACCGCCTTCGCTACCGGGCTCCTCGCCATCGCCCTCCTCCGTGCCGCCCGAGCTCCGGGATGGCCTGTCGCCGGCGAGGTCGCTCGCCTTTTTCGCCGGTGCTGGCATCTCCTCCGCTTCGGCGCCGCAGAAGCGGCGCTACGTGCACGCTCCCACTAAGGCATGAAACCGAACATCAGAGATCCCTCATGCGCGTACGTGTCTCTCTCTCCATGTCTCGTCGTACTTGTACTTGTACTTGTGTTCCATGGGGGGGCGGGGGGGCTGTGGGAGAGTTCCGCTGTGTGCATGCGTATGTTTTGTGGTCACATGCATGCTCCCAACGGAGGACGTGGCCGCCGCGCGAGGAAGCAAAACGGTTGGTGCGTCGCCCATCTCTCCGGGAGATGTCTGCTCTAAAAAAATACCCCGCTGCCGGCGCGGCATTAAAAAAGTATTAGTCGGATGCAGGGGGCCTGGACGAAGGTGGTGCGCCCGTCGTGTACGCGCCCGTGTACGCGCCCGCGCCCTTCGCGCACCCGTACGTCGGTCCCCGACCTCTTGCTTTCTCCTCCCTGGCGCAGGTCTTGCTAGTGCCTGTGTTGAGGCTCGTGGCGCCTTGGTAAACTTTTGGTCCTTCCAGCCATGGACTATGCCACCGTCGGTGGGCATCACAGGGTGCACGATAGTGGCAACGCGAGCATCTCTGGACATGACACGATCGGTAAGGGTCGCAAGGTGAAAGAGAGCCGCAGTGCGAGCAAGGTATCACGATGGCTGCGCACAGCAATGTATCTAAACTGGACCATCCCCCTCAACGAGTATCAAGAGGCAGAGAAGGCGCTTGGACTGGTGCGCCACGATGCGAGTGCGTGCGTCGCAACACTGCGCCGCCATTCTCCCAGGGAGAAGGCGTGCTCAGCCCCGACGGACTCTAAACGGCTTCAGGACGAAGATGCCGCTTGGACTGAAGCTATGCGTAAGGTGCAACGCGGCATGCTACGCGACGGAAGCATCCCTGCCCACCCTGTGCGGCAACAGCCGATCCGTATCTTCTGCATGGTATACACATTCGAAGCCCGGCATGAGCTCGTCGCAGCCATTGCTTCGACCTGGGGCAGAGAGTGTGATGGGTTCATGGCCGCTTCAAACGCTACCAACGCGAGCATTGGAGCGGTGAGGCTTCCACACCCGGGGCCCGAGGCCTATGCCCTCATGTGGCAGAAGGTCAGCTTCATGTGGAAGTTTGCGCATAAGGTCAGCGCATCCCGCTTCGCTCCCTGACTCGCTGGCTCCACGTCGCAAAAGTAAACGCCCGACTCATCACAAAGTCGCATGCGCTCACATTATACGCCCACATCACCACATCTACATCTCTCCCTGACTGCCGCGCCAACCTTGCCTGCCGTAGAATTACTTGACCTCCTTTGACTGGTTCCACATTTGCGGGGATGACACTTTTGTTGTCGTCCCGAACTTGCGCGCCTTTGCCGCCACGAAAGCTGCTGAGCAGTCTTCGGATCATGGCATCCATCAGGTGGAGAAGCCGCTGTATTTGGGCGCGCCTTTCTACGTGGAGTGGCACCGGTTTCGACTCAAGATGTGGTTGTGCGCTAGGCTGTGATGAATGCACTCCAAGTGCTCCAAGGGCTGAGCCGTGGAGAGATTCACTGCCGTCCCTCATTTGATCGAAGAAACCCGAACGAGATAGGCGGCTGCGACCCTGAGAGTGCGCAGCGGTGCCGCTGGCGTGCTCACAACACCCATCCATCATGCCTGCATCATTCCTGCACGTACTGCCCGGTCTGGTCGGGGCGTGGGGCGAGATCTGGCATGGCGGCAATCGAAGGCGCTCAGTTCAAGCGCGCCGCCATGCCCTCTATCGCTATGTTTTCTTCCTTTTCTTCTTCCTTTTTTCCAGAAATTCTCATCATTGAAAAAAATCTGCAGAGTTTTTTGTTTCATTCTTCATGTCCGGACTTATTTTTTTTGTTCATGTCCGCGCCAGTCCGCGCCCTTGAGCCTTGTCGTGCCAGGGAGCGGTGCTGTGAGAGAGGCATGCACTTGGAGCACTTGGAGTGCAGTCGGCGACCTCACATCCAGGGCCGGGGAGCATAAGAATTTCGGCCCAAAGCCCCCCCCCCGACGCCGCCACCTCCGCCCTCCCCCAAATCAAAGAGATATATTTGCCACTAACCGCACAAACATGGCACCGAACCAGCTGAAGCTCTCGACTCGTCGACCGAGCTCTGGACGATGCCGACCTCAAACCACCAGCGCCAGCAACGACGTGCCACGGCTCGCCGCGCCGCTGTTGCGACCGACGACGTGCCCGACGCCGTCCCGCGGCCGAAAGGAAGAGGCCCGCGCAACCACTTCTGGGACCCGCGGCCGCCGGGCGTGCGGCGGCACAACGAGTCGAACGAACCGAACCAGCGCAGAGCGGCGCGTCTCGCGAGCGCCCGCGGCCGCCACGCCGACGCCGTCCGCGGCCGACGGTGGTCGCGAATCAACGCGGCGCGGTGCAACGAGGCCAAGTCCTTCCAGGCTCCCGCCAGCAGCGCCTCGTGGCGTGGGCTGCACGGCCCTTCGAGACGGCCCGGGGGGCGGTGAGAGACCTCTCCCGCCGGCATGGCGCACTATATCACCCGTAGAGGCCTCTTTATAGTCGCCTTTTGGCACCTCCTCTCTCCACGCCGCCGATTAGACCTCGCCGCATCGCATCGCCCCCTTCCCTGCCCCGTCGCCCTCCTGAGCTCTCCCTCCTTCGCTCCAGCCATGCACAGGACAGCTGGGCCATTGGCCCGCGTGCCAGGCGTCCGGGACGGCCGGGTATCGGCTCCGAACTTTGAGCCCTCTTGGGCCACCCTCGCGTCCACCGGCCGGCAGAGCACCGCTTGGGCGACTCAGACGGCCCGCCCGACCAGCGCGTTCGATCGTGCCGCCCCCACAGCGTCAGTGGCGTGCGTGGGGTGGCAGGCGGCGTCAGCGCAGCCCCTCGTGGGGGTGCCCACCGCTCTCCTCTCACCGCTCCCCCCCGCCCGTGGCACCCCACACACTCGTCCCTCCTCAGGGGCGCAAGGCGGCACGGCACGTTCAGCGCTTGCCTCGGCCCACCTCGCCTTCACGCCCGCCACCGCGACCAAGGAGGTGGCCTCGGCGGCCCAGATGAAGCCCGTGCGGCTCGTTTGGGAGCCGCATGCCGTCCCTCTCTCGCCGGCGCTGCTCACCACGACCAAGCCTACGCCGAGGAACCCGTCGCGCCCGTCGCTCACGAGCTGGTGGCTCGCATCGACCGAGCCGTCCAGCTTTCTCACGCCCTGCCCACGATCAAATTCGAGACGACCAACATCCGACCACAAAAAAGGCCCGCGCGTGCTGCGCGGGCCGGCGAGCGACTAGCGAGCCCACCTGCTAGTCTCTCAAACCACTCCTCAAAGGACGCGGCCTCTGCCAGCCTCTACTGCCAGGCCTACTGCCAGGCCTACTGCCAGGCCCTACTGCCAGGCCCATGCTGAAATCACGCTCGAGTCTATCGCACAACGGTCTGCACCACTCATCACCGCGACATGGCCATGCGTCGGAGCAGCATTTTCGTCGTCGCGGGCCTGACGGCGTGCGGTTGGGCGGAGGCGCCAAAAGCGGCCGCCGACTGGCTCGCCATCGACTACCACAAGGCTCCCGGCCTCAAGCCCGTCGTCCATGAGGGCGCCGTCTACTCTTGCGTCCGGCTGTTGCTCCGCCCGGAGGACGGCGGTGCGAGCAAGGGCACGTGGGAGGTCACGGCCCGCATTCAGCACCCGATGAAGCTGCCGTCGTCGTACCGTTCCGCCAAGCAGGCCGAGGCGGCCTGCGGGGCGGCGGGTGGCACCTTTGTGCGGCTCGACAAGCTGCAGAGCTTCATCAACGGGGCCGCGAGCGAGTCGCCCGCCAATGCATCGGCGTCGTGCACGGAGGCCGAGAAGGAGCCGGCGGCGGAGGCAAGGGAGGCGCCGAGCTCGAGCGAGCTCGCGCGCGCCGTCGCGCAGTGGAACGACCGCTTCTTCAACATGGACACGGCCGTGACGCGCCAGAACGCCGACCGCTTCCACGGGCGCGGCACCGAGCACAAGCACCTCGCGCAGGAGGTGACGCACCTCGTGATGCCGAAGGCGGTGCAGCAGCGCATCCTAGAGCGGCTGGCGACGCACCGCGAGGCGCTCTTCGGCGACGGCGGCGCCGGTCAGGGCGGCACCACCGGCGCCTACTTCCTGGCGGGCAACGTGGGCTTCGGCAACGCCAACCAGGGCGCCAACCTGATGGACCTCGTCTTCCCGCCCGACCCGAGCGCCAAGAAGGCGTCGTCGGGCGGCGCGCTGAACGGCGACGGCGACGCGTACGCCATCAAAAAGGGCGGCAAGCTCTTCGGCGAGATCGACGACGGGAGCGGCGCGCCCGCGGCGCGCCCGCCCGACCTGCTCGCCTATGAGGAGGAGGTGCGGCGGCTGCTGATGCAGAGATCAGACGTGGACTACCTCTTCGGCGACGAGGTCGAGATCGAGTGGCAGCACCGCCTGTGGCGCTACGGCCCCAACTTCGACCCGAAGGCCAAGGGCGGCATCTGGCACAAGGACACGTGCCCCTTCGGCATCAACGGCGCGCTGCCCGAGAACAGCGTCATGTTCACGATCGTCTACATCCTCTACACGGAGAACCTCGACGGGCCGACGGCGGGTACGCGCGTCAAGGACGACGACGGCACTTCCATCTCGCTGCCGTGCGTCGCTGGCGAGGGCAACGTCATCCGCTCCGGCGAGAGCGACAGCGACGCCTTCTTCCACTCCGGGCCGCTCAACATCCGCAAGCTCGACCAGTCGCGCCCGGCCTACCGCGTGATGCTGCAGTCAAAGGCGCTCGTGCGCCCCGCCGACGGGCGCAAGCGCGCCATCCCCTCCAAGGGCAACTGGCGCGGCCTCGGCATCGCGCCGCTCGTCTTCGCGGCCGACGCCAAGCCGGCGGAGCAGGTGAGCGCCCTGGGCAGCTGGCTGCAGGCGGCGTCGGCGCGGCTGACCAAGGGCGTGGGCGAGTCGAACGCGGTGGGCTTCGAGGCGTACCCCGTCAACGTGGGCCGCGCGTGGGCCGTGACGGCCGACCTGTGCGCCTTCCTCGGCGTGCAGACGCTCGGCCTGCTCCCCGAGCCCGACAGCCCCGCCACGCCCGTCGTCGTCTTCGGCTGGGACCAGCGCTACACCGAGGAGGTCGTCGACGCGCTCAAGGGTAGCTCCTTCCGCGTGCTCAACGTCGCCTCCGACAGCGACTTCGCCGCGCTGCGCGAGGCCAAGCAGGAGACGTACTCTAACCTGCAGACGGCCGACATCACCGCGACCGACAAGGTGAGCGCGATGCTGCAGTCCTATCCCTACGACCTGCACGTGGTCCTCGACGTGCCGCCCGTCGGCGAGCGCTCCATCGGCGAGTCGGTGCTCCAGCGCTACGGCAGCGCGCTCGCGCTCATCGCCGCCAAGGGCCGCGGCGAGGGCCGCCTCTGCACGATCACGCTGCTCTCACAGCAGATGCCGACGTCCGGCCGCGACTCGGCCGGCAAGCCGCCGCCGAAGGGTCAGCCGCTCTCGAAGGTGCAGAAAGCCTTCCTCGCGCTCGAGAAGGAGCTCGTCGACTTTGGCGAGACGCACGGCGTGCGCGTCGTGATCATGCGCGTCGCCGACCGCGTCTACGCGCCGTCCGACTCGGCGCTGAGCCGCCGGGCCTCCGCGCCCGGCAAGCGGCCCAACCCGTGCCGCGTCGAGACGTGCGCCGAGGCCGAGCCGATCACGCGTGTACACTCGGAGGACCTGGGCCTCGTGCTCAAGCGCATGCTCTCCATGTTCGACATCGTCGAGACGCACGGCATGGACTCGTCGCTGCGCGGCACCGCGTCGATGGCGAGCTCGATCAGCCGCTTCCCTAGCGGCACGGTGCTGGAGGTCGTCGACGACGCGCCCGCGTGGTCGATGCTCAAGGCGGACCTGCTAGCAAGCGTCATCATGGGCCAGGAAGACATCTGCCAGTCGTCGTGCGCCAACGTGACGGGCTCCATGCCCGAGGCGATGGTGGCGCACCGCACGGCGAGCGGGCGCAACGCCGAGCTCAAGGCGGCGCTCGGCATGCCGCAGCTGCGCTACCCGACGATGCACCACGGTGCGTCCAAGATGTTTGCCGCGGGCGAGCTCTGATGGGCGCGACGGCAGGAGGCGACGCGGCGTGCGCGTGCGCTGCGGTGGCATCCCGGCGACGAGGACTACCGGTGGCAGCCAAAGAAGATCGAGGCCTTTGCTGGCCAGCCCGTCGTCGCCGTGTCGGCTGGAGGCGAGCACAGCCTCGCCCTCACCGACGACGGCGCCGTCTGGAGCTGGGGCTTTGGACTCTTTGGCGAGCTGGGCCACGGCGACCAGCAGATTCAGCTGCTGCCAAAGAAGGTCGAGGCCTTGGCTGGCCAGCGCGTCGTCGCCGTGTCGGCTGGAGGCGAGCACAGCCTCGCCCTCACCGCCGACGGCGCTGTCTTTACCTGGGGCGATGGCGGACTCGGCCGCTTAGGCCACGGAGAGGACATGTCGGACCAGACGCTGCCCAAGAAGATCGAGGTGTGGGCGAGCCGGCCGAGCACGCCAGCCTACTGGCTGCCAGCCTCTTCTGACGGCAGCGAGGAGGACGAGTAGCTGAAATCGACGGGAGGATCGGTTCCTTTCATTGCGGGCGAGGGAGCGCCGCGCGTCCAGACACCCTCAGACAGCCGCACAGACTGGTGGTCCCGACAGAGACACCCCGGTCCGCGTCGGTAGTTGCGTGGTTCATGCATGGGTCCATGCGGCCGCCTGTGGTGTTCACGCGAGCATAGTTTTCCAGAGACCCAGTCTCAGAGACGAGAGAGCATCGTATTTTTTGCGCAGAAACCGCTCTCAGCCCGCTCCCTCCCCAACCTCGCCCCAAGTCCCGCGCGGCGCACCACCAGAACCGTCCCGCTGGCGCTGCTCCACACCCGCGGCGCACTTGCAGTTGCACCCCCCTGAAACGCGATTGCGGCAACACACGCGAGGCTCAACCACAGCGTCGGCCGCGCACGCGAATTACGCCCACCAATCCCCTCTTCCTCGCCAATACCCCTGTCCACCCTTGACCCTTCCGCTTCCCCCTCGTGCCGCCGGCGATTCCTGCGCCGCCGGCCGCAACGTCCCGGCCTCGAGTCCCTCCCTCCTCGTTCGCTCACTCGTCGTCCTCGTCGTCCTCGTCCTCGTCGTCCTCAATCCCCTCGGGCGGGCCGCCGACCCTCCGCCGGAGCATCAGACGCCCATGAGTGCGCTGGTAACGGGTACTCTTAAATCTAAGTCTTTCCAAGATAACGCTCCTAAGCGCTAAGTTTGCACGCATTGCGCTCCACGCGTGCTCCAATCCACCCAGGCGGTGGCCCCTTTTGCACTGGCATACGCCGCTACTAACCGACATTAGCATGTGCTATAGGTGTACCTGTGTTGTGCCAGTGTGTGCGCGCCAGTATTTTTGAACCAAGAGAATTCCAGCACGCCTCTCTCCAGCCGCGAAGGCGCTCATCCCGCCAACCCTGCTCGCCGGGCCAACGCTCATACACATATGTGCGGCCGCGCCGCCATCGCCTTTGCCGCCGACCGAATCGTCTCCGAGCTACGCGCCGCGGGTGTGCAGGCGCTGCCTCGCGTCTCTCCTTCCCCCGAGCCGTACCACGTGGGCTCCAAGTCGTGCGAGGAGAGGACGAAGCGCAACCCAAAAGGCGTCCGAGGCGTGGAGGGCTGGCCGTGCCTCGTCAGGCAGGGCGACGAGCTCGCTGTGCGCACGCTCACCTGGGGCATCCAGCGGCTGGCGACGCACAACATCTGGCTGGACGGAGGCGACTGGCTGCAGCGCAAGACGTGGCGAGAGGCTCTCGCGGCCGGCCGCCTATGCGCGGTCGCGGTGACCGCCTTTGCCGAGGGCGTGACCTGCCGCAAGCCGGACGGCGAGCACCCGCTCTTCTTCCTCGCCGCGCTGTACTGCGGCTCGCACTTTGTCATTTTGACGACCAACAGCGTCAACGTGCCTCTGCTCGCGGAGCGCGCAAAGCCGCAGGCGCTGCACGGCGTCCCGACGCGCTGCCCGCTCTACCTCGACGCGGCGGGCGCGCAGCGGTGGCTCAGCGTGCCGCCCGACGTCGATGCCATCGCCGCCGCCGTCGGACGGATCGAGGCGAGCCTGAGGCTCGGCCCAGCCGGCACGCACCCTCCCTGAGGACCGGTGATACGGCTGATGGGTGGCTGTCCTGTCGCCCACTAGGCGACCCTGTGGCAAGGCGGCGCCTCGGCCCCCCGCCTCGTGCTCGGGGCAAAGGGAGGCCGGCAGCAAGGCGGCAGACCACCGCAGCAAAGTGGCCCCGGCGCTAGTGCGTCGCCGCCGCCGGCGAGCCCGCGGGTGGGCGGCAAGCGCAGCGGTAGCAACAGCGGCGGCTGCGGCGCGAGCGGCGGCGGCGGCGCGAGCGGCGGCGGCGGCGGCGGCGAGCGGCTCTTTGGGGGAGCGAAGAAGGCGAGACGGCAGGAGGCGGCGCCGGCGACGGCGGCGGAGGAGGAAGAGGCGCTGCAGCAAGCCATCGCGCTCAGTCTCGGCTACGGCGGCGGTGCGGCGGGCGGCGCGGCGGGCGGTGGAGGTGCGTCTGTGTCTGCGACTGCGCCAGCAGCGACCACGTCGGGCTGCGCTGCGGCTGCCGGCGAGGCTGGTGGGGACGCCATCGACCTGACCGGCTCCACCACTGAGGAGGACGGGGAGACCGAGGAGGAGGAGCCGCCGCCGCCGCCGCCGCCCTCGGGGGAGCCGTCGCCGGCAGAGAGGGCCGCGGAGGCGGCGGCGCGCCGAGCTGCCGCCGCCACCGGCACCGCCGCCTCCGACGCCTGAGATGCGCTCGCAGGTGGGAGCCCGAAAGTTGTTGCGATGGGGCGCTATGTAGACACGGCCGCGTTGCTCTGTCCCCCGGTACAACTGTAGTGCGGTAGAAGCCGCTAAGGCGTTCGAGAGCGACCCATTTGTTCCGTACTCGCATGATGCGTGCTATGAGCCGTGTGTTGTCTATGTATATGTGTGTGATCGAACCAGCGCAGTATACGGCGACGGCGTAGAGCGGGTCGAATTCCAATTTCTTTTTTCTAGTGTGCCAAATAAATAAATAAATAAAAACGGACACCTCTACTAGGAGATGGGTAAAAAGGAACAGAGGTCCCCGCCCGTGCGATCTTTATGTGCAGGGTTCTTTTGTGGGTGTGGTCGGCGACACTAGCCGGGGTCGTCCTCCCGACGGGCGGGGGGGACTACGACTAGCACTAGCCGCGTCTTCCACATGGTCCCTCGGGTCCCTGCTACTCTTAATCTTTTCGTACATCCTCCTGCTGATCTCCGCGACGTCCTGCTCCCTCTCTCGTCTCGCCCTGCGCGTCTGCTCTGCCTCCCCGTCGTCTGCCCTGCGTCGTCTGGCGACGGGACCTCCATAGTCGGTTGAGGTCGCCGCCCTCCTCGTGCCTCTTCCCAACCCGGCCGGAACGAGGAGGGCGCCAGTCTGTGTCTGTTAGTCCGCGACTTTGTTGTTCGAATCCACGACGAAAAAAATAAAGCGCCGAGGCCGACGCAGCGCCCGCTGGCGGCGCCGAGGCTCTGCTCCTCTCCTGCGAAGGCATGTGGGTGCGCACGGAGCCGGCCTCCGGAGCGCACCCCTCGTCATCACGTGAGCCCGCCGGGGAGAGGGGGGACGACACTGCTTTGGCAGCGTGCACCTCGATCCTGTACCGTGTTTGTTATGACCCCCCCCAATGAACACACCAGTGAGGGTGGGCGAGACGATCGAGGGGTCCCGTACCATGCGGAACCGACCCTATCCAGTGCTCAAGTGCTCAAGCCCGCCGTCGTGGATGGAGCCTCCATTGCCAATCCCTCTACACTTGTGCTTGCTTGCTTGTGCTTGTGCTCGGGTGGTCCACGTGGTAGGATCGTGCGTCCGATTCTAGAAGCAGTTCTAAAAGGAGTGTAAAATTCTAAAAGGAGTTGTTTTGTTTAAATTCTAAAAGACATGTCAGAAAAAAGTTTGACAAGAATTACCAATGTAAAACAGCCTGCTTCGGAGCTCTGATCACGCGGCGGCGCGGGAAAAGGGTCACATACCGCGCGGCGCGCGTCGGTCGGGGCGCCGGCGGCGCCACAATCCCTCCCGTCCCTGTTCGATCTGCTCGCGGATTGGGCGGCCTCAGGCAAGTGTCGATCAAACGTGATGCGCCTGGACACGACTGATGAATGTTGCAATCTGCAATCCGTTCTCCACTCCCTGCTCGTGACCTCAGTGGTCTCCTCTGCAAACAGGACGCGCTTTCGATGGGTCGCAAACGCCGCTGCGCTCACCGCATGGTCCGCTCGATCAGGCGTTCCAGTCAGCTTTCTTCTTGTGTCCTTCGACCACCAATCCTCATCGTGGGCGGACGCTCAGGCGGAGAGCGGCCACGTGCTGCATGTCGTGGATCCAACGCCCCTCGAACATCGGTTTCATCCTAAGCAGTATCTGCAGTACATGTAATGTTAAGCGCTTGGCGATGGAATCACGCGCGCGCTACATGTGGTCTCTTGACGAAGATCTTGAGCTTCGCGCTGAGGGACATGAGTTCCAAATTGACCGCTTCTTTGAGCGATTTGCTTGCGGCTTCCCGGAGGGTCCGCCGCTCATTGCGCAGCCGCTCATTAGTCCCGGCACGCAGGCGTTCCATGTGTTCAACTACCATGAGTTCCTTCGCAGGGTAGGAAAAGCTCAGATGCCGTTCATCGCAGAAGTGATCTATGTGGAGTACCAAGCACCGCTGGTCGATGCGAGGTTCTGGCTCTTTCTCATGGACGTGATTGGCGATACCATTGCGGCGCTGGAGGACTCGTATCGGGTGCGTGCTAGGGGGCGCGTGTGAGTACCCGGGTGATGTCCTGATGTGTAGTGTGTGTGTACGGCTTTAGTGATCTGTGATCTGTAAGGGTCCGCCCGCAGGCGCATTTTGTATACCGAGGCGGTGCCCGGTGCCGAGCGCAGGCAGAGCCCACAGGTCGGACCTTAAGACAGCATTGTAGATCCCTGGGCAGGGGTGTGGTGGAGACTGGAGAGGGCGGTCCGTCGGCGCCAAACCACCGTCCTACCGAGGTGGGCAGGTTCCACGCGTTCCCGGGGACCGCCCCGTTGGAGGTAGACCACTCGTCTAGCCAATCAGCCTTAAGGTTAAGCGAGGGAGCGGTCTGGCCGTTGGAATGGCCGAGTTTGGTGTGGGGAACTTGCGTCCTCGCATCGATCATGGTTATACGAGCATTGTTAAGTTCCACTACGATCTATGAACACTGGGCGAGGGACCTTCTTAGTTGTCCGGGCCTGCTTTGCAGGCTCGGCCGTTCAGAAATTTTCCCGCACCACTCATCCTCCTCTTCGCCTCTTGCTGCGGTCTTTCTCGTATGACTTTTGATCCCCCGATTTTCTTGCCGATCCCTCCATTCGTTTGCGTAGGCGCTGCTTCTGGGCTTTCGTCACCGGCTCTCCATCCTCTTCATGCTGTTTGCTCGCCCCCTCCCCCTGACTCATCGAATTGATTGCTACGAATCGTTCTCGAACCGCCACCTTTTCCTCGGCGGCCGGGGTGCCTCTTCCTCTGACTGCTCTTCGTCTACGACTGTGTGTAGTCTGTAAGCTATTGAGCACTTGAGCACTGGATAGGGTCGATTCCGCGTGGTACGGGACCCCAGCTATGGACTATTTATACTTGTGGATTGTGGTAGGAGTTCGGTACTGTAGGATTAGATCCTCCTTCCTGATCCTGTATCGTCCTCGCTACCTGTAGCTGTACCGCTGTAGTGGTGAGTTCTGGGCAAGCCCTCTCTCGCCTCGTGAGGTAACGATTGGCTTTGGCAATTGGCACTCTCGCTTGCGGACTCTGGGACTGTGACCGCGTGAGCCCTGCAGCACTTCACAGCTCCGCTCGCGCGTTGTTCTTTTTCTCAGTGCGCGCCAGTCCAGCTCCCGAAAATTCTTTTTCTCAACCCGGTACTGCCAGTCCCTCCTCCCGTGCCCACTTTTTGTGGGAGGGAGCTCGCCGCCCTTCGCTTGGCTTTGGCCGTTCAAGCAGCACATCAATGAGCACGATCTGGGAGCGCTATAAGAACCTGCCCGGCCGACAACGCGTGCTGCTTGGAGTCATGGGCTGCCTCGGCGCCTCGGTCGGCCTCTGGCTCGAGAACAACACGGAGACCGCACCGGTCGGGTGGACGGCCAAGACAGCAGACGCCAGCGGGCACGACGCTGCGCGTCTGGATAGCAGCAATCGCGGCGCGAGTCGGTCCGACACATGACACCGCACTGTGCTTCCGCTCCCGAATCTTTCACATTGCCGCCTATTTGCCGTAGACGGTCGATCTCGTTTTCTGCGTCAGCGCATTTGAGCGAAAAATAAACCATGTAATTCCCGAAAGCATACAACGCGCACACCGCGCGCGACACGCATCATTCTGAAGACACCATGCACGAGAGAGGGTTTCACTCGATCGTAGATGTCACTTGCCTCGCAGGATGTTGCACAGGATGCTGCACTGGTCGTGCAGCGCCTCGCGCGCGCGGTGGAGGTCGCCGCAGCTCGCCGCGTCGAGCGAGCAGAGGTGCGGCAGCGAGGCGAGGCACTCGGCAAGGCTGCGCTCCTCCCACAACATGGCGGGCAGCCGCAGCCCGCGCAGCGCCGTGAGCGAACGCAACGCCTTGAGAGGCCTCTCCGACCTGTGCGGGGCGGAGCGGCAGACGCGGCGGGTGAAAACGAATGGCCGTGGGCGGCGGCAAAAGAACTGAGGGCGGCGTAGAACGCGGCGGGGTGGGCGGCGGCGGGCGGGCGACGACGAAGCGGCGGGGCGGCCGGTAGCGGGGCCGTGGGAGGCGGGGCGGAGGGAGGCGGGGCTGTGGGAAGGCTCCTCGAGAGGGCCGTGCAGCCGGTCAGGTCGAGCCGCTGGAGCGTGGCCGCGTGGCCCGCCGCGAGCGCCTCGAGCCACTCGTCCGTCACTGACGCAGACCCTGCGAGGGACAGCTGCGAGAAGCGCGGCTGCGACCGGCGGAGCAGCCGCAGGTCGGACGGCGCGACGTGCGTCCCTCTCGCCGCGGCGTCGACCCGCTGCCAGCACGAGCAGAGGGAGCCAACCCTCTCCTCGAGCTCTCCCTCGCTGCTCGCACCGCCGGGCGTGAGCGCGGCCACTGCAGCCGTGTCGACCCGCCCAGCCGCGTCGAAGACGTGGCGCGCGGTCGGGCGGGCGCGGGCGGTGGGCGAGACAAGGGAGAGGATGAGGCGGCGGAGCTGCGGCGCAAAAGCGCTCGGCTGCGGCGGGGTGGCCGGCCATTGCGCGGCGGCGGCGGCGCGGCTCTTGAAGGGCTGGAGGAGCATCCGCAGCAGCAGCCGGCCGAGGTCGGCCACGTCTGCCGCGAGGAAGGGGTGCGCCTACTCGGGTAGAGGGGGGGGGGGGGGGGGGGCCAAAGGGCCCCAAAAAGGGCTCCCCCCTGGAGAATACAAAGGGGGGGGTGGGCCGGGGGGGGGGCTTCCCCAAATTCCCCCCCCCCCGAACTGCAAATTCTGGGGTTGGTTGAGGCTTACAGAACCAAAGAGGCCTACCCCCCCTTAGCCGTTCCATGGGGGGGGGAGCCCCCCCCTGAAGGGGGGTTTTTTCGGGCTCCGCCCCTTGGAAGCCTCGCCCTCCTTGTTTTCTTTGGAAATTTTAAACCCCCCCGGGTTGCCGGCCCCCTCCTCCCCCCAACCCGGGGGGGCAAGGGGCGGCCTTTCAGGGGGGGGAAGACCCCCCCTCGGGGGGGGGACCCAATCAAGGGCCCCCAAAACCCTTAAAAAAGGGGGGTTCCCGTCCCAAGCCCGGCCCGGGGGGTGGGCGGGGGTGGCGCAGCAGTGCAGCGCTGCTGGGGCCTCGGCCCAGACGCGAGGACGACGGACGGGAGGAGGACGCGGCCGTGCGCGAAGCCCTGGGCGTGGAGCGAGGCGAGTCCGTGCGCGACCTGCTGAAAGATGCGCCACGCCTGCAGCGGCGGCAGCGGCGGCCCCTTGAGCCTGTGGCTCGAGGGAGAGGCAGATCAGGAGAGAGTTGCAGCAACAACGCTCCGAAGAGGCTAGCTGCCGCGCGAGGCCTGTGCTCGAGGGAGACGTCGAAGGCGGGCGTGACGACGAAGGCGTGCACTCGCCCGTCGGCCCGCTCGCTCGCGGTGGCCGCCGGCCGCGCCTCGCAGCAGAAGGGAGAGCGGTGAGCGGTGAGAGCGGTGAGGGGTGAGAGCGGTCAGGGGTGAGGGGTGTGGGGTGAGAGCGGTGAGGGGTGTGGGGTGAGGGTGCAGGAGGAGGGTCAGGGTGCGGAAGGAGGGTAGGGTCAGGGTCAGGGTCAGGGTCAGGGTCAGGGTCGTGGTGCGAGGTTGGTGAGGGTTGGGGCCAGAGCTGGAGCGGCGTCACCTCGCAGCAGATGGTTTGCAGGGCGGGCTGCAGGTGCTATCTTGGCTACATCTCGGCTACATCTCCGCTGGTCTCGCCTCGCAGCAGATGGTTTGCAAAACGGGCTGCAGGTGCGGCGAGGTGGCGCAGGGCAGGCCGCCGGCGCGGCCGAGTGCCGTGCGTGCCGTGCGTAGGAGGTCCGCCTAGGGCAGCGAGGAAGGGCTGCTGGCTCGTTTGCAGAGGGGAGTAGAGAGAGGAAAAAGGAGGCCCGCCTCGGCGGTGCAAAGGCACCGGATCGTCACCGGGCCTCGCGACGCGTGCGAGCCCGAATACAACGCACCGCCCGGCCCCGACGCGAGAGAGAGCGCGCCGGTCCCGGCGGCGAGGGGCGCGCGCGCGCCGTCCGGCTCGACGATGCGGGCAGTGATATCGTACGCGGCGAGGTCGTCGACGTGCGCATCGATCGTGCCCGCGAGCGCCGAGCCCGAGTCGAGCGGCCGGCACCCATGCGCGTGGATCCTCCCGAACGTCTCGCAGAGGGTGTACTCGTCCTCAAAGACCATCGGAGCGGCGGGCGACGGGCCGAGCTTGCCCGAGGCGCGGAGCTGCCTCTCCCACAGGGAGTGCATCCGGCTCGCCAGGTACCAGCCCGCGCACACCTCGCCGCACCGCGCGAGCGCGCCCGGAGACTGCACAAACGAGAGCGCGTGCTCGAGCAGCTCCGGGTTGTCCAGCGCGGCGAACGAGCTGGGGCTCTCATCTAGCCGCGGGGAGGACGGGACGACCGGGGCGGCCGCCTCGCGCTGGATGCGGGCTTGGAGGCGGGCGGACAGCTTGGTCTGCGATCTCGCCAGCGAGAGCTCGCGCCCGGAAATCTGAGGCGCATCGCCGCGCAGCCGTCCAAGGAGGGCGTCGAGCCGCGCGAGCCGCGCCGCGAGCCCGTCGTGGAGCGCGCTCGGGTCGGTGCAGGGGCTGTCCCACGCGAGCGACATGGGCAAGGGTGGGTCTCAGGAAGACACAAGACGGAGGAGCAACGAGCGCCCTGGTGCAGGCAAGGGGCGCTCTCTCTAGTCCCAACTCGCCGGCTTGCCAGGCGATTTTTTTCCTTCTTAAAAAGAAATAAAAAGGGTGACGAAAGGACGGCACGCCGCCAGGGTTTGAGGAGAGAAGTGTGGTGCTAGGCGTCGCCCACCCTCGAGTGTCTCGCTACATCTTCCTATCTCTCTTCGCAGTTTCTATATATTAAAAAAAGAAAGAAAAGCGGGCATTCAGGGCCGCGCGGTTTCTTCCTCGCGCAGGTTTCCGTGCGCCTGGTGGTGGCTCCTGGTGGTGCTGGTGGTGCTCGCGGCAGCCATATTCAGTGCAAAGTCACTCGCGCTCACCGCCCACATCTGACCCCCACTCCGTGACGACGCATATCGACGCCCGGCTGCGACAATGGGCGACATCACCGACGCAACGCTCCGGCGGCGCCTCGACGAGCAGAAGAACAAGATACGGACCGGCGAGTCGAGCGTCGAGGATTGCAAGTCGCAGGCGGCGCCCAGTCCCGAGTTTGTCGACCCGCTCCTCGTGGACAAGCTGATCGAGCAGCGGAAGAGGACGGGCGAGGCGCTAACGCCGACGCTCAAGCAGGCCGCGAGCGCGCGGTCTCACCTCCGCCCCACCAGCGCGCTCAAGCCGATGGCGGCGGCTGCCCCTCTGCGCGACGGCACGCCAGAGCTGTCGGCTCGCGCGGGAGAGGAGGTGTCGAAGCTGGGGGCGGAGGGGACGCGCGCCAAGATGGCCGCTCTCAAGGAGGCGGCGATCGCCCTGCGCGCCGCCGGCGACAAGCTCGCGGCCGTCGAGAAGGTGCGCGAGATCAAAGCGCTGCGAAGTGCTCTCGAGGAGAGCGAGGAGAGCGAGGCGAAGGCGGCGGCGGCCGGCGAGGCGAGCGGGGCAGCTGTGGAGTCGGCCGCCGTCCGGGCGGGCATCGCGGCGGGGAAGGAGGCGGCGAAGGCGGCGGAGGCGGAGGCGGAGGCGGAGGCGGCGGCCGAGGCAAAGGCGGAGGCGGAGGCGAAGGCGGAGGCGGAGGCGAAGATGGAGGCGGAGGCGGCAAAGGCGGCAAAGGCGGAGGCGGAGGCTGCGGAAGCGAGGGCGACGGAAGCGAAGGCGGAGGCGGCGGGAGGGGAGGCGGAGGCGGAGGCGGAGGCGGAGGAGGCGGAGGAGGCGGAGGAGGCGGAGGCGGAGGCGGAGGGGGAGGGGGAGGAGGAGGGGGAGGAGGAGGCTGCGCCTGCGGCGAGGGGCTCCTCTCTGAGCGGGGCCGTGCTCGTCTCGCTGCTGCTGCTGCCGCTCCTCGCCGTGGTCGCCAAGCAGGGGCTCGGCCTCGTGCTGGGCGGGGCAGGCTTGAGGGCAGGAGGCGCCTCCTCGCGCGCACGCGGCGACGCTGACGCCGGGCGGGCCTGCGAAGGGTGGAGGGGCCTCCCCCCTGAGCCTTCCCTGCCCGCTCTCTCCCGTAGGCGGCGACCCTGCGGACGAGTGGCCGGCGGAGTGGCGGCGCGACGGCGAGCCGGAGGGGGGCGGGGGGCGGGAGGCGCGGACCGCGGCGTCGCATGCGCTCGAGGCGGCGCGAGCGGAGGCGGCGCGGGCAGAGCTTGCGCAAGCGGAGGGAGCCGACCCTCTCCTCGAGCTCTCCCTCGAGCGGAGGGAGGCTCGGGCGGAGGCTGCGCGGGCGGCGGTTGCGGCGCAGGCGATTGAAGCGGAGGCGGCGCGGGCGGAGGCGGCACGGGCGGAGGCGGAGGCTGCAGAGGCTGCAGAGGCTGTGGATGCCGCGGTAGAGGCGGCGGGCGCGGGTGCTGCTGCCGATCCTGGCGTTTCCGAGGCCGCGGCCGAAGAGACTCCAGCGTCCGACAACTCTCTGCCGTGCGTGCAGTGGGCGGAGGCGGGCGAGTGCAAGCGGAACCCGGACTACATGACTGTGCATTGCGCCGCCGCGTGCAGGGCGGCGCGGTGATGCGCGGCGTGGGCGCGTGTGCTGCACAGAGGGCGCCGCAGTCCTCCAATCGGCTGCGGTCTCCCCGCGACGCGTGCAGCGTATTGGGACCCCACGATCTGAGACCACGATCTGCATCTCAGATCTCTCCCCGAACCGCACCGGCACGCGCCACGCCCCGTTTGACAATTGCGTTTGACATTGACTTTGAGAGCCGTGTCGCTGTTTGGCCGTATGTTGGCGTTGCGGCACTTTCGCGCGCCTTCGTGCGGCGGCTTCTCGCTTTTAGAAAAGACGATTTTTTACTTTTAGAAAAGACGATTTTCCTGCCCCCATGCGGCCCCCGGCCCCCCCCCCCGCCCCCGCACACCGGCGCACACATGGCCATGCGCATGCCATATGGCCCATGCGGCATGCGCCCGCCACAAACCCAGGACATGCGCCATGGTGGGCATGCTGCACATTGCACATCCGCAGCCCGACACCCGATGCTCCGCGCATCCCACGAGTCCGCGCGACCATGGTACAGGATATTTACACGACAGACGAAACCCTCACCGAGAGGAGATCGGTTGTTGCATCCAGCAGCGTGCAACATTCCTGTTGCCGTTGCCTTCGACTACTGCAAAGCCGATCTCCGTCCGTGGTCTCACTGGATATCGGAACCCATGTGCCTCCCGGTGATTCCGAGCTGTTGCTTGGTCCGGAGGAGCGCAGCGCCAGCCTGCTGGTCTGGCGAGGTCTTGCCGCTCGTGATCACGCCGTGTCCGAATGCGGCGGTGTTGGTTTCGGTGACTTCGACCGGGCCCAGGGGCTTGGAGGCGCGGGCGGCGGGCGCGTCCTGGCAGCCAGACTCACTTGTCTGGGTTATCGGCCGCCGCGGCGGCGGCCTGCTCGGGACGGGTGGCGTGGCGACCGGTGCGGCCTCTGGCTCGCTCTCCTCGCTCTCGCTGCGGCAGTCCTGGTACGCTCCCACCAGCTTGAGCCTTGGCGGCTCAAGCAGAGCGCGCACGTGAAGGAGCGCGTTACGAGCAAAGGAAAGGCATAGTGCTGCCTCGCGCCCGTTGCTCAACTCTGCTGCTCGGCGTCGGAGGGCGCGGATCCAAGGACCGACGACGGCAACGATCCGTTCGATCGAGTCTGGCCTGTTTCGGTGGAGGGAAACGAGCACGGCGACGATCAGGGCGAGGAGGGCGCGCTGGCGGGTGAGCATGCTCCGTCTCCGATAGCTCCGATAGACCGCGAGCAGGGCGCGGTTTGAATAAAAGAATTTCCATGACTAGCAGGTGCAGCCGCCAGTGCCGCCATCGTTTCCGCCACCCACACTGCCACTTCCGCCCCCGCCACTGGAACGGCTGCAGGGTCGTGGGGCCGCCCCAGCGGCTCCACACCAGGCGTTTGGGCCGCGGGGGCCGCCACCGTACCCGCCGCCCCTGCCACCGCCTCCACCCCTGCCGCCGGCGGGGCCGCCACCGTATGGACCCGCTCGGAATAACCTGGGGGGTCCGGGACCGCCCCGCCGGAGGCTGGAGTACCCGGAAGGAGGAGCTGGGGGAGGGGAGGGGCCGCAGTACGATAACGGGCCCACCGGCGAGCCGGAAGGCCGAGGCCGGAGGGCCCCAGGGGGGGCTTGGGGTCAGCTGTCGGAGGAGGCGAGAGACGAGCTGACGCGGCCTCTGCGAGTAGAGTCGGGACGTACGGACGAGCCGAGGACGATAGAGAGACCGCGGGGGCGGGCGCGAGTCCTCGACCGAAGAGAGCTGGCCCCACTTCCCGGGGAGGGGCGGCGTGGCGATCCAATGCCGCCGCCCTCGCCCGAGGAGTTGGGCATGGGATCACCGGAGGTGGAGTCAACAGGAGCAGGCAGAGTGGGCGAGACGGCGGCGGGGCCGCGGCCGAAAAAGGCTAGGAGGGGGGGCCGGGCCCCGCATCCGTTGCCCAACCAGCGGAAAGCGAGTGGGGGGAGGACCGAGGGGATAAGAGGGCCCCTCCAGACCGAGGGGGGGAGGCTGGACGGAGAAGCCTCGAGGGGTGACGTCGAGTGAGGATGTACGTCGTGTGCGTGTCTGGTGTTTATTAGCTCCGAGTAGAGGGGGGGCGCTCCGCTGCTAGGGGAAACCTGGAGCGCGGACTAACCCTCGGAGACCCGTGTTTACTTTAAGGCCCTTTCCTTGCGAACGCGCACCCCCCCTAGCTAGGGGTCAGGGCTCTCTAGCCCGTAGCCCGATGCCGATCATCCGGCCCGCTGGGTGCGCTTCTCAGCTCCTCGGCCCTGGATGTGAGGTTACTGACTGCACTCCAAGTGCTCCAAGGGATCCAACTCCCTCGCCTCGCACAACACTGGGCACGGGACTGGCGCGCACTGGCACTAACACAGGTACACCAATAAAAGAATTGGTGCTTAAAGAGAAGAATTTATGCCCGCGAGTGCCTAGCGCAAAACACCCAGGGGCAGGGCAAGGGATAAAAAGAAGAGTTGGTTCGATACTTTTGGTGGTGATTTTTTATTGCGCTCACTCTGACCTGCCTGACCTTGCGGTCAGAGAGAGAGATTTTTATTAACCAACAAGAAATCACGACTCTCACAGTGATTTGGGCTCGGCAGCTTGTTAGCCCTCAGCCGAAGCTGGGGCCGGTCCCGTAGCCGAGAGAGCCCGCGCCGATGAGTTCGACGCGGTCGGGGGGGCCTGCGGAGAGGCCAGCGAGAAGGCGATCGCTGTACTTCTCTTCTTGCGGTCATGCTCACAACAAGGCGACGCCCGGAGGGAGCCGCGTGCCGTCCCCATCGGTCGGCGCGACCGTCTCCCATACCTCCAACGGAACTCCTCCAACACGCCGGGTCGTAACGCTCAACCCCAAACCGAACTGAGGCAGCTGTCCTGACTGCGAGCGCGACAAAAAGGTGAAGAAGACACTCATCGCGTTCCAGCGCAAGGCACTCCAAGGGGGGACGGACTACACTTGAGCACTTTAGCACTGATGGGCAAAACAATCTCTGACAATCTCTCTGAGGGTCGATTCCGCATGGTACGGGACCCCTCGATCGTCTCGCCCTCCCCCTTGAGCACTTGAGCACTGGATAGGGTCGATTCCGCGTGGTACGGGACCCCTCGTGCCTCGATCGTCTCGCCCTCCCTCACTGGAGTGTTCATTGGGGGGGGGGTCATAACAAACACGGTACAGGATCGAGGTGCACGCTGCCGAAGCAGTGTCGTCCCCCCTCTCCCCGACGGCGATGGCGGTGTGACCGATCGAGCTACAAGAGGAGCTTGTTCAGCAGGATCCGGGATCGCCCTCCCTCGCTTTTAGGTATCTTGTTAGCAGATCACGACACAGAGCTCACACAGAATCACAGCGGGAGGAAAGCGGCGAGTCGCAATTCCAGGGGTCGTTGTGGCGGGCTGCCACCGCCTGTCGGACATGGATGCCAATCTGGGGTCTTTCGACCCTCGCTTGGTGTGTTCATTTGGGGGGGGGGGGGGGGGGGTAACAAACACGGTCCAGGATCGAGGTGCACGCCGCTGAGGGACCCCCCAGAGGGTAGAGATCGAGAGCGGTGTCGTCCCCCCTCTCCATCATCTCCAGCATCACTGGCGTCTGGCGGGCTTGAATATCAAGTCGCGGTGCGCGGCCGTGCGGCTGGCGCGTGGACCACCGCGGATGCGTGGTGCGTGGTGCGGGGGCGGGGTGTCGCACGCACACTAGCCCTATAGGCACTAGTGCTATAAAAAATTGCAATTTCACGAGCCAGTGGCAGTGCTCTGTCTCCCCCTTACACACCCGTTACACCGACCTCTCTGACGCTCTGTAACGTGTAACGTCTAACGCCCAACCCCGTAGTTTTTTTTCGCGAGCCAAAATAGAGGCGTAATATTTTGATTTTCTTGGCCACGGCCACGTTGACCGGCTTCTCCCTCCCTCGCCCCCAACTCGCGCAGCCACGTGCGCAAGCTGAGCGCGCTGTCCGCTCTGCGCCAAGAAACAATTCGCGTGCGCGGTGCTGATCGCCGCCCTGCGCGATCGCCACACTCAGCAGAAATTCGACGGGTCGCGCTGCCGCTCGAGCTCCGCTTTGTCGGCCGCCATACCCTCCATGATCTGCCGCCGCTCCGCCTCGGCCGTTGCGTCGCGCTTCGAGTTGTTTTGCGCCGACACGCGCTTGAGCTCGGCGAGCTTGAACGCGGCGGCCTTGTTCTCGGCGACCCGCGCTGCCTCCACCTTGGCCCCAAACTCCTTCACCGCCGCCTTGAGCGCCTGCTTGCCCGCCTCGAGCACCTCCGCGTCTGGAGCCGCCAGCACGAGGGTGGGTGCGTCACCAGCGTCGCTCGAGCAGCCGGCGCCGCCGGCGGCCGCTTCCCTCTTCTCGAAGCCTACCGCGCGGAGGAATCGGAGGCCGCCCTTGGCGCACGCGATTTTCCCAGTGTAGGCCGCCGACCCCGTCGAAATTTGGCTGTACTTTGGCTCGTGTGGGTGGAGCTCGATGTTGCGAACAATCTTGAATAGCACCTCGGTGACGATCCGGAACGCCTTGGGCTCGTTCATCATCAGCACCTCCACCGCCTCCTCGACGGTGGGCCTCGACATGGTTCCGGAGGCCGCCAAGCAGCAGCGGCGCTTGGCCGCTTTGTGTGTCTCGAGACTCGAGAGAAGGCGCGGCCCGCAGCAGCGACGGGCTTTTCTTTTGGCGGCGCTAAAAAGAATTTCCGCGGCGAATCGTTGGATTTTAAGTAAAAAATTAAAGGAAAATCTAAAAGAAGGCTCGCCTCCTCTGCCCGTGCGTTCGTCTTGTCGTTGTTTCGTACCCATCTCTGGATCTGGCGAGGTACTTCCAGCCTGCTGTGGGAACAGCTGACGCAGTCTCGCCGAGGCTCGCCCCAGCAGGCGTGACCTGCCTCAGCAGTGCCAGGTCGGCCAGACTCAGCGCTCGATTGAGCCTCCGAGGCTCGGCATCTGGCCAGTGGGTGCACTGGACAGACTCGTGGAGGTGCTGGCAAAAAGTCCGACGCACGCGTCCACCCGACTGCGCGGCTTGACGGCTGTCGTGCTGCGGGCACGACAGCCGTCAAGCTCTTGCCGCCGTACCGGTCGGCTGGAGACGCGCGCGCGCGACTCCCAGGGCAGTCTTTGGCATGGCCTCGCCTGCCTGCGCACCCGTGCGTGCATGTCGCGCGCAAACATGGTCCTGCGCGTTGGCGCTGCCCACCATTGCGCCATTGCGCGCATGTGGACACGACCGTCGGTGACCACAGCAGCGTGTGCGTCTTGTGCTGTCCATGTCTTTTAGCTGTAAAACTCGCCCGGCGAATACCGACAGCGAGAGAGGGATCGCACGCGCGCGGCGCGCCAGCAGCAGCCCCGGGGGGCGCGCGCGCTCTCTCTGCCTCTGCGCAGAGCTCTGGGCAAGTGCGTGTGTGGCGCGCAGAGCGCGCGTCCGTTGCACGGTCCGACTAGGGCACCAATCGGCGCCGAACGCGCGCGCCAGAGCGGGCTGGGGTCGCTCGGTACATGCCCTGGCGCGTGCCAGGATGTCTGCCGAGGGCCTGCGGCAGGGGGCGAGGGTGAGCTTCAAGGACCAGAAAGGACCTCACCGCCTGGGGGGATCTGCTCTGGGGTGACAGGGGATGGTTGGGTATGCGTGGCTACGTGTGCTATTGTGTGCTACTGGAGATCTGGGACCCTTCTCGGGCCCTCTCGAGCTCTGGCGCAGCGCCGCGCTGCAGGCTGTGCGAGTGGTGTGACGGCGCGCCTCTCGGTGGTTGAGCGTAGGTCGTGCCGTTGGAGGCCCGGAGCCGCGGCGGCGAGTCGCGCATATTCGTCGCCGGCGCGCGCGCCGGCTGTGAACAAACGTAGTCGAGAGGGGGACGCACGCACGCGCCCCTTGAACGAGGCTCGGCCGTCCCACAGACTTGACGAGGCGAGGCACGCCTCTCGGGTTGACTCGGCCAGACAAAAACCCCGAGAGGCGTGGGAGTACCTCGCCAGCTCTGGATGGCGATCGAACCTGCCTTCTATTGGTGCAACCAGCCTAGAGCGCGATCTTTCACACTGGTGAGCGCGCCGCGTATACACGGCCCGCGCGAGACCGCCGCGCGCCGCTCGCGGTGCCCACACCATCGGGACCGGCCCAGAGCACCCAGCGATTGGAGCCGAATCGCCAGATTCGACCGCGCTGGCTCCTGGAACAACGCGCTGTCGCTCGCAATGACGCAATACGCGCGCTTTCTTTGCTCCATTTCTGTCCAATCGCTCGCGCCCAGACCACTCCCATCCATCGAGGGCACATGAGTAGCCTACGATTGACCCATCTCGGGCCGTCTCTATGCACTCGCAGGTGCATTTGGTCCTCCGCGTGCCCGCTCTCGCTGCCTCGAGCTGCAGAGATGCCGCAAAAGAAGAAGACCGCGCGCGGCGCGCACCTGGCCGCGCTGAACAAGCAGCACCCCAAGCGCGAGGAGAGCGCCGGCGACGCCAACGACCTCGAGTACGTCGAGCCGGACGACTCGTCGAGCTCGGGCGAGTCCGCCGACGGCGACACGCTGGTGCAGTCAATCCTCCCCTTCTCTGGTGCGAGCAGCGCACGAAAGAAGGGGAAGAAGAACAAGCGGCTTCGGACGGCGGACGGCCGTAGCCAACCGACGCTCGCCGATTTCATGCCCCGCCTGCCGCCTTCTCTCTCGGCCGGCGCCACCTCTCAGCCTCCCGCCGACGCTCCCGCCGACGCTCCCACCTCCTCTCCCGCCGCCCCGACGGAGGAGATGGCGCCAACGCCGCCTGAGCCCGAGCCGGAGCAGCCGCCGCCGCCTGAGCTAGCCGCGGAGCCACCGGCCAAGCCAAAGCGCGGCCGCCCACCCGGCAGCAGAAGGCCGGCTCAACCCGGTGTGTCCAACCCGAGCCACTGCGGCCGTGGGTCGAGCTCCATCGGCGGAAGACGCTTCTCTGAGCGAGGATTGGTGCTCTCAGGAGCGCTCTGCCAACGCGTGGTCGGCAGGAGTCGGTGGGACAGGCCCGCGGCGAGCGCTTCGCCTGCGGCGCGCGTCTCTGGCCACCAGGGAGGGTCTGGAGGGCGATTTTTGGGTCGATTTTTGGGAAGTGATGCCAATCGAGAGATCTCGCCGAGCCCTTTTCGGTGGTGTGCTTGCGAGCTTTTTTTTCGCACGGGAAGCATTTTTCGTACTCGCAAACGTGAATTAGTCGACTAGGCTGGTTGCACCAATACCTTCAGTTCTCTCTTAGACAACAACAAACAAACGGCCCCAAATGACGTGTGAGTGTTAGAGTTGTTTGGTATTGCTAAAAATCTCTCTCTCTCTCTCTCTCTCTCTCTCTCTCTCTCTCTCTCTCTCTCTCTCTCTCTCTCTCGTAGAAAGAAAAAATTTAGACGAAAGAAGCAAGAAACTGAGAGACTTGGAGCACTTGGAGTGCAGTCATTAACCGCACATCCAGGGCCGGGGAGCTCAGAAGCGCACCCAGCGGGCCGGATGATTGGCATCGGGAGACGCAATCACTCGTGTCTCGTCACGTCGCATAGTAGCTACCCAACCGACCGCGCGAGATAGGGTGCTGACCTTTCTCGCCGAGGCTCGCCGTGGCCCCACACGACGGCCTCTGCTCGCGTGTTCGAGCCAGGACCTTCGTCCGGGCCCACGGCCGGGGGCACGCCATCATCGATTCCGCGCGCTCGGCCTCCACCGGCTTGCTGTGCGGACGGCTTCTTGTGGCTCTCGTCGAGAGCGTTTTGGCGGCCTGGCGGGTGGGAGAATCTGTGTCGTCTGATGTGTCACTGTGTACGTCACATCGGTCTTGATAACAAGCACGGTCGATCCGCCAACGCGAACACTCGTTCCTATCACGTTCTTGGACGGCTGGCACGGAGCTCTGTGCCGGCACACAGGAAGAGCCGTCCGGCAAGAAGAGCTCGATAGGGAGCGAGAACCGTCAAAGGTGCTCACCCAGGTTTCGGAAGTCCACCCTGATGCGGTCAGTTCCCCCCAGGTTTGACCGCGCAGGTCTCAAAACTCGCCGAGCACTCGTAGCCTTTCTGCGCCTCTCTGCGTGTGCGGCTGCCGGCTCGGGAAGAGCAGATTTTGCAAGATATCTCAACGAGATCCGACGTCTGCGCGGTCATTGTTGGGGTGCGTCTTCCTGTTTTGCGGGGTGCGCTGAGCTTCGTGTCAAGCTCCGAGGGCAACGGAAACGTCAAACGAGTGCATCGCTTCGATAGACCGACTGTGCTTATTACCAAGACCGATCTCGCATACACAGTCACACTCCAAGACGCTCTGTACTCTCCCATCCGACAACCGACAAGTCCGGGCCCACGGCCGGCACGCCATCTCGCTTTCCACTCACTCGCCCGACGCGCTCAGTCTCGGCAATACACTTCTGAGGAAGCCGTCGCCCGCGCCTCGCCTGTCGCGTGAAGAGAATCATCCACAACTTCGCCAAAGAGGTCAGCAGCCCGAGCGCCGTCGACCGCACCGACCGACTACACGGCACAGCCTCCGGCAGCGCCCGGGGCTTTGTCCAGCACCACTCGCAACAGCTCTCGCGCGCCGCCGTCTGTGGCGACGCGCAAAACATCAACAACGCTGCTCGCAACATGCGTGTCGCGCACTCATTCATGACCGGTCTCAATGCCCGGTATGCCCCACCCCCCTGCGCGCGGGCCTTCTAGGCCCGCGGGTAGTCTCCCCCCATTCCCAGGGCCTCCAAGGCTCGCACCTCAACCTGCTCTCACAGACCAGCGCACAGCGCCATACGACGTATTTTCTTCTCAATAACAAAGTTGAATCAATAACAAGGCTGTGAATCGTGTCGGCCGCACCACAGTGAGGTGAGAAGCGCAGAAGCCTGAGCCAGCGGCCTACGTGGCGGTGCCTGAGCGCCGTACACGGCGGCGGAGCTGAGCCCAGGGCACAATGGAGCACGTTGTCATCGTGCACGCAGGCGCCGGCTTCCACGCTCCCGCCGCCGAGCCGGCCTACCTCGCCGCGTGCCGCAGGGCCTGCATCGCCGCTCGTGAGGCGCTGCAAGACGGTCCGCTCGCGGCGGCACGCGAGGCAGTCGCCGTGCTGGAGGACGACCCGTGCTGCAACGCCGGCCGCGGCTCGAACCTCAACCTGGACGGCGCCGTGGAATGCGACGCCTCCGCGATGGACAGCAGCACCGGAGCGTGGGGCGGCGTCGCCGCCGTTCCTGGCGTGCGCAACCCGGTGCGGGCGGCGAGCCTGCTCGCCGCGGAGCAGCGCGTTCCTCTCTCCCACGGCCGCGTGCGCCCGATGCTGCTGTGTGGCGAGGGTGCGCGGCGGTACTGCGCTGCGAGCCTCGGTGACGGCAGCACTCCTCTCGGCTCGGACGGCCTCGTCACTGCCGAGGCACAGCGTCGCTGGAAGCGCTACTCCGACTGGCTCGAGACGGACTCGGGTCGTGACGGCGAGGAGGTCGGCGGGCGGAGAGCGGACGGAGAGGTCGACGCGTCACACCTCAGCGACACGGTCGGGGCGGTGTGTCAGCGACGGCAGGCTGAAGGCTACGACTGACGGGGCGATGGTCAATGGACGGCTGTGGGCGTCCGTAGGTGGTGATTGACGGCGGGCTGAGGGTCGCCGCCGCGGTGAGCTCGGGCGGCCACTGGCTCAAGTACCCCGGCAGGGTCGGGGAGGCGGCTTGCTTTGGCGCCGGCTGCTGGGCGGAGAAGCGCCGCGCCGGCGGCAGTGGCGGCGGCGGTGGCGAGGGCGGCGGCGGCGGCGGCGGCGGTGGCGAGGGCGGCGGCGAGGGCGGCGGCGAGGGCGGCTGCCCAACGGCGGCGGGCGCCTCAGTCTCTGGCGAGGGCGAGGCTGTCATGCGGCTGCTCGTGGCTAGGGCTGCCGCGCAGGCGAGTCTCTTCACGAGCACCGCAGTCTCTTCACACCTCCCTCTCCACGCACCTCAACGCCGCGCAGGCGTGGCTCGGCGGTGCCTCCGATCCGCTCCCCGCAGCGATCGACGCGCTAGGAGGCGGCGCGTCGGCGGCGGGCCTGGTCGGTTTGGTTGCTGCGGCGGGCGGCGTCGAGGTTCTGTGGGCGCACGGCACTGCGTCGCTCGCCGTCGGGTACTGCCACCACCGCATGCGCGAGCCGGCGGCGCTGGTGTCTCGCACGCGGCACGGCCACCCTCTGGGCTCCTCGCTGTTTGTGCGCTTTGGCGGGGCGGGCGGGAGGCGCCGGGCGGGAGAGGCGGGGCGGGAGGGCGGCGTTGCGGAGGGCGACGCTGCGGAGGGCGGAGCTGCTGCGGAGGGGGGAGCTGCTGCGGAGGGCGGATGAGGAGGGCGGAGCTGCGGAGGAGGGCGGAGCTGCGGAGGAGGGCGGGGCGCCGGGTCCCAACCTGCACGGGGCTCCTTGCCCGGGGGCGGGGCTCGCCGTCGAGCCTCCGCCACTCGGTTCTGGGGTGGAGCTGTGGCCGACGGGCAAGGCGCCCCCCCCCCCCCCGACGAGGCGGCTGCGGCGCGGGAGGCGGTCCTCAGGGGCGATGAACCCGCTCCACCAAGGCCACGTTGACATGCTGCACGCCGCGGCGGGCCGGCTGCATGCGCACGGCTTTCACGTCTCGCAGGCATATGCAACCCCCCTCTCTCGACACCTCCCTCTCCTCAGAGCCTTGCTCCACACACCCCTCCCCTCGCACCCGCCTGCCTTGACACACGGGCTGTCCCGCAGGCGTACCTCTCGCCCTCGCACGACGGGTACGTCCAGCCAAAGGCGGCGGCGAGCGGTACGATCGGGCTGAGCGCCGCCTTCCGCCTCTGCGCGGCGCAGCGGGCGGTGGAGGCCGACCCGCTCGTGTCGGTGGCGGCGTGGGAGGCGGCGCAGCCCGGAGAGTGGCCCGACTTTCCGGAGGTGTGCGAGGCGCTGCGGGGCAGGCTGGGCGGCGGGCGGCGCCTCTTCTACGTGTGCGGAGCCGACCACGCGGCCAGGTGCGGCCTGGGAGGAGGGATGGGCGAGGTTGGCGTGGTGGTCGCGCCGCCCGCCGAGCAGCCCGTGAGGGGGGTCTTCGTCGCCTCGCCCGCTCGCGGCGAGGCGGCGGCTTTCTCATCGACGTTGGTCCGCGAGGCGCTGGCGGAGCGCGACTTTGAGGCCGCCAGCCGCTACCTTTCGCCGGCGGTGGCGCCGAGCACTGTATTGTGTATTGTGTCGGAGAACCCCGTGGCGGACGCGCCGGGCGGTGGCGGAGGAGCAGCAGGCGCGGAGGAGAGGCGCGCTGTGGGGGCGGGGCGTAAACGGTCGAGCTGCGACTAGATCGTATTTCGTATGTCATTCGTGCCTGGTCTCCGCTCTCGCCTCTGTCGGGCCTCTCCGGTAACTCTGTTCGCTTAAATATCGGAGAACCACAACGACAACCAGCACAGAGAGGGCATATGCAGATATCGCGCCCAGCTCGACTCCGTCACGTTCCTGTGGGTACCGAGCCACGCGGGGTGCGCTAGCAACGCCTACGCCGACGCCGCGGCGACGGCATACATGGGGGCCAGCGAGATTGAGGATGCCACCGCCGTCATCCGTGAAGCAGTGAGAACGCGCCCGTGTGTGTACACGGACCGCCGGAGGACGGCAGACAGAGAGGGGGGGCGGGAGGTACTGGACCGGAGGACCTATTATGCCACACGCGGCCACACGAACGAGTGGGTGCGAGGACGGCTCGGCGAGGGGCTCACGGCGGGGTCGCACACGGCAGGGGTCACGGGGCCGCTGTGGAGCGACGTGGTCAGGGGGACGACGAGACACAAATGGGACAAGCGTCAGCGGATCAAGGATCAGCACGGCGAGCGTGAGATACAATTCGCCGATGTGGATGATCATAACGTGGTGACAAAGACCGTCATGGGAGCGCGGGTGCGGCAGCAAGCGGGGGTGCCACACGGAACGCACCACGAGAGGATCATGCGGGGCGAGGCGGGGAGGGAGACCCCGGGCGCCGCCACAAGGAGCGACCTCAGGGGCTGCCTCGTCTGTAAGGCCGCGAGGGACGCGGCGAGGAGGGCAGCACTAAAGCGGGACCCGCTGTGTCCGATCGTGCGGAAAGCCGCGCAGCAATGGACCGAGGAAGATGAGAACCCGCCTAGAGCGACAATGGCGCACGTGCTTAGCGGCGCCTGCCTGGGGAATAGGGAGCAGGCCAGATGGTTCCTCAGAGTAGCGCGAGCGCAGACAGGGACGGCGATCAGCAAAGTGGCACAGGCGGCACCCGACTCCAAGGAGACGCTGAAGACGCTGAGGATGGCGCATGTCGCTGCGCTGAAGGGCTCACGCTATAGGGTGCTGGATGAGGACGGGTACGATGCACTAGCACCAGCCGTCGGGGGGGTGTTGCCGGCGCTGGTAGATGATCTCCCGGAGAAGAGTCGGAGGGACCTTGGCGCCGGGGTCACGAGGAACTTGCAAGTCGTGGCCGAGGCGGCGACGGGAGCGGTGCAGAGGTGGATCCAGCTCAATGATGAGGCTACGGCGCGCATAATGAAGAGAGAGGAACACATCGAGTGGCTGAGGAAGCTCTTCGCTGGGTGGAAGGAGGCCCGCCCGGCCTTGAGGGAGTCGCGGAGGAGGAGGGATAACGGAGGCAACGTGCAGACAGGCCAACAGCCAGTGGGACGAACGAGGGCCGCGACGGCGGCTCAAGCGGGAGGGAGCGGAGACGGTGGGCAGAGAGCGAAGTGGGTGAGACTGATGATGCTCCTTCGACTTCGGGAGCGGTTCCGCTGCTGGGCGAGCTTCAGGATGGTGCTCACGCGAAAAGGAATCGACGCGATGTACAAAGCATACAAGAAGAGGAGAAAGAAGAGGAGAGGCGCCAGTGATGACGAAACAGAAGCTAGTGCAGACGAGGGCAGGGCAGACCCGGGGACGGCGGAGGCGGACCAGACGGCATCGACCGCCGAGGGAACGCTGGGAAGAGGCACGAGGAGGGCGGCGACCTCAACCGACTATGGAGGACCCGTCACCAGACGACGCAGGGCGGACGACGGTGAGGCGGAGCAGTCGCGCAGGGCGAGACGAGGGAGGGAGCAGGACGTTGCGGAGATCAGCAGGAGGATGTACGAAGAGATTAGGAGCAGCAGGGACCCGAGGGACCATGTGGAAGACGGCTAGTGCTAGTCCCCCATCGGGAGGACGACCCCGGCTAGCCGCCGACCACACCCACAAAGAACCCTGCACAAAGACCGCAGGGCGGGGACCTGTTCCTTTTTACCCACCTCCTAGTAGAGGTGTCCGTTTTGTTTATTTATTTACCAGCACAGAGGGAGCGGACCGTGAGTTCAGGAAATCCGAGGACGCGACCCACCTCGCCACAGACGGTCCCGCGCCTCGCCGCTATGACGGGGACACACCCCGCACTGTCCGCTGTGTCCCCGTCTTTGTCCGGAGTGAAAAGTCCAACGCGCTCGTCGGTGACGGCGTCCCCGGATTTCGCCGCGCTCGGCGAACCTCGACAGCGCTTTCGGTGGCATGCAGCTCTTTGCGACAGAAGCCTGGAGAGCAGCTCCTCTGCTGCTCACACACTCTGCACAGTTGACACAGCCTACTGTGCGGCTGCCACAGCTGTGACAGCGATGGGCTCGCCCTCACTGGCCCTCAGTCACTTGTGCTGCGGCTTGTGTGAGCGACACTGCTCGGCGACTGCCGGCACACTGTGAGACCGTGGGTGTGAGGTAAAACCACGCTACCAGCGCTTGGTCACATCGGCCCCGAGGTCAGATCCATCTACTCTGTTGATGACAAGACTTGTCTACTGGCTGGAGCCGAGCAGGAGGGCCCAGCGCACAACCCCTGGTCAACTCAGGGGCACAGGGTCCACACCCCGTACCAGAGCCGGTACTCTGCGCGTTGGTAACGTGCGCGTATGGGCGTACGCGCTCTCGCTTTCACGATCATTCGAAAAAAATGCGTTTGTTGGAGGTTGCATGTAGACCAACCACACACACACCCCGGGGGGCGAACTAAATGTGTGATGCCGCGGCGGCGCTGCTGTGTGCGCGGGGCTCCGCCCCGGCCTCAGTCTCGGTCGAAGTTGTAGTCGAACTTGTACACATCGAGCATGAAGGGGCGCAGGTTCTGCTTCTTCGCGAGCGCCTCCATCGCCGGGCCCTTGTCGAGCTTGACCAGCTCGCCTTGCGGTGGGGCGGCGGTGGAGGGCTGGGGTCAGAGCAGGCCCACGCACGCACGGCGGGGCCGCTGGGCGGCGAAATGAGGGCCGGCGGCGTGGCAGCGCGGGTGGTGCGGCGGTGCAGTAGTGGGAGGCAGCGGCGGCGGCGGCGGCGGCGGCTGGCTCGCAGCAGGGAGTCGGCGGGCTTGCAGCGGTGAGGCGGCGGCGGCGGGATGGCAGCGGTGAGGCGGCGGCGGCGGGCTGTAGCTCGCCGGTGAACGTCGGTGGCGCGACGATGTGGGCTGCGGTCTGCAGGTCGAAGGTGTAGTCGGTCTCCTCCTTTGGCCACACCTCGAAGCGCATCGGCACGCGCGCGAGCAGCATGATCGAGACCGCCCTCCCCTTGACCTTGCGCGGCGAGGACAGGAGCAAGTACTCGTGCGACTTGTCGCCCGTCACCTGGCGAGGCGGAGGCGGCGAGGCGGCGAGTCGGAGACGCGGCGTCGGCAGCCCGGCCCGGCGCCGCGCGACGCGCGGGGAGGGCGGCGGCGCCGCCGGCCTTGTCGGTCAGCATGATGCCGGAGTGGTAGATTTCGGACGTGTTTGCCGTGACGGCGAGGCCCGGCGAGAGCAGAGAGAGCTGCGAGACGGACAGCCCGGCGGGCAGCAGCGCGTCCCAGCGCGAGGTGTTTGCGTCGAGGCGCCACGCGCCGCTCAGCAGCTCGCCCGGGCTGGTTTTCAGCGGGAAGTGCGAGCCGAGCGACCAGTTTGAGCATGGCACCTCCGAGTGGTACACAAAGTAGGTCGGCATCAGCACGCCGAGGATCGAGACGACCGAGAGGGCGATCTCGGTCTTCTGGGCGTAGACGGCGCCAAAGACGACGCCGAGCGTGCACAGCGACGCGAGCGTCACCTCCCACGGCAGGCCGTCGTCGGTGTGCGAGGTGGCGGAGTTGCACAGAAAGGCGACGACGACGATGCCGAGGATGACCTGCGTCGAGGTCCTGCGGGCGGCGCGCGCGGGAGGCTCCAGACGCAGCGAGGGGATGAAGCGCTGGGTAGGAGCGCGCACCGCTCGATGAAGGGATTGCCTCGCGGCCTCGCCATCCGGCGCGAGCAACGACGAGAAAAAAGATAACGCACGGGCCCTCGGCGGAGCTGGGAAGAGGACCGCCGCAAGCGGCGTGGCGTGGAGCGGTTGAGCATCCCTCCGGGGGCCCCTCTGCGCCGGGGAGGCGTTGTTGGAGGCTAGGACGCAAGCGTCCGTCGCCCTTTTCAAACTCGGGGCCCACTCCGCTACGCTCCGACCCGAATTTGGAGGGCCTAAAAGTTTAAGGTGTTGCTGCGCAAAAGGGGTCGGACACCGGGCGCAGCTCATGCTAAGAGCTAGAAGAGGAGATAGAGAGAACAACCACCCTGTCCCGTTATTGCGTACACCAACAAACACCACAAAACGCTCTCTCTCTCCTGTCCGCTCACTCAGGGGGGTCACAACTACCAAGTCCCTCGACTAGCTGCCACAGGGCGCAGCTGCCACAGGGCGCAGCTGGAGACGCTCCCCCTCGGCATCCACCCCCACCCGCTCCAGCCCCACTTCTGCTGCCGAGAGAGCTGAATCGAAGCAAGCGTGCCATTGCATCTTGGCGTGCTCCTGGAGCGCGGCTTTCTGCGGCCACGAGCACGGCGGAGTCGGCGTCGTAGCGCGCATCGTTCCCGCTCATCGCCCATTCCTCCCGTGACGTGTGTCGGCCGCGATTCGATGTCGCCACCTTCATCGCCAACGAGGACTCCCTCGACTGCAGGGGGGCTCCGGCGCGGGGAGGGACTCCGCCTGCTGCGCTGGCCGACTGCGCCCTCCTCCTCCATGGGATCGATCCGATTCCGCAGCGGCGGTGCTGCGCGGGAGGCGGCCGCGGGCACGCTGGGCTCGATCAGCGGCTTTCCCCTCAGGTAGCGCGAAAGCACGGATTTGGCGGATTCTTGGCTTCAATTTTACGAATGTCTTGGCACCAGCTGAAGGCTTGGGTCCGACATCGCCGGATTCGTGCACGGTATTCGGATTTTGGCTATTTGTTCGTGTGGGGGTATATCGCAGATTTGTCAATGGTACCGCGTCTGCGACGCGGGCGCCTTGCGAGCAGAGCCCTTAGGACACCCTTTATATCTTGCGCGGTCAAAACTTTCCAGCTCATACGGTAGATCGGTCAGTCGGGGCGCAAGAGGTGGCCTGAGCCATAATCTTACGTTTACCCTGCGTTCTCGCAGATGTGCGAGGTATCTCGTTCTGTTGCCGTCCCAAACTGTCACTCCCCTTTCTCCCGGCCGGGGTGGGGCGCGCGCGGGGGCGGGTGTGCGGGATGTCTGTGGGCCCGAGAGCGATGTGCGTGTGTGTCCGCCTTGTCGAAGGCAGCTCAAAAGAAAAGGCACGTACCGCCTTTCAGATCAACAGGGGGACGCGAAGAGAAGCTGTCGGGCTTCCTCATTCCCGTGGACAAGGTTGTGGCCTCGATGACGCCGTCGTGGCTGCCAGCCGCCAGCGCCGCCGCCGCCGCCGCTGCCGCCGCCGCCGCAACCGTGTACCTGCTGCGGCGCAGCCGACTTCCTCCTCGTGGCGAGCTGCAGCCGGAGCTCGGCGCCGACGCTTCACTCCTCCGCCGCCTGCTGCATGTGATCGAGCACGAGATCCTGCCAAAGACGCGGGCCGAGGTGGCGGAGGGCAACAAGGTGTTTGGCGCTGCGATCCTCAACGCGAGCTTCGACACCGTGATAGCCGAGACCAACCACGAGACGGCGTGCCCAATCTTCCACGGCGAGATCTACACTATCGACCGCTGGGCTGCGCTGTGCAACAAGCCGCCGCCACAGGAGTCGGTATTCCTGGCCACGCACGAGCCCTGCTGCCTGTGCATAAGCGCCATCGTCTGGACCGGCTTCCGCCGGTGCTTTTACCTGTACCCTTACGAGACGACGAAGCAGCAGGGTGGCCTCGCCCGCGCCCTACCCACGAGCGGGCGGCCGGGAGTGAAGGGGCGGCGCTCACGCCAGCTCCCCACGCGCAGGCATCCCGCACGACCTCAACATCATGTACGAGCTCTGGCGGGTCGAGCGCTACCAGGAGCGCAACGCGCTCTGTTCGACCGCGGGCCTGCTGCCGCTGATTGGTGCGCCGGCGAGGTGGCTGCCCGCCGGTGGCACAGCGCGCGTGACGCGACCTCTCCTCCGCCGCCGCCGCAGACGCCCTTCCTCCCGGCGACGACAAGGCGGAGCTCGAGGCGACGGTGGCGCGCATCACTAAGCAGTACGACCTGCTTGCGTGCAAGTACCACTCTGAGAAGGCGGCCAACCCAAACAACAAAATGGCATTCAACTGACACTATTATTGGGAGAGAGGAGAGGCGGCAGGGCTGCCGCCCCGGCTCGCGCGGCGCGAGCGCGGCGCTCGAGCGCGCGGCGTGTGTATTTCGAGGTCTGTGTGGAGTATTTTGGATCGAGGCTTGGCGGTTCGGGCCGAGCAGCTTTACCAATGCATGTACGATGTTCGATTATGAAGGGGTGGCTTTCGTGTGAAACTCGTGAGCGGGTGCTGTGCCTGAAATAAATAGTCAGGAGCCTTGGACTGGAGACGCACACACCAGTCACCCGCGCGACGGCGGTCTTCCGCACGGACGGAGGGGTGGCGCGTGTGCGGGGCCGGGGGGGTAGCTGTTCTTGCCGTGGAGCAGCAGGAGCCGATCAGTCAGTCAAGGTAGCATGTCCCGCCCACACACATATACACACGCGCGCCCGCGCCATCACGCGCGCGCGCCATACACACACGCTGCACACAAACTGTGGAGGACCCAACGCCCCCGCGCCGCCCCATCACGACGCTTAAAATACAACACTCTCTCGCAGCACACTGGCCACACAAGGGCGTGGACTGGCACACTAGCACACGCATCACACAAAAAGAGAAAGACAGAGACGCCGCCAACGACGTGACCCTTGGAGCACTTACAATCCGGCGGCATCCTAATGACTTGCGAGATCCTTTGCGACATCTAGTGTCGGACACAGCACTTTTTGGGGCGTCGCTGTCGCCGACGGTGACTGCGGGCCTTGATGGGATGCGACCGCGGCTCGTGGAGCGCCCCACAAGATTCAAATGCCGTGTGCCTGCTCAGCAGCAGTGGCAACGGAGCAGCCGCAGCAACAACCCCCGGCCGCTTTCCAAGTGGCGGCGCTCCTCCAAACTCGAGTGGGGGTGGGAGTCGGCGCGTGCCATTGCATCAGAGGCCTCGCCGCTTCCCTGCGCCGCCACCAAAGACGCGGAGGTTGAGAAGGTTGAGAAGGTCTCGATCGGGGTCGACGCGATCACTATCGGGTTTTCGCACGAGGACGAGGACCCCGACACCTGCTACATCTGTCTTTCCTCGGAGGGCCCGATGCTGGTCAACATGTGTGCGTGCCGCTCGCTACGCGCACACCGCAGCTGCCTTCTCGAGCTCACGCGCAGGCAGACTGGCCCACCGGTCTGCGGCGTCTGCCGGCAGGGCATTTGCCCGGAGGAGCTCGAGCTCTCCCTGCCTACGGTGGAGCCCGTGGCACTGGGCTCCCAGTGGGGCAAGACCCTCCGTGTCACCAGCCAGATCGTCAACGTCATCTTCGGTGCGCCCCGCCCGCAGTCAGCGCCCCACTCCCTCTCCTCCTAAGCCGCTAATCATTGTTGGTGCGCAGGTCTGGTGATGCTGATGATGGGCCTGGTCGGTCTGATGGCGCCCGGCGCTCTCCCCGGCATACCGGTCGGCATCCACGTCTTTCAGCTGATCTCCGGCCTCGCCGTGTTTCTCCTCTCCTGCGCCACCGCAGGCCGGGAGCACGAACTCTCCGGGGATCTTTCCGCCGCTCAGCCTCAGGCAGCGGGGCCGGGAGCGCGTGCGTGAGGGGTGACGCCGCGCAGGGATCGCTCCGAGCAGGCTCCCTCTCCACATCGTCGGCGGAGCACGCAACTCTCAAAGCTGCCTCGACACCGCCTCATCGCTGACGTCGTGAGCGCGTGCATGTCATAGTCGAGCAGCATGTTTCCGCGCAGCGTGAGCTCCGCGCTGCCGTACTGTAGTCGTACGTCATCTGCATGCCATCCATCCCGCCCAGCGTTGACTGACGTACTTTTTACAACATTCCATGAAAAAGAGGCTGGCAAGCAGGTGGCCTGCTTGCTAGCATAAACAGGTATCGCGCGACGTTTCTTGGCAGCTCCCACCCGCAACCACTGCGGTCCTCCGCTACGCTTCTGGCGGCCAGAGCAGCACTCCTCCTCGGACCTGACCAGCGAATGCTCGCCCTGGTGTCGCTCATGCTCTGCCTCCTCCGCTCCGCTCCGGCGCGTGGCGTGGCGCTCGGTGCCGGCGGCGCCGGTCTGCGCGCTGCCGGCCGCGCCGGCGCTGTCCGCACTCGGCCGATGGCGATGGCGGTAGTCGAGTCGGCTGCGACTGTGACGCTGGACGAGCGGCTCGTGGCGGACGAGCCCTCGGTGGTGGTCTCTTCGCTGCAGCGGCGGCGCGCGTCGGAGGAGGTGATAGCCGCTGTCGACCGCATCGGCGAGCTGACGCGACAGCGCGCGGCGCTGGTGGAGGAGGGGAACGCGGCGCGGGCGGAGCGGAAGGCGCTCTCGCCAAAGATTGGCACGCTGCTCAAGGCGGGCGACGAGGCGGGCGCGGCGGCGCTCAAGGAGGACGTCGCCAAGGCGTCCGAGGTGGCTGGCGCGGCGGACGCAAAGGTGGAGGAGGTGGAGGCGGAGCGAGGGCGGCTGTTTGCGACGCTGCCCAACCTGCTCGACAGCCGGACGCCGGACGGGGCGGACGAGGAGGCGAACGTGATCCTCTCCGAGTGGGCGCCGGACGGGTACGGCGAGCTTCGCGATGGGCTCACCTGGCACGACGAGCTCGCGACTGCGCTCGGCGGCCTGGACCTCGAGGCTGCGTCCCCAAGCTGGCAGGGCCTTTCCTTCCCTGCGCCGCCCTTTCCCGTGACCCCTCTCGGAGCCCTCCCGCCCAGGCGGCGGCCAAGCTGTCCGGCTCGCGCTTCGCGGTGCTGCGGGGCGGCGTCGCGCGGATGGAGCGAGCACTCGCCTCTCTCTTCCTCGACCTGCACACGGGCGAGCGAGACAACCACCACCACCCTCCTGGCACCTGCGAGACACGTCGCAGACACCCTCCTGGCACCTGCGAGACACGTCGCAGACACCCTCCTGGCACCTGCGAGACACGTCGCAGACACCCTCCTGGCACTTGCGAGACACGTCGCAGACACCCTCCTGGCACCTGCGAGACACGTCGCAGACACCCTCCTGGCACCTGCGAGACACGTCGCAGACACCCTCCTGGCACCTGCGAGACACGTCGCAGACACCCTCCTGGCACCTGCGAGACACGTCGCAGACACCCTCCTGGCACCTGCGAGACACGTCGCAGACACCCTCCTGGCACCTGCGAGACACGTCGCAGACGCCCTCCTGGCACCTGCGAGACACGTCGCAGACACCCTCCTGGCACCTGCGAGACACGTCGCAGACACCCTCCTGGCACCTGCGAGACACGTCGCAGACACCCTCCTGGCACCTGCGAGACACGTCGCAGACACCCTCCTGGCACCTGCGAGACACGTCGCAGACACCCTCCTGGCACCTGCGAGACACTTCATGGGTGCTTCCCGGGCACTTACCAGACGCCTGCTAGACATTTGCTAGACGCTTGCTAGACCGCCTGCCACACTCGTCCGCGACCCTTGCACGCCACGCCCCCCCCCGCCCCCGCCCCCAGGCGAGCACGGGTATGTCGAGACGTCTGTCCCGCTGCTGGTGGGCGCCGAGGCGCTGCAGGGCACCGGCCAGCTGCCAAAGTTCCAAGAGGACTTGTTCGGCCTCTCCGCGCCGCTCAACGGGCGGAGACCCGCAGCGCCTCTCCCCGCCCGCCGGCCAGGACACGTCCACGACACGTCCCGCAGCCGCGTCCACTAGGCGCGAGGCGTACCTCATCCCGACGGCCGAGGTGCCGCTCGCCACGTCGAGAGCCTCGACAAGCCTTCCGTTCCCGGAGCCTTCCGGGAGCCCTCCCCCGCAGGTGCCGCTCACCAACTTGCACGCAGGAGAGATCCTCGACGAGGCTGCCCTCCCGATCTCGTACGTCGGCGCCACGCCCTGCTTCCGCGCAGAGGTGTGGGGGCTTGCCGGCCGCGACACGCCGCCACGCTCCGCGCCTCTCCACAGCTCTAGCCGAGGATAGGCGGGCTCTGCCGGCCGCGACACGCGCGGCCTCTTCCGCCAGCACCAGTTCCTCAAGGTCGCGCAGATCTGTGCCCAAACCTTTCGCCTCGACCCCAACCCCAACCCCAACCCCAACCCCGGCCCCACCTGACCCCAACCCTAGCCCTACCCCTACCCCTCCCCCTCGCCCTCACCCTCACCCTCACCCTCACCCTCACCCCTCACCCCTCACCCCTCACCCCTCCCCTCTCCACCCCTCCCCTCTCCACCCCTCCCCTCTCCACCCCTCCCCTCTCCACCCCTCCCCTCTCCACCCCTCCCCTCTCCACCCCTCCCCTCTCCACCCCTCCCCTCTCCACCCCTCCCCTCTCCACCCCTCCCCTCAAGGTCGAGCTGGTCAAGATCTGCACGCCCGAGCAGTCCGACGCGCAGCACCAAGCGCTCGTCGAGCACGCCGAGCGCTGCCTGCGCGCGCTGCAGCTGCCGTACCGCAAGGTGCTGCTCTGCGCTGGGGATATTGGCTTCTCCGCCCGCCTCTGCTACGACCTCGAGGTCTGGCTGCCGGGCCAGGGCCGGTGCGAGATCTGCCTCCCCTCCCTCCCCCCCTCCCTCCCTCCCCCCCTCCCTCCCCTCCCCCCCCCTCCCTCCCTCTCTCTCTCGTCCCCGAGCTGAGGCCCGCGCATGCCCTTCGAACCGTGGCCGCGCAGGTACCGCGAGATCTCCTCTTGCTCCAACTGCGGCTCCTTCCAGGCGCGCCGGATGGGACTCCGGTACCGCCCCGCGCCCGACGGCTCCGGCAAGAAGCGCAAGCCCGAGTTTTGCCACACTCTCAACGGCTCCGGCCTCGCGGTCGGCCGCGCGCTCGTCGCCGTCCTCGAAAACTACCAGAACGCGGACGGCTCCGTCACGGTGCCCGAGGCGCTCCGGCCATACATGGGAGGGCTCGAGGTGATCTCGGCGGAGTGAGATCGGCTGCAGCTCGTGCCGCGTGGCGAGCGAGCACGGCGCGCCACGGGCGGCAACTTATCTCGCCCATTTTGCGTGGTGCGTGGGCCACGGTCGCTTTCGAGGGCTCGAGTTGAGGGTCGTTTGTGGCCGGTGGAGAACGATAGAGGCTGTGGGCGCCGGCGGCGACGCAGAAAAAATGCTTGATGCGGCGAGGCACCGCGTTTCTTCCCAGGCGTTCCGCCGATACAGCACCGTGGCGCTCGATCTCTGTGTGTACTCTCTGGGAGCGAGACCCAGTCAGACAGAGAGGACTCGGGTGTCTCAGGACTCTCAACCATCAATCAGCGCCCAGCCACAGCTCCAGCCTCCACCCAGATCCCAGTCACACTGTCGTACGGCGAAGAGAACCGCGCCCAGGCCGGCGTTTTGCGACAACCAGCGAGGCACTCGCTTCGCTGGTCATCGCAAAACGTGAACAATCGCAGCCTGCGACCGGGAAAGTGGACCCCGATAAACTGGGCCCAAGGCGCGAGACCTCGGGAGGAGGCGCCTTTAGCGTCGCAACGCCGCCCGAATCGAGTGAATGCCATTGCACGCGCAAACGACGGGAGGTTGTGAGAGCTAGAGAGTGAGGATCAGAGCTACAGTGAGACAGCTTGGGAGCGCCAGCCAGCCACCAGTCCCAGAGAAACGTGGGTCGCGCACAGGGTCGACGTCGCTCGTTGGGAACTCTGCGACACATCACGTTCGACGACTGCATGGCGTGTCAGCCCTCTCCCGGCGGGACGCGCAGCGTGGGTGTCGACAGCTGCTTGAGGCCGGCGATGGTCGCCTGGTTCTCGGCGCAGCCCTCCGTGAGGTTGCGCACAGCGAGCAGCGCCCACTCGCGGACGAAGGGCTGCCTAGGGTAGGGAGTTGCGGGGCAAGGGTGGGCTACAGCCCACTGCAGCTCCACGCCCCAAGACTGGCAGGAGCTCCGCTGCATTGAAGATGCAAGGTGCGCGTGTGTGTTGAGTGTGAGTGTGTGCGTGCGTGTGAGTGAGTGAGCGAGCGAGTATGTCGTTTGTGCCTCTCGTCCAGCTTGCAGCGCTGCAGCACGGCGGCCAGCCCGCCCACCTCGCCAGCCAGCTTCTGGCAGGCGTGCCGCCGGAAGCAGAGCAGCGCCAGGAGCCGCACCTGTGACAGCAGCCAGGTGTGGACAGAGAACGAGAAGAGGTGTGTGATGCGGGAGGGGCCGCACCAGCTCCAGCTCCGCGCCGCGCGTGTCGACGGCCGGCGGCGGCGCGGCGCTGGTCGGCGCGCCCGCCGCGTCCTTTGGCGCGGCCAATCCGGCGGGTGGGTTCCACTCCGCCATCGCCGACAGGACGGCCACGACGGGCGGCACGAGCCCGAGCGCGGCGGCGTCGTCGTCGAAATCGGAGAAGGGCGTCTCGAGGCGCGCGGCGAGGGCGCACACCGCCCGCAGCAGCGCGAGCGTCGAGAGCGGGCACGCGGCGGCGGCCTCGCGCGCGCCCTCCTCCTCCTCCCACCACGCACGCGACGCGGCGAGAGGCAGCTGCGCGGCGAGGGCTGCGGCGAGGTGGCGTCCCCCTCCGACGGAGAAGTCGTCGAGGAGGGGAGGCACCTGACCGCCAGGGTCGGGGTCAGGGTCAGGGTGAGGGTCAGGGTCAGGGGCAAGGTCAGGGGCAGGGCGGGGGCAGGGGCAGGGGCAAGGACAGGGGCAAGGGCACCTGCTCGCTCAGCCGCTGCAGCGCCACGGCGAGCTCGAGCCGCGCGCCTGGATGCCGCAGCGCAGCGGCAGCCGCCAGCAGGTCGGGCAGCAGCCCGCCGGCGACGAGGGAGGAGAGGAGCAGCGCGCCCCACGAGGCCTCGGCGCCAACCTGAGTGGAGGGAGGGAGCGTGTGAAGGGGGGGGGGGGGGGGGTTGGAGGAGGCGTGGAGGAGGCGTGTGAAGGGCCGCACCACCCCGTTCGCAGAGCAGGCAGAGGACATGCGAGGGACGTGTCATGGAACATGTGTGCATGTCTAGGAAGTATGGCGAGATCGCACCACCCCGTCGCGGAGCAGACAGAGGCAGCAGCTCAGCCAGCCGCGAGCCGCGCGTGGCCCCGACACGAGAGCCTTGAGTCGCGACGGGTGGCCACGCACGCACTGGTACAGCACAGCGAGGCCCACGCTGCTCCGCTTGCGCTGCTCGCCGCCGCCGCCGCCGCTGCCCGCCACGATGAGCGGCGCGAGCAGCCGCGGCCACCACGACCACACCTCCTCCTGCGCGCGCTCGTTCTGCACGCAAGCGTTGGAGAGGAGCTGCAGTGCGGCGAGGCAGCAACTGTGCGCCTCCTCGCCCGGCCCTGCCGCCTCGGCAGCCTCGGCCGCGGGGACCACGCCTGCCGCCGCTGCTGCTGCCTCCTCCGCCGCTGCCGCCGCCGTCGCCGTCGCCGCCGCCGCCGCCGCCTCCTCCTCCTCCGTCGCCGCTGCCGCCGCCGCTGCCGCCGCCGCTGCCTCCACCGCTGCCGCCTCCACTGCCTCTGCCGCCTCCGCCGTGGCGATGGCTAGCCCGTGGACCCTCGCCAGCGCACCCGCCTCGAGCAGCGCGTCCTGCACCGCGGCGCTGCTCGCGCAGCAGCTGCGCATCAGCCGGCAGAGGAGGAGGAGCGCGCGCAGCATCCCTCCTCCCGGCAGCTCAAGCCTCGCGGGGCTCGGCCCTGCGGCGGCGGCCTGGCCGGCTGCGGCCTGGACCGCCGCCTCGCCACCCGCCGCCTGGCCAGCCGCTGCCTGATCAGCTGCCCGGTCAGCTCCGCCCTCACTCCACCGCCCAACGAGGCGGCTGAAGCCTGCTGCGAGGCCCACGCCGAGCCGCTCGCCCTCGCGGCCGCTCTCGCGCGCGGCGCGCACCGCCGCGGGCAGCAGCGCCGCCAGCTCGTGAGCATCCTCCGCCTCGATCGCCGCGCGGATGCGAAGCAGCTCCGAGGCGGCTGCGGCGGCTGCGGCGGCCGGCGGAGCTAGCGCCTCGAGCTCTCGCAGTGCAGCCATCGCCACCGCCTAGAAGGCAGCGTCGCTCGCTCTCGTGAGGGACTGCGCGCCTCCGTGCCGGGCGAGCGGCCACCGCGCCTGCGCGGGCTGCGAGCCATCGAGCACGGACAGAGGGAGGGTGGCCGCGTCGAGGGCAGGCAGCGTGATGCGCTCGTACGTCGGCCAGACGACGTCCAGAAAGTAGCGGCGGCAGCCCTCCTGCTCCGACTCGGACCGCGTCGAGCGCTGCAGCCGACGGCGCAGGCACGCCTCTCGGTCGACGCGGAGGAAGAGGGCGGAGTCGAAGAGCGAGAGCAGCGGCTCGTCCTGCAGCAGCAGAAAGCCCTCGACGAGCACGATCTGCAGCTGCTCCGCTCCGCGTGCGGCTTCGTCCGGCTCGGGCGGAGGTCTGCCGGCGGCGCGCACGTCCTCGGCGAGCCGCTCCATGTCAACGGCCGCCGGTGTGTCGTGCTCCGGCGGTGTCGACCAGTACGAGGCGGGCTTGGGCAGACGAAAGTAGGAGTCCTGGTGTAGCAGCGTGACGCGCACACCCTCGTGGCGGAGGGCCGCGGCGAGGGTGACGGCGAGGGTCGACTTGCCAGAGCCGGACGGGCCGGCCAAGGCGACGGCGACGTGTGAGTGCGCGTGCGCGTTCATGGCCGATTTTCGCTTTCTTTTCCTAGTCCCGTGCCCAGTGTTGTGCGAGGGAGTTTTGTTATAACTATGAGAGAGTGGGTTTGTTAAATTCTTTTCCTCTGCGCCTACAAAAACTACTTTATCTGGGCTTCACTTCCTAGCATCCGTGAGGATACATTGGAGCGTACTAGGGTCCGTCTGGAGTCGTCGCGTGCCTCCACAAGGAAGAGCTACGCAGTGGTTGGTCCCTGACTGACATCCCCTTGCTGGGGTCCTGCCACTAAAGGCGGTGGGTTGGGACTCGATCAGCTTGGACGACCACGGGCACGGAGGCAAGCCTCAACGCCCCGTGGCCTGGCCGCGTCGCCGAAAGGGATCGCACCACAGACCAGAGAGAGGGAGGAAGGAGCTTCTAACCATGCGGAGAGCCCTCAGTGCTCAGAACGACCCCCCTCATTCCAGGAGAGGGTGCGGGTGGGGAAAGCGAAGAACCGGCGCAGCCAGAGTGCTGGCGCGGTCGCAGAGCCTGGCGCGGCCACAGAGCGGCACGGCGCCGGGGCCAGGAAGAGCAGCGAGAGAGCTGCAGGAGCACCACGCAAAGAGCGCGGCCACGCGAGGCACGCGGAACGTGCTTGGACGTACGTCGCGTCCTGAGTGTTCACGGAGAAAAATCCGTGAAGACTGGCAGGAGGGATGAAGTCCCTTCATATGAGAAGACGCTCCTCAGTGAGTACCTGCGATAAAGTAGTAGCGCTCACACGAGTTGGGGCCCCTACCCCAATCGTTGACGGCGAACTCTCTCTCTTTCACCCCTTTTTGGTGGCGGCGTGCCGTCCTCCCATCCCTCCCCTGTCTGTTGTGCGTATTTTCTTTCTTTTCTCGACGGACTCGTGTGCGCCCCGCACCCATGCTGCCACATAGCTCAATTGCTGCCACGCACAACTAGCGATTTCGCGCGGCCCGGTGGAATCATCCCGGCTACTCTGTCCACCGCCAAAAGGTCGGTGTGATTATAACATCGATCTTGGTATCCCAGTTTTGTAATTAGCGCTGATCTGCCGACCCGTTCCTCCCGCATTTTTTACCCTGGGGTACCGGCGAAACAACAAAATACTCGGCGCGAAACTCTTCACAAGAGCGGGGTAGTTCATTCGTCGTCGTCAGAGGCGGCACCCACCGCCCGAGGTGAGGCTGTCCGGCAGCGTGAGGCTGGTGAGGGCGGAGCAGCCGCCGAAGGCCCTCTCGCTGATCGAGGCGAGGCTGTCCGGCAGCGTGACGGCGGTGAGGTAGTCGCAGCCGTTGAAGGCTTCGTCGCCGATCGCGGTGAGGCTGTCCGGCAGCGTGATGCTCGTAAGGGTGGAGCACTCGTAGAAGGCGCCGCCCTCGAGTGCAATCACGCCGTTGGGTACAAGCGCGTGCCCACCCTCATCTATCGGGTACGCCGGGCCCTCCTCCTCCTCCCCCTCCTCCTCCCCCTCCTCCTCCTCCTCCTCCCCTCCCTCCCACCGCTCCATCTTTTCACGAGCCGCCGCCGCCACCTCCGCTCCTCCGAGTCGCTGTCCTGCACTGCCTGCAGAAACTCGAGCAGCGTCGCAAACGTCCGCGCTACGGCCTCGCCAGTGGGCTCTGGCTCTGCCGTCGAGGCTTGCAGCTTCCGCTCAAGCGCACCAGCGACACAGCGGGCAGTCAATTGTTCGCGACTTGATCATCTTGATGGTGCACAGCTCGCAGAGCGTCGCGTGGCCGCATGGCTGGTTCCGAACGGTGCGAGGGCGGCTCGTGCACATGGTGCAGCTCTCGCCGTCCTCGACCTCCATTGGCTCGAAGCGCGCTGCGGACATACCGAGAGAGATGCGAGATGCAGCGAGGTTCCCCGCCCATGCAGGTTGACGAGATATGCCACGCCAGGGAGCGGTGGTCGTTTCCGCAGGCGAAAGGTTGGCCTCTACGAGGGTTTCCGGCAACCCAGCAAACCACGACATACACGCGCGGCCGCCCCCCGTGCAAGCTTGCAAAACTCAACGCAAGGCGGATGACCGATGAATGAGGCGCGCTCGCAAAACTCAACGCGCGGAGTTTCCCCCCCATATTGCCCAAGGCACAGAATGAGAAAGCCGCGAGTGAATAACACAGTCCTACATGCACATGCACATGCATATGTCCTGGTAGCATATGCGCACAACGACGATCAATCACAGTCACAAACAAAAAGAAAGAAAGAAAGCTCGGAAAAAGCCAGCCAGCGCAGCCGCCCATCGATCGCGCTGGTGCTGGCGCTCGCATCGCCTCAGATCACCTCCGCCCGTCCGGGACAGAGCTTCGCATTGCACACGTGCACACACCTTCATGCGATTTTCGCCCATGCGTGCGCGCGGGCGCGGGTACCCCCCCCCCCCCCTCCCTCTGCCCAGCGAGAGTTGTCCGGGACTCGAGTCCGGGACGCATCCTTCTTATACCCTTTGTCTGGGACTCGAGTCCGGGACGGAAAACGCTCGTAAATGGCAAGCCAACGCACGAATCAACGGACAACGTTGCAGGCGGCGCTCGAGAAAGTCAATCAAACTCGGCGCCCGTGTCGCGGACAGCCAAGTAGGTACTCCGTCCGACACAAGTCATCGACGCGAACAACCTCAAGGAACGCCCAGCCCCGCTGGGACAGTCCCGCGCTGCCATCCGCACGCCGATCTCACGACCGTCCAGCCCTGCGCACAGGTATGCTGCTCCTCGCGATTGCCGTGTTGCCCGCGCTGCCGACACCACCGCCACCCACTTGCGTCATGGTCTCGCGCGGGCAGGGCGGCTGTGGTGGCTACCCGTACATGGTCGATGGCTTGACCGGCACCGCTGACGACGCCATCAGCTACTGCCTCGCGAACCCTGCATGCATCAAGGTGCAATGGGACTCGACGGGCAACATCTACCCGAGCGACTCTGACAGTTCGGTGCAGGACCGCGAGCCGAACGGGCACAATGGCTGGAGCTGCCGGTTCAAGGAGTGCTCTCCGCCGTCCGCGTCACCATTGTTCCAGCAGACAGGAGGCTACACCGGACCCTCAGTCCCCGACTTCAACCTTGGAGCCGATGATTTTGTCATCGAAATGGACGTCACGCCTCAGACTCCAGGCATGAACCAGCACGGCGGGACTATCATTGGCCGCCATCAGTCAGGCGTTGCACTTGGATGGGCGCTGATTTTGACCAACTCTCTGCACGTTGTCCTGACACTGTACGGCGCCACGGGATACGACATGAGGGCGCCCCCCTGGAAGCCGGCCTGCGTGCAGGACGACGTCACCTTCCTGGGCTGGTGGGGCGGCGAGCTCATGTCCGCTCGCGCTCTCACGGTCGGCCAGAAGCAGCGAGTGGTGTTCTCGCGTCGTGGCCAAGACCTCTCCTTGTACGTGGATGGCAGCGAGAGCTGCAAGGCCAGCCTGGACTCCTACACCGACCCGAGTGGCTTTGTTCCGGTGACCATCGGCGCGCACTACATCGGCGACCAGCTCACTAAAGCGCCATTCTTTGGCAAGATCGAAAACACCGTCGTCAAGCGCGGCTCTCTGGCGCCTCCGCCCGCTCTCGCACCATAAAGCTCGCACCATAAAGCACGCGTCCTTCGGCACGGTCTCGTATGGCATGCCTATCGTCGCGCTCGAGGCTGTTGGCGTTGCATGTTCGGTCGTCCCTCGCGCGCTGGCACGTGCCAGGAGGTGCTCGCGGAGGGCGTAGTGAAGCGCTGGTGCAGGTGACGAGGAACGGACACAGGCACACCTTGGAAGAAGAAAATCCGGGAGGACGCAACCGTGGTACACCTGTGCCGGGAAAGGAAGAAAATCCGGCCGGCGTGACTGAGGCGTGACAAAGGATTACGAGCGCGAGGCGCCACACACAAGCCGCACAGAAGCCGCGCACCGGCTGCACGCCGCCCAGCGCGTTAGCAGCACCGCTCCCAGCACCGCCGGCGGGCACGGCCGCGGCCATGTCCGCGTCACGCTGTGCGGCCCACGCCGTGCTGCTGGCTTACGCTGCCGCTGCTGCGGCCGCCGACGTTGGCGCGTTCGACTGCGCCAACCGCTCCTATCCAATGCAGACAGTGTTGAACGAGACTACGCAAGACTACGAACTCGTGGAGCTGAATCTGAAGACGGGCGAGTACAACCTCGTCTACACCTTTGACTCCAGGTTCAGTGACACCAGGTACAACCCCAACGCACCGACTCCCTCGCCGTCCATGAACGCGATGGCCTACAACCAGAAGGACTCGATCGCCTATGGCCTCTTCCGTGATTCAAACATGCCGAGCGATGACTACAACCTGTGCCGCCTGTCCGCCGACCAGGCGGAGCAGCCGGTGCAGTGCCTCTGCAGGGTTCAGCGAAGCAGTAAAAAGGATGACTACAATGGTGGCTCGCTCTACGCTGGTGCTATCCACAACGACACCTACTTTGTGAGCTCGGGAGGGCACGACCTGTTCGCAGTCCGGAGGGTGAGCAGTCTGACCGTCAACACCGACGACGTTTGCCCGGGAAAGTGGCTCTATGAAGGCTATCCGGAATTAGTTGCGGACTTTGGGGCGCCAGACTTTGCAACTGACTTGGAGACGCTCGGGCTCACGAGGGGTGATCTCATAAATCAGCTCGGTTGGAGCGATACAGGGATCTCGGAGAACTATCTCAAATACAGTCTACTCTACGTGTTTGACAGCAACGACATTGTGATTGACTGGAAGCCGATCAAGCACAACTATGCAGAGGGTGTGAAGCAAAACTATGCCGATCTCATCACGTACGAGCTTGAAGGCCAGACGTACCTCGTTTGGCTCGGCGAGAGGGACGCCTCCATGTTCGTCATGAGAGTTGCTGGAGAGGAGATCGACGGCTACGCCCTCATTCGTACTCGTATTGTATGGGATGACTGCAATGGGTGCCCGGGTCCCGGACCGTTCGACACTTTCGGCGCCGGCTTCAAGTACGTCAACGAGTTCGGCGTGCAGCTCTACTTTGCGGCGAACAGCGGCGTGGGCGTGCTCAAGGTTGACGTCGCACAGCTCGATGTCGCGATCGGGGCCTGCAACTGGACCACGCATGCCTGCGGACTCGGTGCCGGTACCACCGTCGATCTCACGCGCATCAATGCAGCCTACGAAACCACGACCAATGACGGCTTCAACTGCGAGACGGCGAATGATCCCTTTCTTCCTTCGCCTCCGCCGCCGGCACCGCCGGTGTTGCCTCCGCCGCCCTCCACCCCGCCCTCGCCGCCTCCCCCGTCGGCCTCGCCCTCGCCTCCGCCACCCTCGCCGCCACCGCCGTCACCGCAGCAGCCGTCGCCGCCACTCCCGTGCAGCTTGGTCGGCGACTTGGTGATCATTCTTGATGCCAGCGGCAGCATAACAAACAGCCGGGACGATGTGGCGGCGTTTGCACAGGACGTTGTGGACTCTTTGGATGTCGCCGAGACGGTCGCTAAAGTGGGGCTGGTACAGTTTGCCTCCGACACGACCAAGCTCAGCGACCTCACCTTCAACACTGGCGACCTCACGTCTGCCATTGAGGTTTACAAAAACGGCGGTCCCCCGTATGGATGGACCTTCATTTCCAACGGGCTCCTCATGGGAGAGCAGCTGCTCGCTACTGGCCGCTCAGGTGTCACGAAGGTCATGCTACTCCTGACCGATGGAGAGCAGACCTGCAGCCGCAACCCAGGTTGTGTCGCAAACGACGACTCCTGTTACGAGAACTGGGACTTTAACAACAGCCCGCTCGGCGATTACAAGGCCGGGAGTCTTTGCGGAAACGACATCGGACCTTATCAAAAGCCCGAGGCGATACGGCAGGCGCAGCTGATCAAGGAGCAAGACCCAGACCTGGTCCTTTTCGCAGTTGGCTTCGGAGGGGTGAGCAACGACACGCTGGAGGCCATTGCAACGCCGGGAAACTCCATCTTTGGCAGCACCATCCAAGACATCATTGCCGAGTTCGAGGAGAAGAACCTCTGCACAAGGCTCTCTCCGTTGGCCCCGCCGAGCCCGCCATCTCCGCCGCCACCATCTCCACCGCCGCCCACGCCACCGCCGCCGTCGGCGTCACCGTCGCCACCGCCGCCGTCGGCGTCGCCGTCGCCACCGCCACCCTCGCCGCAGCCGCCGCCCTCGCCGCCACCTCCTCTGCCGTTGCCGCCACCGTCGACGCCGCCACTGCCGCCGCCTCCGTCGCCTCTCCCACCATCGCCGCTGCCCTCTCCGCCGCCGCCCTCGCCACCGCCGCCCTCGCCGCCACCTCCTGCGCCGTTGCTGCCGCCGTTGACGCCGCCGTCCCCGCCGCCGCCCTCGCCTCCCCCACCATCGCCGCTGCCATCGCCGCCGCCGCCCTCGCCACCGCCGCCGTCGCCGCCGCCGCCGCCACCATCGCCGCCGCCGCCGTCACCGCCGCCACCCTCGCCGCCGCCTTCGCATCCGTCACCGTCGCTGCCGCCGCTGCTGCCGCCGTCCCCGCCGCCGCCCTCGCCGCTCCCGCCGCCGCCACCGACGCCGCCACCTCCCTCACCGCCGCCATCGCCGTCCCTGCCAGCTCCCCCGTCTGCACCACCGCCGTTCCCGCCTCCGCCGTGGTCGCCAGGTCACCACGACCCACCATCCTCGCCACCCACCCCGCCCTCCCCGCCGCTCTCGCCCCCGCTGCCACCGCCACGCCCGCCGCCGCCGCCGCCGCCATCGCTACCGCCCCTGCAGCCCCCACCGTCGTCACCACCCTCGCTGCCGCCGCCCTCGCCGCCGCCCTCGCCGCCGCCGCCCTCGCCGCCGCCCTCACCGCTGCCACCCTCGCCGCCGCCACCCTCGCCGCCGCCACCATCGCTACCGCCCCTGCCGCCCCCACCGTCGCCGCCACCGTTGCTGCCTCCGCCCTCGCTGCCGCCCTCGCTGCCGCCGCCCTCGCTGCCGCCCTCGCCGCCGCCGCCCTCGCCGCCGCCCTCGCCGCCGCCGCCCTCGCCGCTTCCTCCCCCACCGCCGCCTCCGTCGCCCCCACCGCCGCCATGGTCGCCGGGGTACCGAAACCCACCCTCTACACCGCCCGCCCCGCCCGCCCCGCCGCTGTCGCCGCCGCCACCAGCACCACCGCCGCCGTCGCTGCCGCCACCCTCAACACCACCGATGCTGCCGCCGCTTGCGCCTCCACCCTCTCCGCCACCGCCGTCGCCGCCGCCGCCCTCCCCGCCACCCTCCCCGCTGCCCCCGCCGCCGCCACTGCCGCCGCCGCCAACTCTACCACCGCCAGCATCTCCTCCGCCGCTGCCCCCGCCCCCGCCCGCGTCGCCGCCACTATGGCCCCCGGGTGCGCCGGGTGAGCTCTGCGCAAGCGAGGAGGAGCTCGAGGCTGCCGGGTACAACCTCACGTACTTTGACGAGGCCGGCAATTACACCGGCAACTACACCAACTCGACCTTGATGTGCGGTGGTGTCCCGTGCCCCTGCATCATCCCGCTGGGGCCCGCCTTTCTCGCGCCTGTTGTCGTGGCCGCGCTCTGGCCGCTCTGGCCAGCCTTCCTGGCCCTGTTTGGGAGCTCGAGCCTCTTCTTTCTGCGCCGAGCGAGGGCTCCGCCCCCTGGCATCGACATGGGCACCGACGGGGCGCAGTTCCCGGAGCCGGACATCGAGGCCGGGCCAAAGGGGCCGCCGCCCGAGCCGCCAGCGGCGATGGAGGCGCCCGTGGAGCCGCAGCTCTCTGAGCCCGCACAGATGGTCGCCAGTCAGCCGACCACCTTTGACGTCCCCCCGGACCACGGCCCCGTGGCGTCGGTCCCGCCGGAGGAGGCGTTCGACCCGCAGGAGCAGGCGGACATGGTCAGCCACATGAACAACCTGCTGCGCGACTCGCCCGTCCTCGCCAGCGGGCCGATGAACCCGCTCGGCAACGACGTCTTTAGCAAGGCTGCCGGCGGCGAGCTGCTCGGCAGCCTGCTCGCAACCTCCGACCCCGACGCCCTCGACCTGCGCGCGCTCAACACCGCGCCGGCCGACGGCACGCCCTTCACGCCCGAGGCGCAGCTCGAGAACCACACCCTGCTCGTCAACGCCGCCGCCTCGGTCGGCGCGGCCGTGCCGCAGATCCACGAGACGCAGCTGCTCTACGCGCCGCAGCACAAGCAGGTGGCGCTGCAGCAGGCGTACAACATCATCAAGCACGGGCTGCTCTCCAAGGTCAACGCGGCGACGGTGCCCTTCCTGGCGCAGCTGCTCGAGCCGGGGGAGAAGGCGGCGCAGGTGCCGCCCGAGGCGCTTCTCTCGCGCTGGGTCAACAAGAACGTGGAGGACTACCTCATGCAGCACCCACAGGACCGGCGTCGGCTGCCGACAGACCACGTCGTCAGTGAGGCGCTCGACGGCGACGTCACGACACAGCTCGCGATGGCGCTGCACCAGGTGGCCAAGGAGCCGCTGCTCTCCGTCGGCAACGTCATCCTCCCCACCGTGCCGATAGCGCCGGGGGCCCTCGGCGGCGAGCCTGTGGCGGGCGGCGCGTGGGGCTCCAGCGCCATCGGCGGCAAGGACCTGCTGCTCAACTCGGGCGTGGACGGCGGCGGCGCCGCTGCAGAGCCGCCGCACGAGGCGCGGGGCGAGATGGGCGAAATGGACGAGCTCAACGCTCGGCTCGACCACCACACAAACGACCCCGCCCTCGCGCGCTCCACGGCCGGGCTGCCGACGACGCCCTTCGTGCCGCAGCCGGCGGCCGGTGCGCCAGCCGGCGGCACGACCATGCCGCTGCAGCAGGCCATCATGCCGACGACGGTGCACATGCCGCTCGCGTCGGCCAACGCGGGCGAGGGCCTGCCCGAGACGTTCTGGCGCGCGGGGCCCGAGGCGCGCGCCAAGCAGGTCATCGACCACGCCATCGCGGGAGCGGGGCCCAAGGTCTTTGCGGTCGCGCCGAGCGACCTTGCGAAGCCGCGGCCCCGGATGCAGCAGTGCTTCGTGGCGTCGGTGGTGGACGCCTTTGGGGACGGCGGCGAGGATGGCGAGCTGGACACGTACGAAGACGAGACAAACGACTCGGCCGAGGCGCGCGTCTTCAAGAACTGGGCGGCGTCGCTCGGCCTCAAGCTCAACATGAAGGACCTCTTCTCCGACTCGTGCTCTGGCATCGTGCTGCTCAAGGTGATGGAGCGGCTGCAGCCGGGCTCGGTCGACTGGGGACGCGTCGAGGGCACGCCAAAGAACAAGTACGAGAGGGTGGCCAACTGCAACTATGCCACCAAGGTGGCCAAGGACCTCGGCTGCAAGCTCGTCGGCATCTCGGGGCAGGACATTGCCGACGGCAACGAGAAGCTGCTTCTGGCCATCTGGTGGCAGCTGATGCGCAAGGACTTCATGCAGTTCCTCGACGAGCTCGACATGGACCAGGCGCACGTGCTCACGTGGGCCAACGCGCAGGTGGCGAAGAGCGGCACCGACATCCAGCTCCGCCGCTTTGGCGACAAGGCGATCCGTTCCGGCGTCTACCTGCTGCAGCTGATGAGGGCGGTGGCGCCTCACGCCGTCGACGAGGCCCACATCAAGCCGGGCCTCACTGAGCTCGAGCGGCAGCTCAACGCTAAGCTCGCCATCTCGACGGCGCACAAGATGGGCGCCCGCGTCTTCTGCGGCTGGCAGGACATCCTCGAGGCGCGGCCCAAGTTGATGCTGTCGATGGTTGCGGCGGTGATGAGCGTCTACCTCAAGACCAACAGCTACACCAAGGACGACGTGCTGCGCGAGATGCGGCAGGGCTCCGTCGCGCTCGGGTCGATGCGGGCCTCGCAGCGCGGGTCGCCGCGCGGAGAGGCGCCGGCGGGCGCGAGCTCGTGCGCCGGGGCGATGGCGGCCGCGTCGACCTGGGCGAGGCCGCACCAGCTCGTCGAGGCGGCGCGCGGCAGCCTCGAGGCGGACAACCTCGAGGCGCCGCAGATCAGCAAGGCGCGGCAGATCCGGGAGCGGGCTCAGGTGGCGGGCGTGCAGGCCGGCCGAGTCATGCAGGCGCCGGAGGAGAGCGGCATCGAGCGGGCGACCAACTCTTTTGCCACCAAGGTCCGGCGCGCGAGGGCGCTCTCCGCCAAGACGCGCGCCGAACCTGCTCTCGAGCCTGCAATGGCGACGATCAGCGTCGCAAACTTCGCACCCGTGGCGCCCCCACCTGGGCTGCCACCGCTGCCCACTGCACGGGGAGGCGCGCCGCATAAACCGGATGAGCTGCCGGCGACACCGGAGCGTGGCTCCTCTGTGTACTCGCCGCGCTTCGCCGTCTGAGCGCCGGGCTTGAAATGTGCATTACGCGCGGCCCTCTCCCTGAGGGGGTTCGCGAGCCGACTTTAACAGCATAGCATGACCGTGAGAGCTTCAGCAGAGAGAGGAGGAGGGAGAGTGATGGCGTGTGTGGGTGTGGGTGCGTGTACGAGTTCCGCACCGTTATGTACTGTGCTCTGACCCCTCGTGTGCACTATCTCTGTAGAGCCGTGTATGGCGTGGGTGGGGCCCCACATACCGTGCGACGAGGGGGGGTTGGAGGGGGTCGGTGTAGAGGCGTGTGTGGTGTGGCGTGGTGCGTGACGTGCGGAGATTGGTGTTTCTCATTTTTATTCAAATGACCTGGAATGACACGACACAGACGACTATTCCAGTGTGCACGCTGGAATACACAGAAACATGCACAGAGAGCTCTCAGGAGTGAAGGAGAGAGATGCATGACCATGAGAGATCGACAGCAGGCGCTGGAAGCTTTCAGTGGTACGTCAGTAGGAGGTGTCTCAGAGAGGAACGTTGGTGCATAGAGCCGTATGTGTCGGGCTCTCACGTCTCAGCGCACACGTCACGTGTGTGCCTCTACTCGTCGCGCGTTGGAGTCAGACGCTAGCTTCGGGAGGCAGCAGCCAGACGGCCACGGCGCCGCCGGTGCCCGGCGAGGCGACGAGCTCCGCACGCACGCCCGAAGCGGCGCGGTAGAGCCGGTCGGCCAGCGCAGGCACGCACTCGGCCGCCTCTCCGCCTCGCGCCGCAGCCTCGACGTCGGCGACGAGGACGCAGCGCGCGCCCGCGGCGTGCTGCGCCTCGGCCCAGCGCAGCGCCTCAAAGACGCCGCTCGCCGCCGCCGCCGCGTCCGCCCGCTCCGAGAGGTCTCTGTACGCGGCCGCGGCGGGGCGGAGGTGCGCGAGCCGCCTGCGGGAGAGTGGCGGCGGAGGAGGTCGGAAATGGCGGCCGCTCGGGCGGGGAGGGGGCGGGGGCCATCTCGGCCAGTCTCACCCCCCAAAGTCGAGCAGCACCGCCTCTATCTCCCTCTATCTCCCTCTATCTCCCCATGTCTCCCCATGTCTCCCCATATCTCACCCCCCAAAGTCGAGCAGCACCGCCTCTATCTCCCTCTATCTCCCTCTATCTCCCCATGTCTCCCCATGTCTCCCCATATCTCACCCCCCAAAGTCGAGCAGCACCGCCTCTATCTCCCTCTATCTCCCTCTATCTCCCCATGTCTCCCCATGTCTCCCCATATCTCACCCCCCAAAGTCGAGCAGCACCGCCTCGCCCAACGAGAGGGGCGCGCTGCCCGCGCCCGGGGGAGGGGCCGCCAGCAGCTGCGGGCCGCGCAGCAGGTAGGCGGGCAAGTCGGGCGAGTAGTGAGTCAGCAGCATGCCTGGCGAGACCATCGGCTCGACCGCCGCCCCGCCCGCCGCCGCGCCGCCGCCCCCCGCCGCCGCCTCGCTGCCGCTGCCGCTGCTGGCGGTGGCGGCGCCGCTGCCGCCGTCGTGCGGCGTTGGCTGGTGCGCCGGCTTCACCTTGAGGGTGAAGCGCTGCGCGGCGCCGCCCTGCTCCGCCGCGAGCCACCGCTCGAGGGAGGCCTACGAGGCGACGCGCAGAAGACGGCCTTGAGAGGGGAGTGGGGAGGGCCGAGCCGCCGCCGGCAGGAGCCTCGGGCACGCCGCCGCGGCGCAGCAGGACGAGCTCACCCGCCTGCGAGGCGCGAAGGGATCCATCACTCAATTAATCAATCAATTCGCTCACCCGCCTGCGAGGGTCTGGCCGCGAGCGTGAGCTAATTAATTAGTTAATCAATTAGTTAGGCGAGGGTCTGGCCGCGAGGGTGAGGGGCTGCCTTGCCGGTCGGTCGCGAGAGATGGGGGTTAGAGATGGGAGGGGAGGGAGGGGAGAGGTGAGGTGGTGGGGCCTGCAACGGTCTCAGGGTCAGGGCGAGGGCACGGCTGTGGTAAGACCGAGGTGTGGCATGCGGTGTGGTGGGGCCTGCAACGGTCTCAGGGTCAGGGCGAGGGCACGGCTGTGGTAAGACCGAGGTGTGGCATGCGGTGTGGTGGTGCCTGCTCGTCTCAGGGTCAGGGCGAGGGCACGGCTGTGGTAAGACCGAGGTGTGGCATGCGGTGTGGTGGTGCCTGCTCGTCTATCTTGACGACGGTGCTCTCGATGCCTACGCCGCAGCAATCGGCGGGCGGCGCGTCGAGGACGAGGATGGGGTGGTGGGCGAGGTCGTCCATCACGTGCTGTGCGCGGGTCGGGCTCACGTGCCCGAACCGGTTCGCCGACGGCGCCGCCACCGGCACCGCAGCGCGCTGCAGCAGCTCGCGCGCCAGCGCGTGCTCCGGCACCCGCACGCCGACGTAGCCGCTGCCAGAGGTGACGGCGGAGGGGAGCTCGGGCACCGCGGGCGCGACCAGCGTGAGCGGCCCCGGCCAGAAGCTCGCGGTCAGTCGGCGCATCAGCTCCAGCCCGCCCGGCCCGAGCCGCACCAGAGCCTCGGCCGCGCCGGCGCTCGCCACGTGCACGATGAGGGGGTCGGAGCGAGGCCGCCCCTTGACCGTGAATATGCTCGCGACGGACGCCTCGTTGAAGGCGTCGGCGCCCAGCCCGTACACAGTCTCAGTCGGGAAGGCAACCAGCCGCCCACTGCGGAGAGCGCTCGCCGCCTCGTCGAGCGAGTCGATGAGCCGGCCGGGCCGCGGAGCCGTCGACGAAGCGGCCATCGCGCGAGGCGAGGGCGCGCGCAGGGCGGGCGCGAGTGAGCGGCTGCTCTGAGAGGATACAGCGAGGAGGCAAGTGGCTGAAAACGACGCCGTGCGCATTGGCCTGCGCGCGCACGATTTCTTTTTGTGAAATCTGGTAGTTTGTTTGTTTCTGGCTGTTCTTCACCTTACTACCTACCTACCTACCTGTTTCTCTTGGCACCTTGGAGTGCTGGGGGGGCGACAGGGAGGATATGGCCTTGAGTTATGTGTACGCCAACTCAGGGTGTGTGGCAGCCAGCTGGCTGTGTGTCTTGTGAGCCTTTTGTGTCTGTGTGTCGCTCGTGCGTGTCGTCATCATCTGTCCAGCGTCCACCCATACCGCGTTGGTGTCCAGTCCGAGCCTGGCTGTTCTTCACCTTTCTACCTACCTACCTACTAGTTTGATCAATAATGGTGAAACCCGCGGCGCCTCTGGGCGCTGCCCGGGGCGAGGGCAGTAGCGCCCCGCCCGGACTCGCTTCGCCGTTTTTGGCGAGCAAAGAACGTCCAATATTTGACCGTCGGCGGTAAAAATTGTCGACCGGCCAATTGCTGAGACGCCCGTGTCACACTAGAGGCCGTCATCGCATTCGCCCTGGGACCCAGCGCTGACTTCTGACTGTCGTTGCGGTCTATCCCTTTCTCGACTGTCTGAGCTTGTGCGTCTTGGGTCCGTGGTTGTGTTTTTGTGTGAACGTATTTTCTTCTCAGTAACAAGGCTGTGAATACGTTGCTGAGCTCTGCTTCCCCTTCCCATTCGCGGCCACGAGCCAGTTCTTCCTCTACGGTCGGCGGCACTGCACTTCTACAGGCTACCTGCGGGCCGCTTCGGCCTACGGCGGCGGCGCGGGTGTACATGCTGTGCCGGTCCAAGGAGCGGGCGGCAGCGGCTCGGGATGAGATTGTCGGCGAGACAAGCAACCCAAATGTGCACGTCATTCTCGCCGACCTCTCTCTGCGCTCGGACTGTCGCCGCGCGATCGGCGAGCTCGCGGCGCACGCCTCGAGGCTGGACTGCCTGGTCTGCAATGCGGGCGTGCTGCTCAACGAGCGGACAGAGACGGCGGAGGGGCACGAGGTGACCTTTGCGACGCACCTGCTGTGCGGCTCGTACCTTCTCCCGCGCCTCGCCCTTCCGTTGCTGCGCAAGGCTGCCGATCCGCGGGTCGTCTTCGTCTCGTCGGGCGGGATGTACAACACAAGGTGGCCGGGGGCCGAGCGCGGCAGCTGCTCCGCCGGGCAGCCTTACAATGGCCAGCTCGCCTACGCGTACGCCAAGCGCGGCCAGGCCCTGCTCGCGGAGGCGCATGCGTGAATGGGATGCAGCGTCCTCCCACCCGCCTAGCTGTGAGCAGGTCCTGCTCGCGGAGCGGCTGAGCAAGCTCCTGCCGGCGGTGACCTTCGTCTCGTGCCACCCCGGCTGGGCGGACACGCCCGCCGTCGAGGCGGCGTACGGCGCGGCCAAGAGGCTGCTCGCGCCGATGCGGAGTGCTCTAGAGCGCGCAGGCGGCACCCGCAAGGCGCGGCGCACGGGAGGGTGGCGGGCCGAGAGGTGCGGCACCGCGTGCTCGGGCGGCTACGGCGGGGCCGGCGCCTGCAGCGGCGGCAGCCATCGCGCCGCGCGAAGGCGCCGGCCGAGGCAGCCCTTTCGCGGGCGCCGCCGCCGCGAGCTGCGCTCGGAGCTGCCGGATCTCCTCGAGCAGCGCAGCCTCCTTGCCGGCCGAGAGGGGCTCCTCGTGCGCCGCAGCGCCTGCAATGCCACGCTGCTTGTGCTGCTCGACGCCCATCTCGAGCGCTGCGTCCGGGACCCATTGGCCTGTGTTTACGCCAGCGCACCCACGTGAATCCGAGACGGTGATGGGAGGCGTCTCGGCGGTCTCAGACCCAGTGAGGTAGTGCGCCAGACTACCCCGGATCCTGCTGAACAAGCTCCTCTTGTAGCTCGATCGGTCACACCGCCATCGCCGTCGGGGAGAGGGGGGACGACACTGCTTCGGCAGGGTGCACCTCGATCATGTACCGTGTTTGTTATGACCCCCCCCAATGAACACACCAGTGAGGGAGGGCGAGACGATCCCCCACTCTAGGGCAGGGCGCGGAGGGGATCGCCTGGCTGGCGGTCTGCCCGAGGGACGAGCTCGAGCCGGGAGGCTTCTACCTCGACCGGCGGCCGCAGGCGAAGCACATGGCGGGCCCCTTCTTCAGCGAGGGCTCCTTCACCAAGAACTCGGAGGAGGAGGTGGGAGCGATGCTGCGCCTGCTCGACGGCCTCGCCGGCCTCGAGCCGCTCGGCGCGGTCGACGGGCTGTCTAGATGCTGATAGAGAAAAAGAAGGGCTGGACGGTGCGCAGGACATGCACCGGGCCCGGGTTTCTTAGCTCCGGCTGGCACCCAGGTCAGCCGGGCCGTAGAGTCAGTCGTCTTTTGGGTAAAAGGACTAAAATCGCTGGTTCGTTCACGCCCAAGTTGGTGTGTGTGATCATGTGTTTGCGGTCCCTTGTACGACAAGACATTGTTGATGCACAAGAGGGAAGAGCCCTAGGAAGAGCCCGTGGCCGTGCACAGCCGCGTGCTCTCTCTCTTCGAGAGGTGCCACTGCCGAGACTGGGCACCGCTGCCGCTGCGCGTGCCCGCGCGCGTGGCTCCGGCCTCCGCGCGTCGCTTCTCTATCTATCATACATCTCGACCTGCGCCCGAGTGGATCAGAGCAGCGCGATGCGGCGCTCCTCGCACACGGCCACCAGCTCAGTTTGCTGCTGCTTGTTAACCCACGACGAGCGACTGCACGCGAGGGGAGGTGCGATGAGCATTGGGCGGGGCAAGGGCGTGCGTGGGCAGGGTGGACGTCTCACCTTCAAGCTCGGGGCAGCCCCCTCCTTGAGGGCGGCGGCCAGCGCCTTGCAGCCCTCGTCCCCAATCCGGTTGCAGTCGCGGAGAACGAGCGTCTCGAGCCGCGGCGCTGCCCCCTCTTTGCCGAGGGCGGCGGCCAGCGCCTTGCGCGTTGTGCTTGTGGCAGGTGCGCGGGTCGTCTCTTTGGTACTCTCTCTCTCTCGCCCCTATTTTTAGAAGAGAACGTCTGTGGGTCAGCTCACATGTCTTGTCACAATGACGACCGCGAGGTGGCATGAAGGTTGCAGCGAGAATCGGAGAGAGACTGCGAAGAGAGATAGGAAGAGGCAGACTCCCTAGAGGTAGGGTGGGCGACGGCTAGCGCACCACACACCTCTCCTTAAAATCCCTGTGTGGTGGCGGCGTGCCGTCCTCTCCTCTCTCTCTCTCTCTCCTCCCTCCCTCCCTCCCTCTTCCTCTCTCTCCCTCTCCTCTCCTCCCTCCCATCCCTCCCTTGGGTTGTCTGTTTTCTTTCTTTCTTTCTTTTGTCACAATGAGTGAGTGGGGTGGAGCCGAGGGTGCGCCACGAAAAAATGAAAGCCGTTTGTACCGCGTCCTCGCCGCCACCACACCGCGTCTCTCTCTTCGCAATCTGCCCCTCGTTTTTCTTCTGACACACCAACGCTTGCGGCGGCTCGTCTCCCTCTACCTTAGCCTCAACGCTGCGCCGTGGGCTCAACGTCACGAGTGGCCCATGACCACGCCCGGCAACGGAGCACCGATCGCCTCCACGGCCGAGCCGTTCGGCACAGCCCCCGCGGCCAAAAAGAAGACGCGCGTGAAACTCCCGCCGCAGCTCCAGGCGCTGATGCAGCAGCTGGTATTTGAATGCAAGGTCAACTCGTCGCTGCACGGGATTTCGCAGCAGCGCCAGTTCCGTGCCTTTGCCACGTGGCAGGCGGCGGCGGACCAGATCGCCCGCGATGAGGCCGAGGAGGCCGCGGAGGCCGAGCGCGCCGAGCGGGCCGCGGCGCAAGAGAGCGCCGCCGCCGCACAGCTCGAGGCGAGCGCAGCGGCCGCGTCCCTCGCCAGCGCCGAGGCGGCGGAGCTGAGCGAGTCGCTCCAGGCGTCAGAGGAGGCGCTGGCGAACGAGCGTGGCCGCGCCGCGCGGGCCGAGGCGGCGCTGCAGCGCGAGGCGGACGCGCGCAGCGCGGCCGAGGCGGCGCTTCCTCCCGACGACGCAGAGGAGCGGCGGGCGGAGCTGGCTGCGCTGCAGGCGGAGCGGCAAGGCCTCCTCGACAGGCTGCGGGTGGCGGAGACGGCGCTCGCCGCCGCCGTCGCCGCCACGGCCGCGGAGCAGCGCCGCACGGACGAGGTCGAGGCGGAGCTGGCAGAGGCTCGACAGGCGAGCCCCTCGCCCCCTCCCCTGCCCCTCGCCCCATTCTCTGCCCCTCACCCCCTCCCCTGCCCGTCGCCCCCTCCCCTGCCCCTCGCCCCCTCCCCCTGCCCCTCGCCCCCTCCCCTGCCCCCTTGCCTCGACCCCTTCCTCGCGACTCGTCCGATGCGACCATGCCTTCTCCCCGCCCCACAGGCCGCTGCGGCGCTCGACGACACGGATGACGAGGCGGACAACCTGAGGGCGGAGGCAGCAGAGGCGGCGAGGGCGGAGGCGGCGGTGGCAGTAGAGGCGGCGAGGGCGGAGGCAGCAGAGGCGGCGAGGGCGGAGGCGGCGGTGGCAGTAGAGGCGGCGAGGGCGGAGGCAGCAGAGGCGGCGAGGGCAGAGGCGGCGGTGGCAATAGAGGCGGCGAGGGCGGAGGCGGCGGAGGCGGCGAGGGCGGAGGCGGCGGAGGCGGCGAGGGCGGAGGCGGCGGTGGCAGTAGAGGCGGCGAGGGCGGAGGCAGCAGAGGCGGCGAGGGCAGAGGCGGCGGTGGCAGTAGAGGCGGCGAGGGCGGAGGCGGCGGAGGCGGCGAGGGCGGAGGCGGCGGAGGCGGCAGTGGCGGAGGCGGCGGTGGCAGTGGAGGCGGCGAGGGCGGAGGCAGCAGAGGCGGCGAGGGCGGAGGCGTCGGCGGAGGTGGAAGCTGCAAAGGCGGCGGCGGCGGCGGCGGCGGAGGCGGTCGACGCCGCGAGGGCTGAGGCGGCGGAGGCGCGGCAGGCGTCGAGGCGGTGGGAGGCCGCCTTTGGTGCTGCGGAGCTGGAGCTGCGGCAGGCGCGCGCAGAGGCCTCCGAGGGCAGGGCTGCGGGCGGCGGCGCGGCCGCGCTCAGCGAGGGCGACGCGGCGGAGCTGGCGACGCTGCGCAAGGAGAGGCGCGGCTTGCAGGCGGCGCAGAAGCTGATCGGGAGGCGGTCGGTCGCCGCCGCGAACCGGCTGCTCCTCTCGCAGTGCTTCCGCGCGATGACCCTCGCGGTGGCGTCCGCCAGACTCGTCGCCGACCGAAAGCGATTCCGAGAGATGCTCCAGCTCTCCTCCGCCCTGCCCGCCACCAGCCGCGCCGCCACCCTCGCCGGCGGGGACGGCCAAGACGGCGCCGCCTCCTCCTCCCCCGCCGCCGCGTCAGCCCTCCAGACCGCCGGGGCCGAGGCCGAGTTTGATGTCGCCGAGTGAAGCCAGGCGCTCGTGGCGCCAGGAGCGCCTGTTCCCTGGCGTGCCACCTCCATCGCATGTAAAGAAAAGGGAAGCGGCACAAAGATCGCACGGGCGGGGACCTGTTCCTTTTACCCATCTCACAGTAGATATGCCCGTTTTTATTTATTTATTTAAAGGGAAGCCGTTTGACCGATCGGCGTCTCAAACGCAAAGAGAAAAAAACCAGCGGCGACGGCCTGAGCCTACAAAGAACCCTGCACAAAGACCGCAGGGCGGGGACCTGTTCCTTTTTACCCATCTCCTAGTAGAGGTGTCCGTTTTATTTATTTATTTCATTCCGCATATATGCGCGGGTCCGGCCGGCGGCTTCAAGAGGCCTCGCGACGAGTCGCCCGGTCAGAAGAGCGGGCGTCGCGGCGAGTCTCGCTGGCGTGACGAGCCAAGACGGCGCGGCGAGCCGCGATGGCGCGACGAGCCGCGATGGCGCAATGAGCGCCCGCCGCCGCCGCCATGGTTGGCGCCTCAGCCGCCTCCGGGCGGGTCGTCGCCGCTGCCACCGCCGCCGAGGACAGGCGATCCGCCACAGTCGCCCTCACGCCGGCCAAATCCGGCGGTGCGCAGCGAGCCGCCCTCATCTGGCCGCTCTGCTGCCGGTGGTCATCTCAATGCTGCGCAGCTCAACGGCCACATCTCGCATGCCCGCGACGCACACGAGCTGCTCACGCTCTTTGCCGCCCACAGCGCGAGCTTGAACCACATCCACGCTGCGAACCTGTGGAACAAACTGGGCAAGCAGCGCATCGGCGGCACGAGGAGCAGCTTGAGCGGCTGGTGCAGCGCACGCTCGACCTCGTCTCCTCGTGCCGAGCACGCGAGCTGGCCAACGTCGCCCACGGTGTTGCAAACTGCCGCGGCTTGTCACTGCCCCGGCGCCCACGTCTCGATCTTCTTGGGCAGCAGTTGGTTCGACAGGTCCTCGCCGTGGCCTAGGCAGCCGTGGCGGCCCTCGCCCCAGGTAAAGACGGCGCCGTCGGCGGTGCGGGCGATGCTGTGGCGGGCCCCAGCGGTCACCGCGACGACGCGCTGGTCAGCAAAGGCCTTGATCTTCTTGGGCAGCAGCTGGCGCTGCGCGTCGCCGTGGCCCAACCGGCCCGCACCTCCATCGCCCCAGCTCCAGACGGCGCCGTCGGCGGTGAGGGCGAGATTGTGCCATACTCCAGCCGACACAGCGACGACGCGCTGGCCAGCCAACGTCTCGACCTTCTTTGGCAGCAGCTGGTTCTGCAGGTCGCCGTGGCCCAGCCGGCCCTCGCCTCCATAGCCCCAGCTCCAGACACCGCCGTGAGCGGTGAGGGCGAGGCTGTGGTAGTGTCCAGCCGCCACGGCGACAACACGCTGGCCCGCCAACGCCTCGATCTTCTTGGGCAGCAGCTGGTTCTGCTGGTTGCCATGGCCCAGTTGGCCAAGGCCTCCAAAGCCCCAGCTCCAGACCGCTCCGTCGGCGGTGATGGCGAGGCTGTGTTCGCCTCCAGCCGACACGGCGACGACGCGCTGGCCAGCCAAGGTCTCGACCTTCTTGGGCAGCAGCTGGTTCTGCAGATCGCCATGGCCCAGCTGGCCAAGGCCTCCATAGCCCCAGCTCCACACGGCGCCGCCAGCGGTGAGGGCGATGCTGTGCACGGTTCCAGCCGACACACCGATGACGCGCTGCCCCGCCAAGACCTCGACCTTCTTCGGCTGCAGCTGGCTCTGCCCGTCGCCGTGGCCCAGCTTGCCGTAGGCTCCACCGCCCCAGCTCCAGACGCCTTCAGCGGTGAGGGCGAGGCTGTGCCCGGCTGCAGCCGACACAGCGACGACACGCTCGCCACCCAGTGGGGAAGAAGGGAGGCGGGTCGGCGTGTGGAGCCGCGCCATTCCCTCGCCGTGACCGAGCAGTCCCGGCGTGAAGCTCTCAGCCGTTCCGCACGACGAGAGCCGCCCCACGCCGTCGATGAAGAGGCTGTGCTGACCGCCTACCGCCGCCCTCGCCGGCGGGTTGGCCTCGCACAGCAGCGCAGCGAAGCACAGCCACCGCACGGCGCAGCCCTCGCCCTCCGGCTGCGCCGGCAGCTCGAAGCCGCGCTCTCGCGCCCACAAGCGGATGCCCTCTACCGCAAGCGAGGCGTGGAAGAGCAGCGAGACGGCCGCGACGCGAGCGATGTCGGCGGTGTCGCAGCGAGAGAGGGCGCGGACGAGGAGCTCCGTGGGGAGGTCGAGGAGGCGGGCGGGCGGCGGCGTGTTCGGCGAGGGAGCGGAGGCGGAGGCGGCGGCGAGGCGGCGCGAGCGGCGGCGCGGCGGGGTGGACATCGCGAGGAAAAGAATTTTCACGGCGCTGGGCACGGGACTGGCGCGCGCTGGCACTAACAAGGCGCAGACGGCTTCCTTAGAAGCCGTCGTCCTCGCCATAGAGGAAGTCGAGGAAACAAACTAGTCTCAAGGACATCGCGGGGGGAAAGAATTTTACAGCCAAACCCCTCGCTCAACACTGGGCACGGCGCGGGACTGGAGCGCACACTGGGGGAAAGAATTTCATCACTCCATTTCGCATGACACCGGGTACAGGGTGGGCACTGGCGATACCGCGACGCGACGTCGAATTGCCATCCCTCCCTTGGGTGTCTGTTTTCTTTCTTTTTCGAAACCACATGTACATGTTGCTCCCGTCACACAAGCTCTTTATAAGTCGGTTTAACAGAAGGCCTCGATGGGCAGGGGGGTGTCGTATGTGACTCATGGCACATGGACATGGGGGCATTCGACACTACAACAACACACTCCCAGCGCACACTCAAACACTTGACTACACTAACACGAGCGTCGATGTTTTGGCGACACGCAGCCGCGCACAGCCAATCTAGACAACCCAGGCCGCGCCTCTCCCTCGTCTCGCTCTATGCGCTGGCGGCGGCGAGGCGGGGCGACTTGCGCTGAGCCGGGCCGGCGAGCGCAGCAGGCGCGTGCTTCGCCGGCGCCGGCTACTTCTCCGCCTCGTTCGCCGCTCGCACCCTTCCGGCCGCCTTGCGCAGCAGCTTGAGGTTGTACTGCAGCTGGTCCGCGTTGAAGTGCGTAGAAGCCAATCAGCAGCAGCGAGAAGAGGAAGACGGGCGAGAGGAGGGGGAAGGAGAGGCCGAGCCCGCGGATGCCGTATGGCGCGAGCCAGGCGGGGAAGTCGCCGCTGTAGGCGTAAGCGAGGCGCAGCGAGCCGGCGGCGACCGGGATCCACCAGATGACGCGGCACGCGACGATGGCGGCGACGACGCACTTTTGGAAGCGGTAGAGGAAGCGCGGCCACGACTGGGCGGGCGTCTGGTGCATGACTATGGCGGCGAGTATGAAGACGCCCGAGGCGTGAGCGGAGGCCTCGACGTGGAACATGAACGTCTTGGAGATGCCCGGGCCCCCCATCAGCGCGAGCGTCTCGAAGAAGACGCCGAAGAGGTGGTGCGGCGTCAGGATGTGATCGACGGCGGGGTGGTGGCGCGTGAGCGTGTGGTCTCTGCCCGTCCACCGGCGGTAGAGCATGGCGAGCGTGTCGTACGCCTCGACGCCCATGTCTGCGTACATGGAGAAGAAGAAGTAGGACGGGTCGTGCGTCAGGAAGTACAGCAGCGAACTGTTCTCTCATGTGTCCACCTAGATATATGTGTCCAGTGTCCTGAGCGCTCGCGGCGTGCCGCAATGGTTGGAATGGACACATGGACTGTTGGACTCTTTGCCTGCGTGGGTGTCCTCCGGGCGTCTCCTCCGTCCTCCGTCCGCTCGAGTCTCGCGTGCATCTCCGCGTGGCACATAGGCTCTGCCAGGGTTGCATTTTCGTAGTACTACACACACACACACACACACACACACACACACACACACACACACACACACACACACACACACACACACACACACGAGACTATAAAGTCTAAACTCTAAAAAGGCCAAAAGGCGGCCTCGATCCAGGCGCCCTCCAGAGCATGCGTTGCCGCGCGCGCGGCAAAGTCAAACCGTTTAACAAACCGCCGACCGAAGGCGTCATGATAGCCGATCCGCATGGACCAAATCCCAAGCGCCGCGCCGCGCGCGAAAGCAAGCCCCTATTACTGCGTCTCGCGCGCGATGGCGAAGCCCAAGACGCAATGGCCAAAGTCGAGCGCCGCGATGCCGTTCGTGGCTCCTGCCGAGTCGAGGTGGTACCGCTCGTGGATCTCGTAGATCGAGCGGACGAGGAACGCCGCCCGCGCGCGGGCCGCCGCGGGGAAGAGCGAGTGGCTTGCCGGCGACCACGGCGCCGCCGCCCGCCGGACCAGCGCCGCCGCCTCGCCCTCGCCGCCCGCGGCGCGCCGCAGCTTCGTCGGCTCGCCCTCGTGCAAGCTTGCGCCGCTGCGCAGGAGGGAGGTGGCGCGGGCGGCGGTGAGGGTCTCAAGGTGCGCGAGCGGCGTCCAGCCGCGGCTGGCGACCAGCCAGGCGGCGAGTTCGGCGTGGCCGCGGCTATTTGCGGCCTCCTCGGGCGTGCCAAAGGGCGTAGCGGCGCGGGAGGCGCCGTGGGGGGGGAGAGGAGCTTGGCGACCTCGAGGTGGTCCTGGTGGCACGCGATGGACAGCGGCGTGACGCCGTTGTCGCAGGCCTGGTCGATCGCTGCGCCAGCCTCGAGGAGCAGCCGAACGCACTCGAGCTGGCCCTCCTGGCACGCCATGAGCAATGGCGTGGCGCCGCCCTCCATGGCTTGGCCGACCGCCGCGCTGGCCTCGAGAAGCAGCTGGGCGATCTCGACGTGGCCGTGCTGGCACGCAACGAACAGGGTGTGGCGCCGTTGTCCTTGGCTTGGCTGACCTTTGCTTCAGTCTCGAGGAGCAGCTGCACGCACTCGAGGTGGCCGTTTTGGCACGCGATGTACAGCGGCGTGGCGCCATTCTGCTGCGCTTGGTCGATCGCTGCGCCGGTCTCGAGAAGCAGCCGGGCGCACTCGAGGTGGCCATCCTGGCACGCCGCTAACAGCGGCGTGACGCCGTTCTCCCTGGCTTGGTTGATCGCCGCGCCCGCCTCGAGAAGCAGCCGGGCGACCTCGGGGTGGTTGTTCTGGCACGCGATGTACAGCGACGTGGCGCCATCCTTGCGTCGCGGTATACAGCGTGGAAGCGCCGACGCCATTCACCGCCCCGACGCTCGCGCCGCCCTCGAGCAGCAGCCGCGCCCCCTCGGCCTGCCCGTGACGAGTGGCCCAGGTCAGCAGCGTGTCCTGCTTGTCGGTGTCGTGCCGCACGTCGAGCTGGGCCGCGAGCGACGTGTCGCGCGTCCGCCGCCCGGAGAGGAAGGCTCGCAGCGCGGCCAGGTCGTCCACCGCCAGCTCGGGCAGCAGGCTTGGCTGACGGCGCCGCTCATTCCGCCAGAAAGAAGAAATCGCGCTACGTGGGTGGCGCTTGTGTCTCCACTCTTGGACGAGGCAGACGAGAGCGACGCGACAGAGGAGGAAGCGAGCCAGGTTGCCCCGAGCCAGGTCGGCGAGCTGGGCTGGGAGGATGGCGCTCGTGGAGGAGGGTACCACGCAGAGTGAAGTCGGATCATGCAAAACATCGACAACGCGTGAGAGGTGAAGGGGGTGAACCGCGTCATCCTCGATCTACGGCGAGTTAACCAGACCCCCCCCTGCCAGCAGCCAGCCAGCCCGATCGCCGTGCAAAGCTCGCTTCCGAGCTCTCACGCCGCGCGTAGTGCGTAGGGCCCTTTAGGGGCCTAGAGAACACACACCCCTCCCCTTTTCTCCCAGTAAGCTAAAAGTACGTACAGCGCTGCTCGCAACATGCGTGTCGCGCACTCATTCATGACCGGTCTCAATCCCCCCCCCCCCCCCCCCCCGCGCGCGGGCCTTCTAGGCCCGCGGGTAGTCTCCCCCCATCCCCAGGGCCTCCAGGGCTCGCACCTCAACCTCTCACAGACCAGCGCACAGCGCCATCGGACGTTTTTTCTTCTCAATAACAAGGCTGTGAACACCGACCTGTTCCCGAGGACCCTGATCCCTGTTACGTGTTAGGTTTGAGGCCACAGCCCGGAACAGGGTTGGATCAGGGTCGGAACAGATGAGCTGCCCCACGGTACGGCCCTTTTTCCCGACCTTGACCGTGCTGTGTTCGACCGTGATCCGACCGGGTGTTCGGCAGCAGGTATGATCATAAATAACATGATCCGACCGCGTTCGACCACGTGTTCGAGTTCCTACTCCGACCTCTGTTTCGACCGTGATCCGACCTGATCCGACCGTGCTCGAGAACAGGGGTCCTCAGCGCACAGCGGCGGCGGGAGGTAGGGATTTTCCCAACCTTGTTCCGACTTGGGCCGGTACTAATAGCACTTGTGGGAGGGTCGTATCGTGTATCGACAACAGATTGGGTCCAAACAAACCTCTTCATCAGAGCTAACCAGGAGGCATGCGAGGAAAGCGAGAACGGACTCGGGCAGGTTCCGCGGCGCGGGCGGCGGCGGCGGCGGCGAGCAACATTGTAGCTCACCGCGCGCGCACACCTCTCATGCTGGCGGTCGGGCGGCGCGAATACGCTTGTACGCTGCCCGCTACACCCCTCCCGGCGAGTCCTCCTTCAGGATGGGGAAGCCGCGCTCGTTGAAGCTCACGACCTGCGACCACTCGGGCGGTCCCGCCCAGTCCGGCAGCTTCTCGAGCCCGACGAGCCGGTTGACGGAGAAGGAGTTGGTGCCGAGGTGGCGGTTGATGACATCGGCGAGCACCGTGCTCTTAGCGTGCTCGAAGCCCCACGCGGTGTAGCTGGACGCACCCCAGTCCTGCGTGTAGAAGCGGTCTTGCCGGATCGACGCGAAGGCGTCCGCGACGATCGCCTGCGCGGAGGCGCGGCGGGCGCGTCGAGAGCGGGCGGGCCGAGGCGAGTCGCGACGGGGAGAGGGCCGAGGCTCTCCTCCTCGGCAATCTCTCGGCCGCATCTCGGCTGTGTCTCGGCTGTGTCTCGGCTGTGTCTCGCGCGGACCTGCCCGATGGTGGAGGGCAGCGCCCACCCGCCGCTCATGCACTTCTCGACCTGGCAGCCGACGACGAGCTCGACGTCCTCGATGCCGCCCGGGTAGAGCTGCCGCAGCGTGTCGGCGGTGGCCTGGTCGCCGCCCGTCATGTCCTCGAAGGAGGAGTAGCCGCTCGTGAAGCGGCGGCGGAAGGTGTTGAGCGTGGGAGCGCCCATCAACCGCGCCGCCTCGATGGCGCGCTGCGAGACGCGCGCCCGCTCCCCGAGGATTGAGTCGGGCACGTTGTTCGGACCGAACCCGCCCGACTCCCAGTTGAGGATGCCTATTGACAGAGGTCCGGTCCATGCTCCCCCAGCTTCCGTCTCCTCCCCCCTCCCGACTCCCAGTTGAGGATGCCGTTGAGCAGTGTGCGCATCTGCTCGTCCGTGTCGATCGGCGGCGGGTCTGTCGCGGACCACTCCACCGGGATGGACGTGTGGAAGCGGTAGATGAGGTTGAAGTTGAAGGTGCACATGTTGCCCACCCCGGCGCCGCCGTACCCCTGCCGCAGCTCGCAGAAGCCCGACCCGTCCGGCGCGATCTCGCCAAACATCTGGAGAGCGGCAGCGGAGGCGGAGGCGGCTAGACAGATCGGCCACACCTCGGCCAGATCTCGGCTAGATCTCGGCTGGGCCTCGGCTGGGCGTCGCCTGGCAGCCGTAGGCGCGGAGGATGATGTTGATGTACACGCCGCCCATGATGAGCCGCGCCTGCTGGTAGAGCTCCTCGTCGGTGGCAAACTGCGCGGGGTAGCGCTGCGCCAACTGCTCCGCCACGTAGTTGTGCTCGCGCCTACTCCGCCAGAGATGTGGGGAGGTGTGGGGAGATCTGGGTGAGATAGGCCGAGATAGGAAGCATCTAGGCTTGCGCGCCTACTCCGCCAAAGCACCGTCGCATCCGGGAGGGAGCAGAGCGAGCGCCGCGTGGTCGTGCTCGCGCCGCAGCAACTCGACGATGACTCGCGACTCGGGGATCCGCCTCATCCGGTCCTACGCGCGAACTGGCCGGCGGTGAGGCACAACGCCTCCATCGACACGACTCGGGGGCCCGCCCTCGTGCGCTCCTCCGCAAACGCCTTGAGCTTGCCGCCGCTCCACTCGCGCGTGGCGTCGGCCGTCGTCTTCGAGTAGCCGTACAGCGGCTGCAGGTCGAGGTACGGAGGAGTGGAGGTACAAGGAAGTGTCTGGGAAGTGTCTAGGAAGTGTCTACCTGCAGGTCGAGGTACGAGGAGTGGAGGTTGACCCACTCCTTGTCGCTGCCTACCCACACACACAGACACGGCCCTCGGAGGCGCCCCACCCCCCCACGCGTCCCCGGCCTGCTCGCTGTCGGGCAGACCTCGCTCCGGGTGCGTGCCGCCGTCTGTGCCGGTCGCGGTGCGGAAAAAGTCGTGGATGGCGACCTGCAGGGGGGGGGGGACGGCTCCGCGAGGGTCTCAGAGGCAGGTCTCCGGGATGGTCCCGGGCGTGCGAAGGCGGCGCGGCGCACGTTTGCGAACCAAGTTGCGAGCGAGTTGACGCCGTACGGTGCCTGCGGGAGGGGGCGCGAGCGGGCCCGGGCTAGGGGGGGGCGGGCTCCAAGAGGAGGGACACGAGGGACACGCCGCCGCGGCACCTTTTTGAAGGCGTCCCGCTTGTAGAGCAGCCGCACCACCTCGTCCGCCGAAGGCAGGTTGTGCAGGGCCTGGAAGGGCTCGTTCATCGCGTAGCCGCGCCCGCCCTGGCCGATCCACGGGAAGATGCGCTGGTTGCCTGAGCGCACGGCAGGGCCAGCCGTCACAGAGGCGCTGCTCTCCGCCGCCCGGCGCGCGCGCGGAGGCGCTGGCTGCCGCCGCCGTCGATGGCGCGGTACTTTCCCGAGTAGGGCGGCACCGGCACCTGCGGGGGGAGGGGCGTGGCGAGGGGCGTGGCGAGGGGCGTGGCGAGGGGCGTGGCGGTCGGCGGCACGAGCGTCGCCTTCCCCGTCTCGACGCGGGCGAGGTACTCCTGGAAGGTGAGGAGGACGGGCGTGTCCGCGTCCTCGTCGAAGATGTAGCGCGGCGGCGTGTCGAGCTCCCACAGCACAGCGAGCACGCCAGCGCCCTCGGAGATGCAGCAGCAGAGGAAGCGGCGCCACCCCTTGAGCAGCGTCTGCCGGATGACGTACAGCGAGTGGATGTAGGCGATCTGCGTCGGGTTGTAGCAGCAAGCCTCACCGCAGGTGCTGTGGCAGCGGCGCGCGCAGAGGGTGTTGCCGAGGAAGAGGACGAGGAAAGTGAGGAAGGACCACGGGAAGCGGAGGAGCAGGTAGAGGTACCGCAAGACCTGCCGCCCGATAGGGTTGTACTCGCTCCGGTCGCCGGGGCACTCGCAGCAGGTGGCTCGGCCGACGCAGCTCGTGCAGAACGTGTACCTGCCGGGTCAAACGGCGGAAGTGCAGGACCGTCCGGGTTCGCCTTCCTGGTGATGAGAAGGCGGCGCTACCAGAGCGGCGGGATGAAGGTGCACGGCCAGAGCAGCACGCACGGGTCCTTCTGGACCTCGTCGCAGGAGTACGCGCAGAACCGCTCGCACCGCGTCTCGGTGGCAGATTTTCTCGTCGAGCGAGGTGCTGGCGCCGGCGGTGGAGCCGCATGCGCTGCGCGGCTGCGATCGAGGTAGCCCTTAGATGGAGGCTTGACGGCAGGCCTCGGGACGACGCCTGGTGGCGGAGCCGGCGATATCGACGTCGACGTCGGCGACGTCGACGACGTGGAGCCCATCAAAGATAGGAACGATGCGGGATGCCCTGTCGGGCGCGGCCAAGGTGGCCGGGCGGGGGGGGCGCTGCAATGAGTGAGGAAACCAGGTTCGTTGTGAAGAGGAAACCTAACTATGCGGATCGGCAAAGGCGCGACGCGTCGATTGACGATCTATGCTTTTGACCCATCAGTCTCCCAACATGTGCGACATTAGTCAAACAACCCGCTTCACGGCGGTCCGCACGTGAGCCCCGCGGCGGCGCGGCGCGTCCTGCAACGCCTGTCCACACTCCTCGGGAGCACACACACGGACATGAAGCGCGCACACGGCCCAATGGCCGTGCACGAGCAGCAGCGCAAGCGCCGCCAACCGCACCGACACTTTTGACCGCGTGCCGCACTTCCCGAATCCCTTCACACCCCACTGTCGCGCAATGTGCCGGCTGGTGTGCGGCTTCTGCCACGCCCACTCGAAAGCGAGCGCATCACTCTTCGAGGAGAAGCCGCGCACAACGAGAAGAATGCGCCACGGCCGTCCCGCGGCGGGCGCGCCACCTCCCGAGAGCTCGCCGTTGTGCTCGGCAAGGACGGCTCCAACGGCGAGCCTCGCAAGGACTCGAAGTCGGAGGTGCTCTTCTGCGCGGCGGCGCCGACCTCGTACAACGAACGACCCCGCCACCTACGATGGCGCCGACCTGTCCGACATCAAGCTGCCCGGCGGCTGCTTCATGCCGGTCGTGGACCGCTTCAAATATCTTGGGAGCTACCTCAACCGCGACTGCAGCGACAGGCTCGACGTCGACAGCCGGATCGAGTCAGCGGGCCGAGCTTTTGGCGCTCTTCGGAAGTGCCTTTTCAGCTCGAGGGATGTCTCGTTTGCCGCCAAGCGCGCGGTCTACACCTCGCTCATCCTCTCCATCCTGCTCTACGGGTGCGAGTGCTGGGCGCTCACCGAGCGCCTCCTCCACCGTCTCCGCGTCTTCCACGCACAGTGCGTGCGTGCAATGTGTCGTGTCACTCGCAAGCACGTGTGGGAGCACCACATCACGACTGGCGAGCTCTGCGCCAGGCTAGGTCTCGACTTCATCGACTACTACATCGACCGACGCCGGCTGGGCTGGCTCGGGCATGTCAGCAGGATGGATTTCGAGCGCCTACCTCGTCGCATGCTCTCATCGTGGGTGCCTCACGGCCGGCCGATCGGGTGCCCCAACGTGACGTTTGGGCGCAGCATCCGCACCGCGCTCGACAAGTTCCACATCGACCGCTCGAGGTGGCCCGAGCTCGCCGCCGATCGCTCGGCCTGGCGCCAGACGCTGGAGAACAAGCGCCCGCCCGACGCCTTCTTTGCCATGCCGGCGAGGGCCAGGCCCCCCTCCCCGCGCATTGCGCGCACTAAACCAGTGCGCGCATGCGCGGCGAGAACCAATGCAGCGATGGACATCTCGCTGCAGGCGCTCGCGGGGCCGTGAGTGGGGGTCCCCACTGCTGCCCCTCTGACTATTCTTTTGTCTGTGGTGATGCCTTTCCCTGAGAACGCACACAACGCCTCGTGTGTAATGCCATGTGTTCCACGAGTGCGTGTGCCCCGTCGTCCATGCTAGGACGTGTGTAACACTGACTGACTGACTGTAGGGGGAAAAAAAGTTTTCATGCAGACCGAATGGAGCAGCCCACCCTGAGCAGCGCAACCAACCCGCTGATCGACGCGCTGGTACTGCAACATCTGCAGAAGCGTTTTCCGCAGTCGGCCGAGTGTCTGCAGCGCGAGCTCGCCAGCCGCGACGCCGCTGCGGCCGCGCCGCCGCCGACCAACCGGCACGCGCTGCTGATGCTCCTCGCTCCACCAGGCGACGAGACGCCGCTGTGGGCGACGGCGTACGCCGAGGTGCGCGACTGGGTGGACGGCGCGCTCGACACGGAGGGAGCGAGGTACAAGCCCGAGCTCTCGCGGCTGCTCTGGCCGCTCTTTGCGTACACGTACCTCGAGCTGCTGCGCGCGGGTGCGCGCGAGCAGGCGGGCGGCTTTTTCGCGAGCTTCCACGCGGACCACGCGCTGATGCGGCGCGACGAGCTGAACCAGCTGTCGCAGGTCTCGTCGGCCGAGCAGGTCGACGCGTCGGAGTTCGCGCGCCGCCTCCTCACCTCGCGGTACGAGGTGCGGCTCTCCGCCTTCTCGTGTAGTCGCGTGTAGTATAGTATAGTACAGTACAGCATGCCTCCTCGCGGTACGAGGTGCGGCTCTCCGCCTTCTCGCGAGCGCTGCTCCTCGGCTTCGTGGCGGAGCGGCGGCTGCAGCTGACGCTGCGGATGCTCAACGAGCGGATCAAGCTCGCGCTCCCGGAGACGCTCGCGCCGAGCGACGGCGGGGGCCCCGCCGCCGTCGCCTTGGAGGACGACGTGCATGGCGGCGCGCGGCTCTGGCGGCGGCCGCTCGGTGCCGGCCACCTCGCCCGACCCTTCTCGGAGCCTTGCCAGGCGCGCTGCTCTGGTCGCAGCTCGACGACGCGCTGCTCGCGGACAAGTTCTCGGAGCCGGTGGACTGGTCTCCGCCCGCCGATCTCGAGGCCCGCCTACCCCCCCAAAGGGAGAGAGGGCCTGGATGGATGGAGGCCTTGGCTGGAAGGGAAGACTTGGAGGGAGGGACTTGGAGGGAGGGAGGGCCTGGAGGAAGGGAGGGCTTCGATGGATGGAAGGCGCGGGGGCTGGGGCGCCCTTCTTGCGGACCTTGCCGGGCCCCTCCCTCCCCGGGCCCCTGCTGCAGGCGACGCACGCCGAGCTGCTGCGCCAGATCAAGGCGCGGCAGGGACACGCCGTCGAGGAGGAGGCGCCCGAGGGCAAGAAGCGGGGGCGGGGCAAGGCGGGCAGCAGCAAGGCCGCGGAGGCCGCCGCGGCAAAGATGAACCGGCCGAGCGTCCCGCTCCCGCCGCCAAACATGCGAGATCTAGCCGAGAGGCAGCCGAGAGGCAGCCGAGAGGCAGCCGAGAGGCAGCCGAGAGGCAGCCGAGAGGCAGCCGAGAGGCAGCCGAGAGGCAGCCGAGAGGCAGCCGAGTGTCACGCTCCCGCCACCAAGCACGCGCGTGATCGACCTCCACCAACCACTTGCCTCGACGGGCCGTCATGAATCGCGTGTTGACGGATGCGACACGCCCCCGACACGCCCCCGACACGCCCCCGACACGCCCCCGACACGCCCCCGACACGCCCCCGACATGCCCACGACATGCCCACGGCAGGCGGGTCGAGAAGGAGGTTGTGCGGGATGGGACGCGGTGCGCTAAGCTGAGCCGCGAGGCGCTGCCGTGCGCGCTCGCAGTCACGCTCCACGACGGCGGGAGACGCCCTCGCCTCCACCCCGCCCCTCCCCCCCTTGCGGACGCGTCCCCGACACGGGCTGAACGTGGCGCGTAGGCGCTCGCCTCTGCTGCGCCTCCCTCTCGCGCGACGCGAGTGCGGTCGCGTGCGGACACGCTGACTCGGCGCTCGCCCCCTCCCGAGATACAGCCGGCACGGCTCCGAGATACAGCCGAGATGCTGCCCGAGATGCTGCCCCGAGACGCAGCCGAGACGCAGCCGAGACGCGGCCACGTCAGCGCCCGCCTCCGCACTGCCGCACTGCCGCACTGCCGCGCTGCCGGGCTGCCGCGGTGCCGCGCTGCCGCGCCTCTCCCTCCCCGCTGACGGGGGGTGCCGCCTCCTCGCGGCTCCTCGCCTCGACAGGCCGTTCGCGTGCTCCTGCTCAAGTCGCCCGCCGCGAAGAAGCAAAGGGCGGCCGGCGGCGCGGCGGGCAACGCGGGCAACGCGGCGGGCGGCGCGGCGGTCGGCGCGGCGGGCGCGGCGGGCGGCGCGGCGGGCGGCGGCGGGGCGGGCGGCGGGGCGAGCGGCGGGGCGAGCGGGGGCGGCGGAGGCGGGTCGGACCCGGCGGCGCCCGCGCGCAGCGAGGAGGAGGAGAAGGTGGCGGAGCGTGTCGCCGCGGAGGAGTCCGCGAGCAGCTACACGCTCCTCGGCCACTCCGGGCCGGTGTACGGCGTGTGCTGGTCTTGCGGACTCAAGCTCCCCCCCCCCACCCCCCCCTCTCCGCCCTCCTTGACGGCGCCTCGGGGAGCCTGCCTGCAGGTCCCGCGACGACAAGTTCCTCATCTCAGCGTCGCAGGATGGGTCGGCGAGGCTCTGGTCGGTGCTGCAGCGCGCGTGCGTCGTCCGGTACGCGGCCCACAGTGCGCCGGTCTGGAGCGTCGCGTTTGCCCCCCTCGGCGCCTACTTTGCCACGTGCAGCGGGGACCGGTCGCTGCGCGTGTGGAGCGTCTCGTCCCTGCAGCCGGCGCGGCTGCGATCTTCGCTGCGAGCTGCGGGGAGCGTCTCTTAACGCGAGAAGGCCGTGATCAGGTGCGCCTCATGCTCGGCCACGCTGGCGACGTGACTTGCACCGCCTTCCACCCCTCCGCCGCGATCATCGCTTCGGGCTCTGACGATGCGGCGGTGCGGCTGTGGCGAGGCTGCGAGCGGGCGCTGGGCCGTCCACTCCTTCATTCGTCCGAGTGGACGGCGTAGGTGCGCGTGTGGGAGGTTGCGAGTGGGCCGCTGCGGGGCGAGGAGGCGAAGGGGCGATGCCTCCGCCTCCTCGCTAAGCGAGGCCACTCGGCGGCGGTGCGCGCCGCACCTCTCTGCCGTCTCTCTGCCGCCTCCCTGCCGCTTCTCTGCCGCTTCTCTGCCGCTTCCCTGCCGCCTCTCCGCGCCTCTCTGCCGCCTCTCTGCCGCCTCTCTGCGCTTCTCCCCCCACCCTTGCTGCACCCCCCCTTGCCGCAGGTGCGCGCCCTCGCCTTTTCGCCGGGCGGCGACTTGCTCGCGTCCGGGGGAGAAGACCGCGCGGTGCTGCTGTGGAGGCTCGCTTCGGGCGCCGCCGTGCGCAGGCTGCTGCTCCACACCAAGAGCGTGTGGGCACTCTCCTTCTCCGCCGAGGGGGCCCAGCTTGCCAGTGCGGGTGCGGACTGCGTCGTCGGTATCTGGGACGTCGAGGCGGCGCTCAACCCGGGCGCGGCCGAGGGCGCGCAGTCGGAGAACGGCCCCGCCGCCGCAGAGGGCGAGGAGCCGTGGCTGCTCCGAACCTGGCACACCAAGTTCACGCCGGTGGTTGCGGCAGCCTACTCTCGGACCAACGTGCTCTTCTGCATCGGAGGCTTCCAGCCGCCAGAGGGCTACGCGGCGGGCGGGCGGGCGAGCAAGGCGGCGGGCCGCTGACACGCGCCCGCGAGACAGCGTGCAGCGACGCACACCTCGCCCTCGCACAGAGCGGTACGCCGTACGGCTTTACCGAGACAGACGTCACTCGTCAGAGCGCACGTGCGGCAGGGCGTGTGGTCTACACAGATATATCTGTTTTATATATCTCTCCGCGCGCTCTACCCGCTATCCGGGAGAGGGCCTTTTTCAGTGTAAGGATACGACGCATGTAGATGGCGCCGGTTACTCTGCGCCCGTCGCGCGCCGCCGCGCGCCACGCCAAGAAAGAGGACTCTGTGCCTTGAGAGACCCTCTCTGACGCCGACAAGCAACAAATACGCGCGTAAGCTCAAGCATCTGCCGGTCCGGCGCGCTCACCCGACGTGCTTGAGCACAAAGCTGCGCACGGCGTCGAGCTGGGGCGTCGAGGCGGACGCCGAGACGAACTGGGTGGTGAGCCGCGTCTGCGCAAACGAGAAGCCGGCGGCACCGAAGCCAGGGATGTCCTTGGTGCCGGCGCCGCCCGTGTCGGCCATGGTGGTGCGCGCGAGTCGCACCTGCGGGAGGAGGCCAGGTCGAGCGGCCTCAAAGCTGCGGGGGCGGCGCGGCGAGAGGAGAGGGCGCGGGCAGGGGCGCAGGGCAGCAGCGGGCGGGAGAAGGCTCTGTGAGAGTGGCGCACGGACGAGGGGCGTCCGCGCCTTTTGGACCTCGGCCTCGAGAAGCGTGCGGGCCGACTCGGGGCTCGCCGCACCACGCGCCTCGCTTTTGCTCAGCACCACGAGCAGCGCGGGCGAGCGCCGCTGCACCGCCTCGAGCGACAGCACGTCGAAGAGGGCCCCGGCCGCCTCCTTGCACTGCGGCGCGAGGCGCGAGCCGTCGATGACGCAGGCCAGAACTGCCGCGCTCGCCGCCTCGCTCAGCAGCTGCGAGCGCAGCCGCCCTGAGCCAGGCACATCGACCAGCGTCACCGCGTTGGCGCCGCCGCCGCCGAGATCGCACCGGCCGACAGTCTTCGCGAGCGACGAGTAGGTGGGCGTCATGCGGCCGAAGCGGAGCTGGAGCGAGAGCGCCGTCTTTCCGGCGCCCATGGGGCCAAACAGCACGACCCGGTTGCCGCGTGATTTGCTGCGGCCGCGGAAGAGGAGGAAGAAGGCAGCTGCGATCACGAGCGGCAGGACGAGCGAGAGCGCGAGCGTGGCGCCGCCGCCGCCTCCATCGGGCACGGCCGGGGTGGGGGTTGCGACTACAGGCTCGTCGAGGCCGGAGCCGACGTCGAGGCCGGAGCCGACCTCGACGGGTGGCTGCTCCCCACTCGCAGCAGCCATGCTGCAGAGCCAAAAGGAGAAAACAACTTGGCCCTGGATGTGAGGTTACCGACTGCACTCCAAGTGCTCCAAGTACTTGCACTGAGCTGCCAACTGCACTCCAAGTCTGTACTTCCCCGCCGTCAAGGGCAAGGCAGCCGCAGGAAGGCGCATCTCGCTCTGCTAGTTACTTGTTCACTCTACCGCAAGACATGTATTTTGTTGCGCGTCGAGACACTGCCAAGCGCTGCACATTACGCAGGGTGGACCCACTGTAATCGCCCCCCGCGACCGCCCGCGCGTACGCCACCGCCGCCGCCGCGGTGTCGAAGAGGGCGAGGTGCAGCAGCCGCCCGCCCACCCTGCGCTGCGCCTGAAAGCGGCCCGACCGAAGCTTGGACACGCAAGCGTGACCGGTGGCGCTGCTGCTCGAGAGGTGCAGGCGCAGCCCCTCCGTCGCGCGGTGCCCGCGCAGACGGCAGACGCCACGGCTCGGATGCTGCCAGGGCGGCACAAGGCGGTGGCGGCGGCGGCGGCGTCAGTGTCGACGGCGGCGGCGGCGGAGCGAGGCTCACCCACGAGGAGGCGGCCGAGGCGGCCCACCCGTCGCCGATGCCGAGGCGAGGAGGGGCCGCGCCGCGGTTGGCGCGGCTGGGCAAGCAGCGGTCGAGCGTGACGGCGCACCTCCGCACAAGCGGCGCGTCGAGCTCCACGTCCGCCGTCTCCAGGTCTGCCACCATCTGCACCGCCTCCTGCGCAGCCGAGGTGCGACGACGCTTGGGCGGCCGCTCGTCGCACCGCCTCGCGTTGTCTGCGGAGCTTCCGGCCGGTCCTCGGCTTAGCGCGCCCGGCGGCGCATGCGGGAGGGCCGCCTCGACCTCGAGTGCCTGAGCGACGGCACTCGCAAAGGGCGCGCGGAGGTGCTTCCACTTTGGCCGCCCAAACTCCTTGCCCCAGCGCGTGGCGTCGAAGAGGCGCTCGTCCTCGCGGAGCGGCTTGATGCAGCTCGCGCGCTCGAGCGACGCCACGTTGCCCGTGCCGTAGAAGTGCACCCGCACCGACTCGCCCTCCTCCTCTGCGCGGATGACTGCGGGCCACCAAGGCGAGTCGCGTAGCTTGGCCCAGCACGGAGAGCCGGCAGCCAGGCCAGCGGAGCCCGTGCAGCCGGAGAGGTGCAAGCGCAACCCCTCGGCCTGCGGCGGCACATCCTCCTCCTCCTCCGCCGCCGCCGCCGCTGCCTCCTCCGCCTCCTCTGCCTCCATCGCCTCCATCTCCCTGGCCTCCGCAGCCTCTTCCTCTTCCGTCTCCCCCGCCTCCGCCTCCCCCGCCAACGCTGCTGCCCGCGCTGGCCCTCCCGCGCCTGCCGCCTCCGCCTGCCCGACCGCCCGCGCGTACGCCACCGCCGCCTCCACCGCCGTGGCAAAGGTGCCCAAGTAGACCTGCTTTCCGCCCACCCTGGCCTCCGCCCGGAAGCGGCTCCTGTCCGCGTGCACGCCCTTGTAGCCGGTACTGGTGATGCTCGAGACGTGCAGCCGCAGACCCTCCGCCTCTGTCGCCACCGTCGGAGGAGCCGGAGGCTGGTACTCGCCGACCGCACGCGCGTACGCCACCGCCGCCTCCACCGCCGTGGCGAAGTTGCCCAAGTAGACCTCCTTGCAGTCCCCCCCGCGCTTCGCCTGGTAGCGGCCAGAGTGCTCGCGCACTCCTCTGTAGCCGGTGGCGTTGCTGCTGGAGAGGTGCAGCCTCAGCCCCTCCGCCTCTGTCGCGAGCGGCGCGGCGGCGGAAACGGCCGCCGTGCCTGCGGCCTCCGCCGCCTCTTCCTCCTCCGGCGCCCCCTCTGCGCCCTCCTCCTCCTCCTCCTCCGCCGCCGCCGCTGCCTCCTCCGCCTCCTCTGCCTCCATCGCCTCCATCTCCCTGGCCTCCGCAGCCTCCATCGCCTCCCCCGCCTCCGCATCCCCCGCCGCCGCTGCTGCCCGCGCTGGCCCTCCCGCGCCTGCCGCCTCCGCCTCCCCTACCGCCCGCGCGTACGCCACCGCCGCCTCCACCGCCGTGGCGAAGGAGCCCAAGTAGACCTGCTTTCCGCCCACGCTATGCGTCGCCTGGTAGCGGCTCCTGTCCGCGTGCACGCCCTTGTAGCCGGTACTGGTGATGCTCGAGACGTGCAGCCGCAGACCCTCCGCCTCTGTCGCCACCGTCGGAGGAGCCGGAGGCTGGTACTCGCCGGCCGCCCGCGCGTACGCCACCGCCGCCTCCACCGCCGTGGCGAAGGTGCCCAAGTAGACCATCCTTTCGCCCGCCCTGTGCTTCGCCTGGTAGCGGCCAGAGTGCTCGCGCACTCCTCTGTAGCCGGTGGCGTTGCTGCTGGAGAGGTGCAGCCTCAGCCCCTCCGCCTCTGTCGCGAGCGGCGCGGCGGCGGAAACGGCCGCCGTGCCTGCGGCCTTCGCCGCCTCTTCCTCCTCCGGCGCCCCCTCTGCGCCCTCCTCCTCCTCCGCCGCCGCCGCCGCCGCTGCCTCCTCCGCCTCCTCTGCCTCCATCGCCTCCATCTCCCTGGCCTCCGCAGCCTCCATCGCCTCCCCCGCCTCCGCATCCCCCGCCGCAGCTGCTGCCCGCGCTGGCCCTCCCGCGCCTGCCGCCTCCGCCTCCCCTACCGCCCGCGCGTACGCCACCGCCGCCTCCACCGCCGTGGCAAAGGTGCCCAAGTAGACCATCCTTTCGCCCGCCCTGTGCTTCGCCTGGTAGCGGCTCCTGTCCGCGCACACTCCTCTGTAGCCGGTGGCGTTGCTGCTGGAGAGGTGCAGCCTCAGCCCCTCCGCCTCTGTCGCGAGCGGCGCGGCGGCGGAAACGGCCGCCGTGCCTGCGGCCTCCGCCGCCTCTTCCTCCTCCGGCGCCCCCTCTGCGCCCTCCGCCGCCGCCGCCGCCGCCGCCGTTGCCTCCTCCGCCTCCTCTGCCTCCATCGCCTCCATCTCCCTGGCCTCCGCAGCCTCTTCCTCTTCCGTCTCCCCCGCCTCCGCCTCCCCCGCCAACGCTGCTGCCCGCGCTGGCCCTCCCGCACCTGCCACCTCCGCCTGCCCGACCGCCCGCGCGTACGCCACCGCCGCCTCCACCGCCGTGGCAAAGGTGCCGAAGCAAACACGCTTCCCGTCCACCCTGGCCTCCGCCTTGAAGCGGGCACCGTTCTCGCGCACGTTCTTGTAGCCAATGCTGTTGCTGCTCGAGAGGTGCAGACGCAAGCCCTCCGCCTCTGCCGCCACCGTCGGAGGAGCAGGCGGAGGCTGGTACTCGCCGACCGCCCGCGCGTACGCCACTGCCGCCTCCACCGCCGTGGCGAAGGAGCCCAAGTAGACCTCCTTGCCGTCCACCCAGCGCTTCGCCTGGTAGCGGCCAGAGTGCTCGTACACGCCTCTGTACCCGGTACTGCTGCTGCTGGAGAGGTGCAAGCGCAGCCCCTCCGCCTCTGTCACGAGCGGCGCGGCGGGTGCAGCCTCCCTGTGCGTCGGAGGCGGCGGAGGCGGCGGCGAAGCGGTTGAGCCTGCTGAGCCCGCCGCCGCCTCCGCCTCCTCCGCCTCCATCCCCTCGCCGCTCGCTCGCTCCTGCTCCTCCCACTCGCCCTCTCCCGCCTCTCGCAGCATCTCGTGCAGCGAGACGTCCTCCAGCAGCTCGCCGTCGTCGCACTGCACCGAGTACAGGCTCGACGCGCCGTCAAAGCCCACGATCTCGCCCGGGTACAAGGCGCCGTCAGAGTACTGTACAGCGACGCGGCCTCCCACCTGGAAGTGGCTCTCCTCCTCGCCGCCACCGCTCCACCCGCTCTCCTCGCCGCCCTCCTCCTCGCCGCCCTCCTCCTCGCCGCCCTCCTCCTCGCCGCCCTCCTCCTCGCCGCCCTCCTCCTCGCCGCCTGCTTCGTCGCCCTCCTCCGCCGACACTGCCGCCGCCGCGCCTGCCGCCTCCGCCTGCCCGACCGCCCGCTCGTACGCCACCGCCGCCTCCACCGCCGTGTCGAAGGAGCCGAGCGAGACCTGCCTTCCGCCCGCCCTGTGCTGCGCCCAGAAGCGGCAAGAGGAGCGGTGCTTGTTTACGCCAATGTAGCCGGTGGCGTTGCTGCTCGAAAGGTGCAGCCGCAAGCCCTCTGCCTCTGTCGCCACTGTCGGAGGAGGTTGGGCGGGAGGCTGATAGCCGCGCGCCGCCCGCGCGTACGCCACCGCCGCCTCCACCGCCGAGTCAAAGTAGCCGAGGGAGACCTTTCGTCCGCCCACCCTGTGCTGCGCCTGGAAGCGGCTCCTGTGGCCAGAGGCGTGCTGGAATACGCCCGTGTAGCCGGTGTTGCTGCTGCTCGAGAGGTGCAGACGCAAGCCCTCCGCCTCTGTCGCCACCGTCGGAGGAGCCGGAGGCTGGTACTCGCCGACCGCCCGCGCGTACGCCACCGCCGCCTCCACCGCCGTGGCGAAGGAGCCCAAGTAGACCATCCTTTCGCCCGCCCTGTGCTGCGCCTGGTAGCGGCTCCTGTCCGCGCGCACGCCCTTGTACCCGGTACTGCTGCTGCTGGAGAGGTGCAAGCGCAGCCCCTCCGCCTCTGTCGCGAGCGGCGCGGCGGGTGCAGCCTCCCTGTGCGTCGGAGGCGGCGGAGGCGGCGGCGAGGCGGTAGAGCCCGCCGCCTCCTCCGCCGTCTCTCCCTCCTCCTCGTCCTCCGCCGTCTCTCCCTCCGCGCCCTCCGCAACCCCTGCCGTCGCTGCCGCCCGCGCTTGCCCTCCCGAGCTCGACGTCTCCGCCTGCCCCGCCACCCGCGCGTGTCCACCCGCCGCCTCCGCCGCCGCCCTGGCCCTGCCCGCACGGCTTGCGAAGCGCTGCAGCGCCTCGAGCAGCTCGTACTCCTCCTGTGCGAGCGGAGGCGAGGGGAGGGTGCGGCATGTCGGTGCCGAGGGGCGGTGCAGCGACGAGGCGGTGCTGACGGCGATGAGGCTGGGTGTGCGCACCAGATCCTCTTCGTCCCCGTCCGCATGCCGGATGCGCCAAAGCGCGGGCTCGTCATCCGCGCCCGCCGGAAGATAGAGGCGCACAACGGCATGGACGTAGCCGTGGCCCTTGAGGCGCCGCAGAACCCTCTCCCCAACGCGAGGCCCGTCGCTGAGCCAGTCCGACTCGACCGGAGAATGGCCGGCAGCCTCGGGCACAGCAGGCGTAAGCTCGGACAGGTTGATGCGGACGCTGCCGCCGCTGTGTGCCTGGGCAGCTGCAGGCGCTGCCGCACTGATTACGGCTCTGCTGCTGTTTCGGCTGCTCGGCCACGCCCAGCGGCAGACGTGTCCACGCTTTTTCGCGCCACAATAGGGGCAGAGCGACCTGTCTGGGTGCAGCCCGCTAGACTCGGCCTGGTAGCGAAAGGAAAACTTGGAGATGGGGAACATGGCATGCAGGTGCCAGGCAGATTTTGGCCGCCCTGCTGCGGCTCGCTTGCAAAGATTAGGGGCGGTACTGCCATTCGGTTCCACACCCTGACGTCGGACGGTTTTTCGCCGGTCGGACGCGTTTTCGTCCGACCGACAGCGCCCGCCATGCGTTTCTGGTCCTGCCATTCGCGTCCGGACCGGACGCCTTCGCCGTCCGAGTCGGACCGTCCGGTCGGACGGCGGGGCCAGCCCGGCGAGTCTTTTCGCGCGCATTCTTCCCGCCCACGCGCACTGGGCAACTGTCTGGAGCCTCATCAGTGCCATGGTGCGCACCTCCACGCGCACCCCGCGCGTGCAGCTGCTTGCCCAGCGCGCCGCAGCGCGTTGGCATTGTCCAGCACGTTCCTCTTGATGCCTCCGCAGGTTCAAACCAGAAGCGCGACGGACAGCCTCCACAGCCTGCTGGCGCGCGTCACCGAGTCGGTAGCGCACTTTGCGGCGGAAGAAGGCAAGTGCGACCCGCTGGGGCCGTTTCGGCTGTCGAGCCAAGTCGGAGGTTTCGGCTGGTACGACGAGCCGCGTGGCGTCGGCGATGCCCCGCTTCCACACAGTGCGCCCGCTCGGCCGATCACCCTCGCGATCCCGGGCGCCTCTCACCAGCCCCTCCCTCGCCTTGCAGCAAAGGAGAACTACCGCACCTACGCCTGCTTTCACGGCGTCGGCATCAAGGGCAGCTCGCTCGAGGAGTACATGCCGCTGGTGTGGGCCACCTTCTACAACACCGCCGAGCGCGGCGCCGTGCTCGTCGAGCTCGGTGCACACGCAAAGGACCTAGAGGCGCTGCAGGAGGCGTGCGGCGACATGTTTATGCACTTTGAGCACGCGCAGAACATCGCGACGGCCATCGACCCGATTTCCCGACCCTTCTACGAGGTCCTCTGCGCACTGGTGGCTTCCGCCGCCGCCGTGTCGGCAGCCCTCCGCCGCTTCCTCGACAACCACGGCGAGGACTCGGAGCTGGGCAAGGCCGTTTGGCGCCTCCTCTACCACGCCTACGCCCGCACGACGTCGCTGGGCGAGATGGTCCTCGAGGCGGTCGAGGTGAAGATCATGTACGCCGGGCGCTACTTCCTCGATGAGGTGGCACAGGCCGCCATCGTCGTCGCCCCGCCGAAGAACTGGATCGGCACGCCGTTCCAGCCGCCGATCCCGGCCTATCCGCAATACCTCGACACGGCGTCGATGGAGACGATGCGAGGCCTACCCGTCTTGCACCGCCTCAGCGGCGACTTCGAGCCCACGGCCATCGCGGTGGGCGGCATTGTCAAGGGGTACGCGAGTGTCGAGGTTCCGTACCCTGCGCTCGCGCTCGGGCCGCAGCTCGCGCAGCCCGCAGTGATTGCGCTCTACAACCTCGCTGCTCTGCTCGCCGACCGGCTCATCTACCCGATGCCGACCTTCCCCGGGCTGATCCCGGGTGTCGGCCCGTTCTTCCTGCTCGAGATCAACGCCAACCCGACGGCGCGGCTGCCGGACATGCCGTTTTTCGCTGCCGTCGCGGCGGTGCGGTGCCCCCTCGCGCCACTCCGCTCGCCCGGCACCCCGACTCACCCACCACTAGCACACACCCGTGATGTGCGCCGTCGTGCAGGCACACCTCAACCTCGCCAACTTCCTCTCCTGGCTCGACCCCCTCATCGAGGCCATTGCGACGACGGACGTCGTGCCCGCCGGCGTGCTCTCCCGGGCGCGCGCCTCTCGCCGCATCGTCAGCTCGTACGTGCAACGCCTCGGCACGGTGCAGGCCATGCTCACCATCCAGGTGGAGAGGTCGCGGTCGCGGTCGCAGCCGTGAGGCGGTCACTCCGCCGTCGCGACGCCGGCCGCCATTGCCAAGCTGCGGCCGGGGAGAGGGCGGCACGTGAGCCCCTCTGAGACTGTGCGGGGAGGGCTCGACTGTGTGATATCGTCGCGGAGAGAGTCGGGCCCAGGGTTGCGCGGGCGTTCTGTGCGGCCCATGTGCGACCGGCAAAAGTAGGCGCGTGTTTGTTTTTTGCATCCCATTGTGAGAAGCTGCAGGGGAACAGTGCGTTGTCATTACTTGCGATGACGAACTGGGATTTCGGTCGGTCGACGTTACGAGCTCTCCGTTGCCCTGCGCACCCCCACGCGTGCCGTGGAGGAGAGCTGCGCGGCTGGGAGGACGGCAGTGCAGCGACACCATGTCGCAGATGGCGGCTGCAGAGGAGGCGGAGGCAGCTGAGACAAACGCCGCGAGCCTCTCCTTTTCAGAACCGGAGAACGTCGCGCTCGGCATTCTCAAGCGCGGCGTGCCCGAGCTGCAGACACCAAAGGCGGGGTCGACGTGGGAGTCGCTAACTCAGGAGGAAGTGCAGCGTCGCCTGCTCGCGATCCTCGTCGTTGACGGCAAGTACCGTGTAAAGAACCTTCAAAGCGCCTTCAGATCGATCAGTGCTTCGGTCCAAACGCGGATCTCTGCACACTCAGAAGCCGCGTCGAAGCTAGTGGAGGCGCTGCAGACGGAGGAATCGCTCAAGTTCCTCGACTTTCGACTCGATGGCAATCAGCAGATCTTGACGGGCCGTGTCATGCGCTTTCTCATGTCCTCGATTGCCTTCACCGGGAAATTTGCCATCTCGGAAGCGGATCGGCAGGCTTGGGAGCGCGCTAGCGGGGAGCAAGACTGGGCGGCGCTCGCCGACGTCAACGAGAAGGCGTTCGGAGAGTGGAAGGAACTCGCGCGTCGCACTCTCAAGGAGGCGACATGGGAGTGGCTGGACGAGTGCGTCGGGATGTCGATGGGGGACGAGAACAAAGCGCACGCCGGCCTCAGGTTCCCAAAAAAGGCGCCGGAGGGGAAAGCTGCGAGGGCTACGGCGGCGACGGGTGGCTTGCGGGCGGTCGGCGGCGGGGCCAATGGCGACACAGCTCCTCCGGCCGCGGCGCTCGCGCAGTCCCAAGCCGTCGCGCACAGCTTCGCGCCTCATCTCGTCCTGCGGCTGTATGCCGTGATGCACGAACCCCGCCTGAAGCTGGTGGTGGAGACGATGTGGAAGGGCGCCACGCATGATCAGCTCACGGAGAAGGAGGCCCAGGCCGCCAAAAGCCAAGCCCTTCTCACCGAGCTGCAAAATGCGAGCCCCGAGAGAATCAAGGACTCCCCCTTGGGATCGAAGCCGCCACAACCTCACACCCAACATCCCAGGCGGGATCAGAAGGGGACTCCACACCGGACACCGCCCGGGCACAGCCCCCCTACCCGTCGGATCGCACAGAGGGCCCCCTCGGAGCAGCCCACACACAATCACGCATCGGCAGATTGAGTGCCTGAGTCAGGCAGACAGCACAGACAAGAGGAGAGAGAGGAGAGAGAGAGAGAGAGAGAGGAGAGAGGAGAGGGTGAGGGTGTGAACACACGTGAGGAGTGGGGGAGGGTGTCTGTGGTGGGTTGTAGTCATACTACTCTCTCTCTCTCTCTCTCTCTCTGCAGTCATTAGCCTCACATCCAGGGCGGGAATAAGATATTGTCTTTTTTTGCGAGTGCTATCGCTCGCAATGCCTGTAGCCCGCGCTCGCCTCCTAGCGCTCTCGCCTCCCGCCGAGCTGCGGCCGGCGCACACGCTACTCAACGGCCAGTGCTTTGGCTGGCGGCCGCACGAGCACCGCGTCGACGAGTATGTCGGGGTTCTCGGCCGGCGCGTCGTCTCGATCCGGCAGACCACGAGCGGCACCGAGTTTGCGGCGATGCACGGGCGGCCCGAGGGGCTCGAGGAGGAGCTGATCGACTACTTCCAGCTTCGAACGCCCCTCTCCTCGCTCTACGCGCAGTGGGCCAGCGCCGGCTGCCGGCGGATGGAGGCGATCTCCCGCTCGCTGCCCGGGCTGCGGATCCTGCGGCAGGAGCCGTGCGAGTGCCTCTTCTCCTTCATCTGCTCGAGCAACAACAACGTGCCTCGCATCACGCTCATCCTCGACCGGATGCGCGAGCGGTACGGCGAGCGGCTCTGCGCCAAGGCGGCGCTCGACAGCGAGGCGATGGCGGAGGCGGAGGCGGAGGCAGAGGCAGAGGCGGCAGAGCCGGCAGAGCTCGCCACCGGCGCACCCGCGCGCAACAAGCTGATGCCGCGGATGGACATCTCCGCCCACTGGCACGCCTTCCCGCCCGTCGAGGTGCTCGCGGCGGCACCCGAGTCCGAGCTGAGAGAGCTCGGCCTCGGCTACCGCGCAAAGTTTGTGCGGAACGCGGCCGTCAAGCTGGTGGCGGCTGCGGAGCGAGAGGGGTTCGAGAGCGGCGCGGCGTACCTGCTCTCGCTCCGCAGCCGGCCGCGGCCGGAGGTGATCTCCGCACTCCTCGCCCTCGACGGCGTCGGGCCGAAGGTTGCCGACTGCGTCGCTCTCTTCTCGCTCGACCAGGCGACTGGAGAGACCGAGACGCCTCCGAGACGCCTCCGAGACGCCTCCGAGACTCCTCCGAGACGCCTCCGAGACTCCTCCGAGGCTGCACCGCCACCCCTCTGCACTGTCTCGCCTCTGTGCGCTCGCCTCTGCGCAAACGGCACGGACCCGTACACCTCCCACACGCCTCCCACCGCCTCCGACCGCCTCGTGCACGGGAAGCGGCCTTTGAGCCCCGACGGGCTCCCCACGAGCCTGCCCTAAGCGGCCGACGAGCCGCCCCTCGCGCGCGCGCAGGTGGACGCGATACCGGTCCGCTCGCACAGCGGCGCATCGGCGGCACCGCCTGCAGGCGCTTGCCTCTCACCCTTCCAGGAGCCGCCTCTCGCGTAGGTAGCAGCCCGCCGCGGTGAGGCGCGTCGGCTGCCGAGAGGGCCCCGAGGTGAGGCCGAGCTTGCGCGAGACGTAGGTCGACACGCACGTGTGGCGCATCGCCTGCCGCGACTACGACACGAGCCTCTCCGCGTGCCGCTCCCTCACGCCCGCGGTGTACGAGCGCGTCGGAGATCTTTTCCGGCGCCGCTTCGGGGACCATGCCGGCTGGGTGCAACGGGCCGCGACTCCCCCCTCCCCCCTCCGCCTCGCTCCGCCCACGCACCGACGCGTAGCCATCTAGAGTCCCACTTCCCCCCTGCCGCCTCCGCGTCCTGCCCCCACTCGCCGCCTCCTCCTCCCCTCCCCCCCTCACCTTCCCCTCGCCCACACACCCCAGGCGCACCAGCTCCTGTTCACACACCCCAGTCCTGTTCACACACCCCAGGCGCACCAGCTCCTGTTCACACCCCCCTGTTCACACCCCCCAGGCGCACCAGCTCCTGTTCGCCGCCGAGCTGCAGCAGTTCCGGCCGCTCCTGCCGCCCAGCCTCGTGGCGGAGATGGAGGTGGCGCGCGCGGAGGAGAAGGAGGCCAAGGCCAGGGCCAAGGCGGAGAAGGCGGAGAAGGCGGCGCGCGCAAAGGGGAGCGGAGGCGCGCCGCCGCCGGCAGCGGCGGGCGCGGCCGAGGAGGCGGAGGCGGCGGCGTTGGCCGCTGGAGCGGAGGTGCCGGCCGAGGCGAGGGCGGCGGAGGGCTCTGCGGCTGGCGCTATGGCCAAGGCGAAGAGCGCTCGGCGCACGACGGCACGAGAGGCCCTCACGGCCGGAAGAGCCGGCGGCCGCAGCAGGGCCAAGAGGCCGGCTCTCGGGCGGCGGGCGGCGGCCAGGGCAGGGGGAGGCGCAGCGCCAAGCGACGCGGACTGACATACTAGTACGTCGTACTGTCATGGAGGCTTGGGCCAGGGTTTGGAGGGTTGATGCCAAAGCGGCCCGGGGTGCGCGCCCGCTGGCCGGCTGCGCGTTGCCACCGCTGGCCTCGAGCCCTCGTTACGAGGCGCCTCGAGCGGCCCCTGGACTTGGTGGATCATTAAAACCGAGACATGCACATACACAACACACACACATCATTCAATCGTTTCGCGTGCAGCAACGCGGCTGACGGACTACTGTGGAGCTTGGAGCATGGAGGGTCGAGCTCGAACGTCTCTCGGTCTCTCACGTCTCTCTCGACACTCGAGTCTCGTCTCTGCGTACTGGCTACTGCGCGACGGCCTCAGAGACAGAGTCAGCAGACTCGCTCACAACCTCTGGCTCTGTGCTCCGACTCTCCCAGAGTGTACCTCCCGCGGCAAACGCACAAGATCCTCAGAAACGCCTAGGCCGGCCTGTAGTGGGAGCAGCGGCGCTCACTCGAGGTGCGTGGCGGCGGCGGGCTGAGTGACGTCCTACTGGGCGTCGCTGTCGGCCTCGACGGAAGCGGTGGAGGCGCGGCCTGGAGTGCAGCGGAGAGTGGAGACCGACTTGCACAGCAGCCCAGAGAAAGAGTGGCGCTCGTCCTCGGCCGCGGGCGCGGCTGGCGTCGCGGGCGCCTCCGCCTCGGCGGTAGCACCGTCGTAAGTCGCCTCCTTGCGCGGCGAAAGATAGGCCGTGACCTTCTCGTAGAAGGTCGGCTGCGCCTCCGGCTCCGAGCCAACAAGGCCGTCCGCAGCGGGCACAAGCGCAGCCGAGCCGGTGGTCGTGGAGGCCGGCGACGTCTCGTGCGATGCCTCAGAGTCGTAGTCGACCTTCTGCGGGGTGGCCGGCACCGTTTCCGCAATGTCGGCAGCTCCAACCTGGCCGTCGCCGTCGAGGTCGATCTTGGTGGTCTCCTCCAGCTTGTTGATCGCACCTTCCACGGCACCATCGGGGATCTCGGCAGCCGGCTCCTCCTCCGCCGCCGGCGCCTCCTCGCGCGGGGAGAGAAGCCCCCCGAGGTAGCCGAGGGTCGCGCCGAGCACGGTCGAGCCGAGCACATCCTGCACCGGCGAGGGCGGCGGCGCCTCGGTCCGGACCTCAGTAGCGCCCTTCTCTTCGTCCGCAGCAGACGACGCGCCCGAGAGGCGCCGCGACGAGTACTCCTCCTTGGCCTTGGCCTCGAACCTCGAGGCCATGTCCTTGACAGACCCGCTGGAGGAGCGCTCAGACTTGGGCACGATGTAGTCCTGACGCGGTCCCGACTCCACCTCCAGGGGGGCATCAACAGGCTCGGTCTCCACCGGGTACTCCGCGGCGGCTGCCTCCTGCGGAGCCTCTGAGACGATTGGAACGTCAGCAATATCGCCATCCTTGTCGAGGTCGGTCTTGGCGATTACCTCCAACTTGTCGATCGCAGACTCCACTGTGCCCTTGAGGATCTCCTCGGGCTTGTTGACCGGGGCGGCGCGCGCCGCCACGTCCTCCTCCTCGACGACTTGCCTCGAGCTGCAGAGTCCCATAGCAACGCCACGCGCCCGCTCCTTTTCGGCACTTCCGTCCACTTCGTCCACGCAGCCCGCCGCGTTTGAGCGGTGTGAACAGCGCACAGCGCCATAGGACTTATTTTTTTCTCAATAACAAGGCTGTGAATAGGGGGTTTCTTCTCAAAAACAAGGTCTGTGAAGAAAAAAGCTACGGGCTTTTTGGAGCACTTGAGCACGACGTGAGAACGGGTTCTGGATGCTGGAACCTGGAAGCCTCCCTCCCGTTTTATTCGCCGCCGTCTTCTTCTTCTCTTTACTCTCGATTACTCTTTCTCTCTTCGGGATCGGGTCGTCCCACTCATCGGACGACCCGACACGTTCGTCTCGCCCTCCTCCCTGGCAGGGTCAGGCTTAGGTAGGGTACCCCTAGGCTTAAAAGGGTGGGCCCTGGGGCGCCTGCGGCTTAAACGGCTTAAAACCGGCCTAGGCCGGTTTTAAGAGCTGCTGGGCCGCCGATTCCTTAAACGGTCTTAAACGCTTAAACGCTGCGGGAGAGCTCCCGAGGTCGATGGTCCGGGAGGCTCCCCAGTAGACGCCGGAGGCCGGGGGAAGCTGGCTACAGTCAGCTGGCACGCGTCCCCTATGCGAGTATGGCTCCTGCCAGTGCACCAGACTTACAGATGTGTCTTCAGAGGCGGGTTTGTGCCTAATAACGGCAGTATTGGAGAAAACGGCGCGGAACGCAGCCTCCGCGCCTGAGCCCTGGCCTCGACACCTCGACACCAAACCTCGACACCGACTCGACACCTCGACAACCCATGCCAACTCGACAAACTCGACACCCCTCGACACCCCTCGACACCCCTCGACACCATCTAGGCTGAAACCATGCTCGTCCGTGTCAAGGTGCCAAACTCGACACCTCGACACCCCTCGACACCCCTCGACACCGCTCGACACCGCTCGACACCGCTCGACACCTCTGATGATCCTAACACAGCAGAGACGTAGACCCATTGGAGTCACAGAGTTAGAAATCAGGGTTGCAGCAGCAATCAAACTTGGCTGGCAGTACTTCCATCCCTCAGTTGCAGCCTCTCAAGTTCTAGCCCTGGTTCTAGCTCCAAGTTGCAGCTCAGTTTGCACTCCTGTTGATGTAGCAACCATGGCAGTACTCCCAGGTAGCCCTCAGGTGCTGCACAGCACCTTGTACAGTGGCAATGAATCCTCACACCAGTGAGCTTGTGCCATGAGTGCAGACCTGTGGTCCATTGCGCTTTGTGCACTGGCGATGCTGACAACGGCGACGCTGCAGCGGCGGCGACGCTGCTGCGATGGGGTATTGGCAGCCCTTAGCTGCTGGACAGCACCTTGTGCAGTGGCAATGTCCACTGACTCATGGCACCAGCCGTGTGCCATGAGCGCTGTGGTCAGTTGCGCTTTGTGCGCCGGTGACGCTGCAGCGGCGACGCTGCTGCAGCGGCGACGCTGCTGCGGTGCTGCGCCTGCACAGCACCTTGGTGCACAGTGGCAATGACTCCCGGCACTTGATGTCCTCAAATGTCCACAGAGAGTATACTGGTTGTGCTCAGGTTGTGCTACATCAACAGGGTGCAACTGAGGCTGCAACTAAGGGATGAAACAGCTTTGCAACTGCTGCCCAACTTTTGTTGTATGTTGATGGGCTGCAACTGCATCCACCTGCCACCTTGGACACCTCGATACCTCAGACGCCTCTTGACAACACTCGACACCCGCTCGACACCCGCTCGACACCCTCGACACCCTCGACACCCTCGACACCCCTCGACACCCCTCGACACCCCTCGACACCCCTCGACACGGACAAGCATGGTTTCAGCCTCGACAGGCCTCGACAGGCCTCGACAGGCCTCGACAGGCCTCGACACCTCTATCCCTCGACAGCAGCTCGACACCCTCGACACCGGGCCTCGACACCTCGACACCAGGGCTCAGCTCCGCGCAGCGACGCGTGCCGGTGAGGCCGATTTTCTTAAACGGTCTTAAAAGAGAGACCCCCCGTGCCTGCAATCTCTTAAATGACAATTTGAGCCCCCAAACCTCCTCATTTCTTAAAAGGTCTTAAAAAAATCCGGCCCTCAGAACCCTAGGGGTACCCTAAGGGGTCAGGGACTCCCTCACCACAACACCCACGGCGCGCAGCGGCGATCGTTTTTAGCCACCCTTTAGCCTTTTCGTCGGAGGGCTGGCGGCTGCGGCTTTTACCTGTGTGGGTCGGCCTGCTCCTATGGCTGGGCCTGGGGTACGCCGCGGCGCGCGCGCGAGACTAGAAACTCGTACCGCTCGAGCGGTCTGCCGCGTGCCGGCCACCCTGGCCGCTACGAGTTCGAGTACGCGCTGGCTCGCGCCGGCACTGGCTGGCTCGTTCGTGACGGCCCTCTTTACCGCGGCTTCTCTCTCCCGCCTTGCGCTAACCCCTCTCTCCAGGCTTCTTTCAGCCACGCGCCCCCCCGCACAGTGCGCCCCCCTCCGCCCCCCAGGCCCCAGCCCCACCGTTGCCAGCAATTACATCCTCGCGATATCCTCGTTCCTCGAACGACGCAAACTCACGCGGCACGGGTCCTGACCAGCAGGTCGAGAGGTCGTCCACTCACGCACGCGGTCACACCAGCGCCGGCGCGTCGTCCCGCTGCCGCCGCCCAAAGTTGGAGCGGCGACTTGAGGCAGCGGCGGCGGCGACGAAGAGGGCGGCGGCGGCGGCCCCCGCCGCCGCCACGCCAGCCGGTGCCGAGAGGCTGCGCCTGCTCGGGCGCGGCTCGGAAAGCAAGAAGGAGGCGTAGGCGGCGTACGAGAGCGGCTCGGGCGAGGTGATGACGTCGTACTCTGAGATGGCGAACGAGGCGCCGCCGACCGGGCTGGAGAGGTGCGCCTCTGTGAGTTCGAGCTGCTCGGCCCACGCTTGCTCCCAGAGGCGCATGGTGAGCGTGCCCGCCGTCGTCGTCGCGACCAGCTCCCAGTTGATCCCGCTGACCACCTGCGAGGAGGCCGACTGGAGCCCCTGGTAGGCGGCGCCCTGCAGGCTCGCGCAGCCGAGCGAGTTGGACGCGGGGCAGACGGACGTGACGAGGTGCTCGAAGCCGAAGCGTGCCAGCCGATCCGGCTCGGAGCCCGGACCAAACGCACTCGCTGGCTGAGCGAACCAGCCGCCTGGCATCGGCACAGACGCCTGCGGCTCCGCGCACGCCTCCGCCACGCCCCAGCCCGCCGGGACGGCCGCGCTCGGCTCCGAGCTGGCCGTCCACACCTCCTCGACGGGCGAGTACGTGGCGTCCGCGTCCCAGCACTCGACCAGGCGGCTCGCCGGTCCGTCAAAGTCGGCGTCGTGCGGCAAGAGACGCAGGCATGAGCCCGTTGGGCACCAGGCGACGGAGAGATAGGGCGCGCCGTGCACGAGCAGCGAGCCCGCCAGGTCCTGCAGCCCGCCGGCCGCCGGCTGGCTCCCCGCGACAGGTGAAGCGCCGCCACTCCCCGGAGCTGTCTCTGGCCCGCTGGCCGGCGGCGGCTCCTCGGACTCAAAGGGCCACGATGGGAGAGCCGGGACGACACTCCAAAAGTCAAAGGCCGAGGGCGGCGAGGGCAAGTCGAAGGCATCCGGCGGCGGAAGGGACGGGACGAGCGACCAGACGTCAAAGGCCGCGGCGCCGGGCGCGGCCGCCGCCGCGAGCAGGCAGAGAGCCCGGCGTGGGAAGTGCATGAAAACCACGCTGCGGGACGGCCCAGGGCGCGACGCGCTGCGGCCGCTGCAAGTCACGACGGACGAACGTAAGGAGTTAAGATGAGGGTTAATATAAAGAAAAAAGCGGAAAATCCTCGTGATCTCGCACGTGTCTCGGCTGCTCCGTCAGTTCATGGGGACGAAGCGAGGCTCAAGCATCCTCCTTCCAGCGCAATGGGGCTCGCCTCGCTCCTCTCCATCGCACTGCTGACCGCCGTTGCCGCGGCCTTCGAGTGCGACTGCTCGTGGCGGACAAAATTCTCTTGCCCGCTCGACCACGACGCTCTCGACCTCGACGGCGACGGCCACATTGACCGGCACGAGGCTATCGACTTGAACAAGGCACCCGCATCCCCTCCCTCTTTGAGCGGCTAGCGGCGGCCGCCGACCCGTCTCGTTGCCCGCACAGGACGGCATTCTCACCGCCGACGAGCTGGCCGCGGCCGACACCGACGGCGACGGTGACGCCACCAAGTGAGACCAAACGCCGCGCAAGCAGGCTCCGCCGGACGAAGCACCCAGCCCCACACCCTCCCTCCCATAGGCACGAGGCGATCGTTGCTCGCGCGCACGCCGGGACCAAGGGCTTTGCGACGGATGACGGCTCGCCATGCTTCAAGTTCTGCTGCCGGACGCCCTCGCCGCCACCGTCGCCGCTGCCGCTGCCTCCGCCGCCGCCGCCGTCGCCGCCGCCCTCGCCGGCCCCGTCGCCGCCGCCGTCCCCGGCGCCGTCGCCGCCGCCCTCCTTGGCGCCGTCGCCGCCGCCCTCCCCGACCCCGTCGCCGCCGCCCTCGCCGGCCCCCAATCCGCCGCCGCCCCTGCCGGCGCCTCCGAACCCGCCGCCGCCGCCGCCGCCGCACTACCCGCCCGGCACCGTCAACATGGTGGAGCACGGCGACACGTTCGGAGACTGGGGAGGGAGCTGCACCTGCCCCGACGGCGCCGTCTACAGCGTGGGCGACGGCGGCAGCGGCTGCAAGTCCCTCCAGTGCTTCGGCGGCCTCTCGGGCAAGTGCGGCCCAAACAACTCCAAAGGAAGGCACGTCAGGGTGACTTGCGCCCTCGCGCCGCCGCCGTCGCCAGCGCCTCCCCCGCCGCCGTCGCCGGCGCCGCCGTTGCCGCCGCCGTCGCCAGCGCCACCGCCGCCGGCCTCGCCCCCGCCGCCGAGCCCGTCAGTGCCGCCGCCGCCCTCGTCCGCCTGCTTGACGAGCTCCGGGTAGTCGCGCCTGGGAGGAGGGCCGGGACGGGTCAGGCCAGGGGCGGG